ACACGATCTTGTGACGGGAGGGAAGTTAATCAGTGCAACGCCCACATCCAGCAGGCAGTTCACATTCACAGTTTCATAGGACGTAGTTCAAATCTCCTTCACATTCCCGGGAGATAAACAGGACATGAAGATGAGCATATTTATGTTATTTGTTCCTGTGACTTTGTACTTTATACAGTCTCCTACATCTTAGAGATAAATGCTTTTTAGTCCACATAACCGTAGTCATTTTGCAGACTCAGATTAAACATGTAATCAACAAAGATTGATCCATGGTGGGAAATTCAAAAGCCAGCAGCAAATAAAGTAAATAGAATTATCTCATTAACTGTGGTATCAAAGTGATAAACAAACATATGCATCAGTGATAATAATCCCAAAGGCACGGAGCACTCTCTGCTTGATGTTTACTTTTACATGATTAATATATTAATACTAAGACATTTTCTGTGGAGACACCACAGCAGTCGTTCAAGCTGCCCAAATAACTGCTGTCTAATTAGCAGGAGAATGTGGCCACACATGGCAACATTTGTACCTCACACACGGGCCTCCCTGTGGTCATCATGAAACCAGGATTCACTCAGTACCTCAACACTCAACACGCATCCACTCATCTCGTGCACCGAGTACCCTGCAAGGGGCCGAAGGGATCTGTTTGCAAAAGCCTAAGTGCGTGCAAACAAGCTGAGTATGACTCTGCGCAGGAAACAGACCTGATGAAAGGGAAAGAAAAGCCTGCGAGATGATGTGATGCAAGACAAATGACGCCACAAACATGCAATGAGCCGGGTGAGGCCGATGTTCAGGGCAGTTGATGGACATGATCACTAATAAGAGGCCATTTGTAACGCACATGTCCTGTCCTCTAGAAATAGAGTTGCATGGGAAGAAACTTCTCTTCAGGTTACGCGTCAAAACGTTCGATTTATCGACCATGACATGGAACGTCAAGACTTTCAGGAAAAGCGTTTTATTGCAGTCCTCACTGACAAGAGCGCAGGACCAATCCGCTCTTCTGCCTCTTTGGGGATAAGTCATCACTCCAGAGACGACTATCGGCCGCCGACAGCCGAGGCGCAGATGCTGCGGTGTTTCCCGTTTCAACTCAAATCTCCGGTTTGAGCGTGAGGTAATGCGAGCATCAAAGGCGAGCGGAGATAAGAGAGCAGACAGCGACCTTGGGAAAACCTGGAGTGTGTCTGAGAGAGGAGTAGTGTGAGAAACTGAGAACCCGGCAGTAAAAAGCTTAACAAAGAAAAAAAAGAATACTCAAATACATATACATATACATACATATATACATATATTTGAGTAAAATACTCAAATATATGTAAAGGTCCAAATTCAAATTTGTGCTTTACATAATGTCAAAAGTTGAGCTATGGGAAGCTAAAAAAACACAGTTCATTCATTGTTTTGTTAATACGAACGATAACCATGTGAATAAGAAATGTGTTGCATACAGTATAGTGGCTTTATGTGCTTGGTTGCTTTTGCTTCGGTTGGTTAAACATCTGCTGCAGATGAGATATCATGTGACTTTACTGCCATTGGTAAAGTATGCTTGCACGTGCACAGGCTGTATGAATGGTGGGAGCGGAGACTGAATACAACTACAATAAATGAATGCGTGTATATGATTTTTTTTTTGTGTGGTTTCTATGTGTGTGAAAGCGATGAATCAGCCGCTCTGACGCCATGTGCTTCACTAAATGGCCGACACCCCGACACGGCTAGTTTTGCTTTCCTCCCTGTCTGCTTGACGCTGATAGATCACTGTGTATAATTACAGTGCTGCTCACATGAACTCAGCAAAGCTATTTGTACTAATAACACAAGCACAGTAGAACTTGTTTCTGATCCTTGGCAAGAAATGTATCGCAACAGCTTTGCAGCTCTGCAAGTAATCTCCTCAATTCATTCTCAAATCAGGAGGGCCCTCTAATTGTCGAGTAATTTCCAGATTGATGCAATTCAAATGTCAAATAAAGGGTTTTCTCTATTTTTCAGTACATTCAGAGGAACAGGATCTTCTCCCTACAAATGGGGATACGGCGGACGATGAAGTCGCGCTTCAGAATTCATGGCTCCCAAAAGGGAGACATAGTTTAGCTGCTCTTACAGTAGCTCCTCTGTGTTTGAGCAACTCTCTTGGTCAGGCGGTTTTCATTATAATACCTCACAGTTGAGAGGTCAATGCACAATCTGAATGAGTTTGAATGACGTAAAAGGTGCACAAAAAGAAAGCGGTGTCCTTCCCTTAAAGGAAAATGTGACATGATTTTCCTTTAAGGACACTACTTTAAGAAGGACACTAAGCACTAGCTGCTTAAACCTAAAAGCTATTCCAAAGCATATAATCAAGTTAAACAAAAGACTGAATCGTAAAAATTGAACTATCTTGAGTCTAAAAAAATGGATAAACCAACCAACAAAATGTGAGATTCTAGATTGTACATCGATTATTAGCCTTGTGCTCTCACAGGTTTCCCTATATTTTGAATTAAGGCTCCATCTTTGGGGCTGGACAGAAGCAGCCTGCTAGACTTCACGTCTCTCCTGCACACTGCGCACATTAACGTCTTCAGCAGTCTGCGTGTGTACTTGATCGGCGATGTAGAACATGAAACCTACCTCCATGTTAATCTTGTCTAATTTAAGGGAGGCTGATCACTGAATAATATAATTACAAGGCAGTAACGGAGGCCCAACCGGCTGGATCGGAGCCAGACCGAAGTGGTCGCTGGGGCGAGACCATCGGCCACCTGGGCGGCTGTTGAGAGATAAGCTGTCAGATCTGCGGAGGGCAGAGCTCGGGCCGAGCATCCATAATTTAATGGCAAACCATCCCAGCGAGGAAATTACAAGGCGGCCCTCTAATCAGGAGGACTTTGGAGATTCTCTCCACGCAGCAAAAACCTGCAGGTAAATCTGTCACAGTAAACCACGTCTGAAAAGGATCTCGCTATAATGAATTGTTATTATTTCACCTTTGCATTGTTGTTGTACTTTTCCACCAAGTTGCATTACTTGAGTCAAGCTGTTTTTTTGTGTGGTCTAAAAACAGTTAAAGTCATTTGTCATCTGTTAAGAAAGACATAAAGTAATCTGTGTGTGTTTACTGGGATTTAACTTGAAAAATGGAAATGTGCTGTCATGAAAATGTCCTCTTGTTAGTCAGTCAACATCAGAATGACTTTGAAAGCACCAAACGTCTGTCAAGATCAGCTCTTTGTTTTGTTGCCATGGTGATTTCATTAAAGACGACCCTCAGGAGGGTTTGTTGTCTTTTAGAAGTCACTCAACTGTGAGAAAACAGACCGAAACAGGCTTCGCTCTGCAGGTGTGATGATCCGCAGCAGGCACAGACACGCTCACAAAAGACAACTTAACGGCTTTATAATGCGACATACACATAGTCATCGACAAAATAGAATCTTTTCAGGCGCACAGGCAAAGGTCAAAGGTCGCCCTGGGGCTGGGTGTGTGGCTTGTGTTGCAGGGATTACGCCCAGCAGGACTATGGAGTCAATGTCAAAGCAGAGTCCAGGCCAGAGGGACGTCATGGTGATCAGAACGCAGGCCCAAGACAAGCCGCCACACCCAAAAACAACAGGCTGCACGGCTACGAATCCGAGGAAGAGGATGTTATATGATGTGCATAGATACATATAACAAATCCTCCTACCAACCTCCTGGAAAATGCTAGATTTCAACTTCAAATTCTCTCACGTCGGGCTACTCGTAGTCAAGTAAATAAATAAGGATCAGGACGCGGCAACGTGGCAACGGATCACTTGCGGAATGCAGTTTAATGATGTTTTATCTAAGGGGTGATTCAGACGTTAGTGAGATTCAAGGCAAACCCACTGAAGATCAAGCCCCTATCTGGCAAAGGTTGGGTTGACCTACAACACACTAATGATCATCACACTATCGTAGATTACACAAATGTCCACATAGCTCTGCAGCAGCTCTCTACTTTGAGCTCTGAGAAGGTGCGATGTAAAGTTGGCAAAAAGGAAATTAGCCAGACATCATAAAACAAAGGGAGAGATTTCGCACAGAGTATTAATAATTCAGCGTTTATTCCACAGAGGCCTCTGTGATGGTTAATTAGTAGATTATATGAGAGTGTGAAATGCGTCCCCGTAATTACTTCTTGATTACTTCCATCGGTTGACACTTAAACTCTGAACTTACACTGATAAAACATGACTTCAAAATAGTAAACTTGATTGTGCTTTTTTGTATCCCCTCCTGATTATTATAAGACAAATAGGATTTTGCTTTGAAATCAAAATTGCCTCCATAATATGTTCAATGAACACCACTTACGGAAAAGCTCAAATATAATCCAGTAAAGCCACAAAATAGCATAAAACCACATACATTAAACGTGTATGGTACATTAAACAAGTACCAAAAGTAGAGGTAGCCATTGTGCAAATGATCCAGTTCAGAATTCTGTATATTACTGTATAATCATTAATGTTGAAGCAGACAAAAGATAAAAGCTAGTTTTAATATATATACTCCATTATTTCAGAATGTTACATTATTTGGCCATTAATCTGAGCAAAGCTATGAAGTAAATGAAGTGAAGTAGAAACTTTCAAGCACAAGTACTTAAAGTGAGTTGCAGCCTACTTGAGTGAATGTACTTCACAGTGTTTAGTATGTACTTTGATTAAGTGTAAACCTCATCCTGCTCCACTACCCAGTTCACTGTGACCGTGATAACAAAATAAAGGTTTAATAATGATGATTCTAAATTGGGCGGTGATGTTTGACTCCTTGTGTTAGAGGAGAACTGCTCATAATAAAAAACACTTCAGTCCAGAGTTCCACTCTTACATTCCAGTACCCGAATGTGACTTATTTATTTATTTTTTCTTTCTGGAGCTCCACACTACCTCAGAATAAGCCTCACCCACTGGTAAAAAAAAAAAAAAAAAAAGCTTACTATTTGCTCGCTGCTATAAAAGCGGCGCGCATCGCGCACCGAGTCACAGCAAACAGGTGCGTCAGTCGCTGCGCTCTCACCTCATCGCCCGGATACCTGCCGCGTTCCCCTCCGTCCAGCCGACACACACACACACACACACACACACACAACTGCAGCAACATGCCAAAGTGCCCCAAGTGCCAGAAGGAAGTTTACTTCGGTAAGATCTCTTTCTCTTTGTTGGTTTTGTACGTGCAGGAAATCGCGTTTCCTGGTTTATGAGTTGGCGGCTTTTTCTGCACAAACGAGGAAACGTAATATAATATTGATAGTGATAATATTGAATAAGACGTGATTCAGAAAATAAATAATAGTGGATGTATTGTGTTCAGATCATTTGCTTGCGCGAAAGTCACTGTTTCAAAATAGAAGTGTTGTCAGGAAAGTGAAAGTATTCGTGCAAAACGGCTCCTTAGATTCTCGCATCTTGTGTCATTATTACTGGTGCAACAGGGTCTAATGTTGTCATTGGTAAAAGTGGAACTTATCTTAACTGCTTGTGTAATAAATACACCGCAATCTCACATATATATATATCGCAAAAAGAAAACAGTAACTATCTCTTTGAAATAAATGTATGTAAGAATATCATATAAGAAATAAGTTAAAATGTTAATTATCTCCCTAATTACATATCATAATGCTATTTTAGTGGAATACCTATGAAATTGTGCTTGGTTAAAGTACTTAAGCGAATGTACTTTCCACCACTGAGAATACTGCATTTTGAATTGCAGTGCAGCTTGAATTACGTAAATCATCTTAATGCTTCTTCCACCTTGTAGATGTAAAATACAAATCTGACTAACCATAGATCGCAATTTCTGTCAGTCTACTCTCTTAGCTGTAGATATAAATATTTGCACATTCATTTCCGGTAGTCTGAAAGGCCACTGTACTCTATCAGCTCTCTTGTTATCAAGTTATTTTGGACAGATCAGATCTGTGCACCCTGATCGGATGCAGCGGAGGAAGTCGGCTCCGTCTCGTGGGTTTTACCATCGGAGCAGGCAGCTCATGATGCATCCAGGGAGGACACGGACAGCTCCATTTTATTTGTGACTTAATCCATTTACCACATTGCATAAAGCTCCGTCGTGCAGCCGAGTTGATCTCCTCCAGGGAGACGCTCAGAGGCTGAGAGCCGACGCAGAATCCAGAGCCAAGTCTTTGGAATGTCAGTCAAATGAATCGACCGTGCGACCGGGGAGTCGTGCCTCCCGTTCTTCCTTTTCATGGATAAACTTTCCCCATCTGGCCAAAACAAACAAACCAACCTGTTGTGTCCAGAACAAGCCAGCCAAAGAGAATATGCTTTTTCTAGTATATATATAAACAGAACTGCGAGGAAATATAGCGTGGGAAAAAAAGCTTTGGATTCTTTTTATGGAAGCAGATTTGCATCAATATCCTCAACTGTCTGTATCAGTTTCCCCCTAAACCTCCTCAATAAGCTCCATGTCTCTCCTCACTGTCCCACTCCCCCATCCTCGTCTCCCTCTCTCTCTCCGTCTCTTTTGCGTCTCATCTGTCTCAATGTTTCAGATGGAAACAATCATGCTACTTGGAACAGATCCACAAAGAGCATAAGAGCCCCGCCCCCAAAAAAGCAATCATGATTTCCACTGTCGTACTTCGAAGAAGCGTTGGGCACAAAGAAACTAATGTGTAGTTTGTTATTTGAGCGGAAAGTTATCGCAAACACATTTTTAAGCCAAACATTCATTTGACTTAACGTATTTTTACTAAACTAAGCAAACTGGCTGCTGGCCAAGCTTAATATTCGGACGTGACGGTGAATAAAGTCGTAGGCTACAGACAGCCGCTGGGCTACGTAGCTTAGCATGACGACAGGGGAACACCGCTAGGCTAGTTTGTCTTAGCTAGTCTGATTGACTGTAACAAAATCCACCTACCAGCACATCAAAAGCTCACAAATTAATATCAAACAGAAGGAAGTCACTGGCCCAAATAATTAGCCAGCTGTTGAGCAGCTGGCAGGTGAATGTTTATAGATGGAGCAAGGACAGCTGTTTTCCTCTGTTTGCAGTCAGTTGCTAAGCTAATTGGCTACTGGTGGTATATTTATATTAAGTGTGACATCAATCTCCTCATCTAACTCTTGTCCGGAAAGAGATTAAATGCTTAACCATTATAAAGTATTGGTTTTAAGTTATTCCGTCAACTGTAAATGCTTCGTACTGCATTCTTCGCTTCTTCATTCTTTTTTTATCGTGACCTCGAGCGCCTTTTGCTTGACAAACTGTTATACAACCACTCGATGCATCTTTTGGGGATGGAATGATTAATGCTAGTTAAACATCCTCCCTCACTCTGTGTTTTTCCATTCAGATTTGGGTCTGTGTACACTGGAATTCCTCCATGAGGCTCCAGGCAGTTGAGTTGAGGTTGAGAACATACCTGATTATTTCTTTTGGTTTCTAGTGCCCCATTTTCAATCATATTGTCAGACAAAATGAATAACCGGTGCACAAAAACGCGTGCTTTTATGAGATCAACATACAATCAAGAGTAAAACAACACATGGCGTCTAAAAGCTCTTCTTTAGCTGTGAAGCTAATTCCTCTTTGTACAGGAGAGAACTCACGTGTTGCACAGTTCACTTATGTGTTATTTTAATTCAACTGCACTACTCAAGCTCTGTCCCAACTTTCTGAAAACTGGCCTGAGAGACTGACCTCGCCCCGGAGCTCTTTACCCGTTTCCGCTGCACGTTGCATTATTTCATGCCACATCAGGCTATTTTAGGGAGGAAGTATGTCGCATCCTGGTATTGTGGGAAGGTTTGGCTTCACCTGTGTTACACATTAGACGTCCATGTATCTGTAGCCCTTTTTGAATATGTTTTTTAAGGTTTTTCTAAATGTGTGAGTTATGACTTGTTTAGTAGAAACATCCTCGGTTTCCTGGCAACACTTCCTCCATTTCAAGACTTCCTGTGCACTCCCTGTAGGCATTTGCAAAAAAGATTCTTGCACAGATTCTTGCTTTAAATCACGTGACGGGTCTCAAACGTAGTCTACACTCTCATTTGATCCACTGGAGGCCTGCAGAGGGTCTCCCCACTTTCACAGTCCTCTTAATGGGTGTTTGTGCAGATAAAGAGGGCCTTTCGTTGACGTCTATGGGGCAGAATCTCTTTCCCTCCAGCACCCAAACAATGTGCTCAAAGTCATCTGCAAAGACACGATCTACAACTGAGAACTGACCCTGTGACCAGCTCCTCTTCAGACTGACTCTATGTGGTGGATGTTTAAGGCCGTGGTGATTCATTTGGTGGTTTGTGTGTTTGGCAGCTGAGAGGGTGACATCGCTGGGCAAGGACTGGCACAGGCCATGTCTGAAGTGTGAGAAGTGCAACAAGACGCTGTCGGCGGGCTCCCATGCAGAGGTACAGACAAGAATATCCTGTGACCTTTAATAATTTGCCTAAGGTTTGGTTTGCAAATCTGAATTCACACTTAAATATCTGTGGTTGACTCCAAAAGTTATAAATCAGATCAATTTCAATATTGTCATGACAGAAATAGGTGATCAGATAAGATGCAGGATTTGTCTCTCTTTGGCTAATACAACTCTCTCTTTTACAGCATGAAGGCAAGCCGTACTGTCACAACCCCTGCTACGGTGCAATGTTTGGACCTAAAGGTAAGCATGTTCCCCTTTGATCAGAAGACTCTCTGCTCTGTTCTGTGTCTAATAACGTTGAAGCTGTAACTGAATAAACCACTTCTTACATAATTGGCAACATTTTTGTTCAAATCTTGTGTGAAAGAGTAGGTTCTCGCTCAGATTTCCAAAGTAAAAGTCACAAATGTCTCATGTTAATGGTCGTTCATTGATGTATTTCCTTGCTTTCTCTTCCCTCTAAGGATTTGGCCGTGGTGGAGCCGAGAGCCACTCATTTAATTAGACAGGTGAAGTGCGCACATTCATTGTTCAGTCATTTGCTTGTTGGCCTCATGCATTTTCATTTTATTTGTTAAGGCAAACACAACCCTTTTCTTTAGGCAAATCCATTCTTGTACTTTCCCTGTATGACTAATGTGCCATTTCCTCTGCTTCACCCGCAGGTTTGAAGTTGCCTGGAAACTAGATAAAAGAAGCCAGCACTGCTCCCAAAGTTCCAATAAAAAGGGCAAACATTCAGATTTCATTGTTGTTTTTACTTCTGATTTCTGAAGGATGTCTGTGTATCATTCCCATGACATAGTAATGAAGTGGTTGACCAGTCTCATTCTGTTTTTACGGTCATTATGAATAAACTTTTTAAAATTTGTGTTATTCTTCAATTCTATTTTTTTAATTTATATTTTCTCTGCAGCCTTTGCATGAAACCACATTGCATTGGAGCAAAACATGACATAGTTCAAGTGACATGCATTTTATGATTTATTCCTGACCATAAACAAAACTGAATATACAACAGAATCTTAAACCCCCAAATAGGTCGATATAAACTAAGCTACATAAATACACCTAATCAAAGCAAATACAGAGATCAAGTTGAATGACACCATCAGCTCCCCCGTGTGATGAAAACCAAATCCCCTTTAAGTATTACACATGGAGGCTCTGCTGTTGTAGCACGCAGCTGTTTAATAAGTAGGTTTAAAGTTTATTTTGGACCATGAAAAGCAACGACAAGGAAACGTGTATTTCACCTGGTCAAGCTGCAGAGGTAGAATGTGTGAAGGGTTGAAAGCTCCAGGACGGCGACTCAAGAGACCTTGTGGTTCGGGATTGTTTTGCCAACTATTTTTGGAGGCCATTGAATGAACTTTAAATCTCCACAGTAATACTTTGATTGATGCTGCTCAAAATACGGTCAAAAGGGTTTTTTTTAGCAACGCATGCAAATCTGTCAACTGCGCTCATGGTGGTGCATTGTGGGTGGACAAGGTCGGCTTGATGAGTTTCTCCCGATGCAGCACATGCTTTCCATTTCCTTCCCTGTGGGTTTGTTTGCCAAATGTTTCCTCTGTACGGCCGCCCTCGCCGTCCATGAGTTACGAAGCAGCCTCCACCCACCACCGAGCCTCCGCCATCCCAGCCCAGCAGTTGCTACGGCAACAGACACAAACAAGACCCAACAACCAGTGTGCCCAGCCGTCCATCAGTCTGGCTGTCACTCTCTCACTTCTCTGCAACAAAGACGCTCGCTGTCACAGGAAATGACAACCAAGGACACACACACACACACACACACACACACACACACACACACACACACACTGAGGCAACTGATGAAAACATGCAGAGGATGTTTGGGAGTGGAGCATTTTCCAGATTTTTCTCTAAACTAGTTGTCAAATGAAACACAAAGGTATCTTGTCCATGTACGATCTGCAACATGACCTGAGGTTACACCGTAGTCTTTGTTGTCATCTGGTTTTTAACTTTACTTATTATTTTGTGACTGTTTAAGAACGTGGGTTTTCAACTTTAAGACTCAAATATAGATAGATTTAATTAAAGAGGGGAAAGAAATGCTAAACGCACTCTAACAATACTTTTTAAAATGAAAGAATATGAGAAGAGAAAAATATACTGCTTCATTGGCCTAAAATGAAGACATTCATGGATAGCCACAGATTTTTTACAAATATTTTTTAATGATTTTTGAAAGTAGCATTTCAGGTCGACATCTCACTTCTTCGATTAACTCATACCAGCTAGCTAATTGAGCTATAGTCTACTCTACTTTACTATTGCAAACAATAATCCGTCATAAAACAAGAATTTTGTATAAAGATAAATACATTGTATACAGTTTATACATGAGTGGGGTGATCATGTATGATGTAATACAAAAACTATTGCTTTTCCTTGTGAGGAACAGTTACTGGCTTAAAAAACAAACAATCAGTAAAGCAAAGTGGAAAATCTTCTTCCATTCTTCTTCTAGTAGTGTGGGCCAGGAAGCACAAACATCTTGGTCTTCAGTGCATCCAGATCTCTGTGTGAAGCTTTGAGCAGTAGTAAAGTTCACAGTTAAGTAGAAGCCACGTCTCCGGCTCACAGCGCATACTTGCTCCATGATGTCGAGACCTAATGAGCATAATTTCCGGACATGATCATAACGAAAGCTTTGTGAAGGCAGTAACCACGTTTGTAAAGCACTTACGATGACTTACGCCGCACTTAAAGTGGAGTGTTACCAGTTTTTTTCTTCCTGTCGAGCTGGAGGAGGGAAGCGGGACGACCTGCAGCGTCAGCGTGAATCGGAGGCCCTCAGTGATGAAACTATAAAATTAGGCTCATAAACCTATTAAGGGCTGGAAAATAAGTCTCACGGCTAATACAGCTCATCTCCACATGCAGCCCAGGAAGCTCACGAGTAAGAAATATATCAATTCCAGTGGACAGTGAGGGTTTGGCTTAGTTAACTTTATTGCATGTTTTATGTGAGGCCAGAGTAAAATAATGTCGTCTACAAATGTTAAAGCGGATAGGGCTGATTTTGATACTTGTTTATGTTGTAGCACTTGAAGAGAGTATAGAGACAAAATAATCAAATCATTATTATATTAGATAGAGATTTAATTATCAGGTCAGACATACAAGAATCTACCATGTTTCTACCTCGACTAAAAGACTAACAAATTGTAGAACTTAACTTCTACTTTTAATGGCACTTAACTATAGCAAATTATAAATTGGCTTATTTGAGGAAATTGCACTTTCGTGTTTCTTGCTCTTCTGAGTTTGTATCCTTATGGTTGAAATGTACTTATTGTAAGTCGTTTTGGATAAATGCATTATCTAAATGACATGTAATGTAATGTAAAAGAATAAATTACACTAATTTCATGGAGTATAACATGATTGATCAGGAAAAAAACAAATCAATTTCCGTTTTACAGTGCTTTATTTTAAATCTGATGTTGGTGACTCCTACTGATGTAATACTGTGTAATACACACGTGGTAGTTCAGCCATAGCAGTAAGTAACACTTAATAATCATACAACATAGTCACTGACACTTGACGCTGTTTTTTTTCTATTTTTAAAAAACTTCGCATTGTGGGACTGTTGGCAAAAAAATCTAAATGTGTAAAAATGTCCATAGCTACAGTTGTGGAAATTAACGTAACCAGCTGCTGTACTTAGATCCAACTTTGATGGACTTTACTTGAGTACTTCCCTTCAAAGCTGCATTGTGCTCTTCTACATGTATATAAAGTGTGGTCATTAAAACGAGCTCCTCCTCAACCAGCTACAACATTGACAGCATGAAGTAAAAAATGATGGGATAATAAAGTATATGTTGAAGTGACATTTCAATATCAAGGCCTATTCTCTTGTTTAATAACTCATTTTGTTTTTGACAAACCTTTTTGACAAGTACTTACATCAGAGTATGTAACATAGTAATGAAAAGGTCTAAACACACCTTCCACCACTGCAGAGCCCCATAATGTGGGTACGTTTAACTATCAGAATAACATGGCGGTGGGATATTATAAACCTGTGCGCTGTGGAGTGAACAGGGAGAGTTATTACTGTTATTGCCTCAGTGTCAATGAATATTTTACAACATACAGGCTTTAAAAAGTAGTTTCTTTCAATTTCAAAGAGAAATCACTGGCATCAGAACCAAAAGGCACCAGAGAATTTATGATACAAATACCAGTGTTAGTGCTCAGCCTGCAAAGATTTCTTCACATCTGGAAATGCTGTTTAGAATCTGCACGTCAGAGTCAATGCAACTAGTAGTTTGCAATTTTTATTTTTGGTTATGAACAAATCTACTTCTAAACCCACTGTTCGGTCTTGTAGGAGAGGCTCTCCTCAGCGTGTGAGACATTACTCACCCATTACTGGACTTCCTGCTTTCCTAACAATGTGTGACTGTTGAAAAGCGTCAAATACATCATATCCTCCAGCTCACGAACACACAGAGGACTTTAAACGGTTTCACATGAGTGAAACTGTAGAAGCCAGTTTTAATATGGACACACACCGGCCTTTTGCCAACAGGCTTTTATTATTTTTCACATATGTCGTTCCGACAGGATTGAACTTTCTAAAGTGGGCCAATAAAATAATAATGTTCATTTGTGTGAATCATACATTCACCCGTCGTTTCCCACATTGTCATTAGTAATTCAGCCAGGGTTTATCATCAATGGCAATAACAACTAAAACCAAATATTGATAATAAGCATTATTATTATTAATTAATAATTCAAGAATTATCTTATTATAGTAATTCCTGGTATAGAGCGATACAAAGACACAATGACACAACAAATAACTGAAGAGAGGGACGACAACAACAAGGAGACATTAAATGACTACAAACAGACTGAACGCAATAAAGAGGCAACAAACAAGTGATGGAAGAGACTACAAAAAGGGGATGAACTACCACAAAGAGGCAAATAACGACTACAAAGGGAAATAAATCAGCTACATGGGGGCTCCAAAATGACTTAAGAGACTCCAAAATGACTTAAGAGACCAAGTTGCAACAGACACCAAAGGGACAGAATGAGACACAACATCATTACAAAGACACTCAGCTTAAGAGACACAAAATGACTGCAAATGCAGAAAAGAGTCAAACCAACTACAACTACTGAGTGGCACAAAATGACTACACGAGGAGTCGAAACAACCACAGATTGTAACGGCCACAAAGACACAGAACAACATCTGTTAAATGGGGCTCTTGCTCCTATAAGCGGGGCTTTTTGCGTGTCTGTATCTCGGGGCCTGTTGTCTCATAACCCTCCTCCTCCTCCTCCTCCTCCTCTTCCTCCTCCTCCATCATTGTGGTCCCTGGACAAGTCAGATCCGGTGTGTGAAATGTGGAAACTTGCTCCTGCAGAACCTCCGGCCCTGACAAACGTTAACTCGGGCCGAGCCTTCGGTCCTGTTGCAGAGCGGCTGAGCGCTTCGATCCGGAGCCTCCGAGACAAAGAGCTTCATTTCGCTGCATCTGGTCCTCGTTGCTCCGATGGAACACGCAGAGCCGTCTCAAATGATCTGTGTCACCTATCATTCCTTCCCTCTCATCCTTCCTCTCCTTCTTCCCTCCACCCTCCCTCGTTTAGCATTCCTGGGCTGCAGCTAATTAGAGCTGCTGTACGCCTGCGCCGTCACTGCAGCGCCCCGTCGCGGCACATGCGTATAAATAGGCCCTGTGGTGCTGTAATTGCTAATAAGGATCCAGAGGAGGAAGAGCCGCTGCCATGAGCATTTGTAATCAGCAGCGACTTCAAGCACGGGAGGAAGCTCTGGGCGCCGGGCTGCATAATGAGGTGGACGGGCCTCTTAGGCTGCATCTCAGAAAATGATCTTGGTGAATCAATCAAGCGCTCTTTTCCCTGTTGGAGCAAAAGGTTGAAAGTCTGTTAAACTCCCTTCTGCTCCAATTAGGCGTCAAGCAGCTTCAATAAGAAGAACGTGGATAAAAGGTGGATAAACTATTTACCATGTTCAGTATCTTAATTTATACTTTTAGCATAAGACCATTGGCTCATGCCGGTGTTTTGTTAATTAATCAAAGTATTGGAGGTGGTGTTATACATAAAAGGTCAAATCAAGTCATCACCAAAGTAATTATAAGGAATCCTTTAGGGAATATGAGTGTGTTCAGAAGCTAATTTAATCCTATCAGCCTGGACCAAAGTGGTAGATCAGAGTGACTGTGATAGCGTGGCTAAAAAATGCATCATGCAGTCATTTTTAATTGTGTACCTTTTTTTGTCCCATGGGACATTATAATGAGTCTTGTTTACTATTTGCTGACACTTTGTAGAACACACGGCTCTGTGTTAGACCCGATATTAAACCGTGTCACACGGAGGTGGAGCAGATCGACGGGTGATGAGTGTTCTTCCATGTGTGAAAGGGGCAAAAAAAACAAACAAACATTAATTTCCTCTCTTTTCAGTGCACCTGGCCAGGATCACCGGTTATTCCCTCGATGCGCGTTGTCTGAGCCCACAGGGACCCTTAAATTGTCCTGCCGCAGTGATGAATACCGTTGGAGGAAATTCTCAGAATTGTGTTTCTGTAGAGAAAAGACCAGTGCAGTTTTTCACACTCAAAAGACAAAGACAGATGGACGCGAATGAGCTTTCAAGCAATTTTGTGATTCGGTGTTGTCCAAAGATCTCCTATGAGACGTCCCTTTGGTGTCGAATTCTCTCCAGCTGCACGGCCGTCCGATAAAGTTGTGTTCTTGCACCGATCTCCTCCAATCCTCTCGTCCCTTCCCTCCTGTTCCTTCTCCTCCCACGGTTTGGAACAAGCAAAAAAAAAAGAGAGTACACGAGGACACATCTGATCCGCATGCTGTTCTTGTTTGCCTTTCCCAGAATGCATTGCTGCTGGACCTGGTGCTAGTGGGAGTTGGCAGTTCCCCACCTCCTTGTATCGCCATTATTTTTATTTATTTATTTTATTTGTATATCGCTTTTTATTGTACTCAAAGACACTTACATTGAAATAATCAAACATAAAAAAAAAGAAAGAAAAGAAATTGACCTTTTCTACAACGAACTGCTTCATCGAGGAGAAAAATCCCAGCGCGGTAAACAAAATATGGCGACAGGTGTAAATGAAAGAAAACAGAAGCAATAAACAAAGTAACATTACAGTAAGAATCAGTAAGAAAAAGGGAGTTTGTGCACGTTGGCAGCTTCAATTTGAACTCAAAATTCACTAGAACTATTGATTTTACATAAAGAGACACTGTGTCTTTACTGAGACGGATCACGGTTGTTTTGTCTCAGTTTAGATTCCTTGATATTTTGCACTGAAGTTTAAATATTTCACATTCTGAGCATGATTTGGTTGAAATGATCATCACAAAATCAAAAGGATTCATTTCACTTTCAAACGCAACATAATAAAGAAATTAAAATCCCAGTTCTTAGTTTGTCAAGTATCTTAACTTAAATTCAGAATTTGTGGTAATATAGAACAATTGCCCATCGCTCTATGCTGTGATGCCATAAATTATTTTGTCCACATTGTAGAATGTCTTATATATATATATATATATATATATATATATATATATTTTAATATAGTAAACTGGGTAGAGGAGATGCTTTCCTCTTTTTCAGCTCAACACATTTATTCAAACCAATAATAATATGTATAACTTTAGCGGTTTTACGAGACTGCAGCAATGCTGCCCCCTTGTGCAGCTTCTCCTCTGAAGCATTTAGCAACAATGTCGACAACTTAAAAAAAAAACACTCCAAAAAGATTCTTGAAGATTCTAAAATTTTAATATACAGTGCTTTGTAAATCATTACTAAAAACAAAAAGGTGGTAAAAATCAAATTGAAACCAATAAGTTACACGGTAATAAAATGCACTGGAGATTCCTTTTCATGTTTCCTCATTAGTGTGAACCCCATGTATGAAAATAGCATAGAAAGTATGCAAACGTAGAATTTCATTCTGATATATTTGTGTCTAACTTTTTAGCTAAATAAAACATTTGTCCGCTTCCAATTCCCTTTAGCAACTGGATGAAATAAGGAAAGTTTACAGCCGTGCGTTTATCTCAACAGCCTCCATTTCATCTAGAATTCTGCTTTTTTTTAAACTTCTCAAAACAGCTTGAAAAATCATCTTGGTGGCGACAATGACGACTTCAAGACAAGCCCAAATAAAAAGGAAATATAAATACACATGTCGCAAACAGTCTGCAAAAACCTTTTCTTTTCCTCCTCTTGACTGGCGTAGTTTTTGACCCCTTTCACACACGCACGCACACGCACGCACACGCACACGCACACACACACACACACACACACAGTCTGTGCATAGACCCCGTTTCTTGCGGAGTAACCGGTATTTGGAGCACCCCCCCCCCCCCGCACTTCCCCTCTGTGGGTGAACCTCCCCTCTGTGGGTGGACCTTCCCCTCTGTGGTTGAACTTCCCCTCTGTGGTTTGTCCTGGAAAGGAAAACTACCCTCTAACCCACTCGTCGCTGTGATAACAGCAGCTGGCTCCGGGCCCCCGGGCGCAACGCAGAAACACGCAGCAGAGATCACAGAAACAAAGTCGACCGCAGATACACACGACATATTTACAGTCCACTTCAGACGTTCGGATTTGTTTCCACCCCCCCAACTGCATTCAAACGTTGGCCCCGGAGTTTGTTGCAGAGTCACGCTGCCCTTCAGTAAACCGCTGACCCGCATGGCCGAGGTTTCGACACAGCGTCAGTGTCACAACAATCTGAACACAGGCTCGGAAACAAGACGGACTCCACTCCAATACTTTCCTGGCATAATATTTTTCAATTTAGACTCCATGAATATCAGCAAACTGGGAATTTATATTTGTGAATGTAGAATTCTGATAACAGCACTCAAAACCCCCCACTAGTTTGGCAGAAAATAAATATTCTTTCTTAGGACAGTAAACTATTTACTGAATTATTTAAAGACTGTGGGAAAAGTGTGTAAGTAAGAAGATATCTTCAAAACATTAAAAACACTAGTTTAAGTTTACAGGAAAGAATTCTTCTCTTCCTCTAAATGGAGCTTTGTTGATTTCAATAGTTACTGACATTTGATATGTGGTTGTAAAAAATAATAAAATAATTAGAGATATATATCATGTTTCATTTAAAATCTCCTTAATAAGGTTTCAGTTTGGTTCACAGGTGGGGGGGGCTTCTGCTGCTGTCTTAATGTTTGTTTTTACCAGCCAATTGTTTACTGGAGCTAAACCTTCATGTTAGTGGTCACGTCATCATCTGCCTGAGATCACTTTCCAAAACACGTGTTGAATTTTTCTGTGCAGTTTGTTGTATCCATGGAGACCTGTAGTCTGCAACAGTCGGTGCCTCCTATCGGTTACAGGGTTGACAACAAGGCATCCTGAGAAGCAAGGGGGGGGTGTCAAGTTGTTCTATTGCACATACATTTCTTCATTTCTAGCTTCCAAGAAGATGTCACAGTTATAAACAGGCAGCAATTAGCATTGTTTTTTGTTTTTCTATTTAAATAAAAAGAACGGTAGCAAGAAAAAAAAAAATGCTATGGACAAGAAAGAAAATAGCGCTTAATTGAATTGCAGCCCAGATCAGAATGATATAATAATAATAATAATAAATGATAATCAACAGGAATATTCACAAAAACAATAACCACATATAGCAACACAGGCATTAAAAGTAACGTCTACCTGTTTATACATTTATAAAAAAACAAGTGTAAAATTGATTGTCATTTTAAGATAAAAAGCATTACAACATCCAAGGCATCAACAGTGAGGAACAAACTGGGAACTATAGAAAAGTGACACGAACAGAGGGGCGATTCACAAAACAAAAGGACAACGCTCAGATGGGGGGGGAGGGCTCATTTAGTGCACATCATGCGTCTGAGAAAAGCTTTTCGGCAGCTTTGAGTGCAGGAGGGGCGTCAAAACAGTTTGTACGTGCCACCTGTCCGTCTGTGTCCGCCCGAGAGCAGAGGAACTCGCTGCACCCCCCCCCCCCCCCCGCTGGTCCGGGGTCCCATCAAAAAAGAATCCCATTGGAGGGAGCTTTAGCGCGCGCGTTGCGGTTTCACGCGAGCGGAAACAAAAAGTCCTTTCAGGAGGAGGGCCTGGCGAACGAAGGCTTTGAATTGAGCCCTGTGGACAACGGAGGGTAACCACTTGAGAAAGCTCTTTGCAACCGAATAAAAGGGGCGTTCGGCAAAAAGGCGTACCACGGGTTCAGCCGGTGCGTCACAAAAACAGCCAATACGTCCTGTATGTGCTGCGTAAAATTTCAAGGAGAGATCCTCCTTCTTTCCTTTCTTTTAATTATATAAACGTCCCGCCCTCCGCGAGGAGAGGGGCTCTGCGGTACACGTTCTTCTATAAGGCAGGGCCTCGTGCGCGTCAATCTCCCGGTTCAAAGAAAACCGCGTGTGGCGTGCCCCCCCCCCTTTGTTGGGTCCCCGTTGAGCTGCCGCGCGGCGGCCTCGGAGGCCGCTTTCACCGCCGCCACTCGCTCCTCGGCCTCCTTCTGCCGCAGCGCGGCGGCCTTCTTCTCCTGCTCGGCGTGGCTCTTCATGTGGGCGCTGCGGCTCTTCACCTTGTAGAAAATCCTGAGGGAAACCAGAGAAGAGCCATTTAAAAGAAAAGAAAGAACAACGGAATCTGTGGCATTGCAGGCTGGATGGCGCCTGTTACGGCTTCTTGTTGTTTGGAGCCACAGTGCTCGCACTCTGTTTGCCATCTGGCACGCTGGCGCCACAGCTGAGGTTTAAATAAACAACACCATGGCGTGCAGTTTGGGAAAAAGATAATTAATGTACGCCCACGGTGGGTGAAGAGAAAGTCTCCCCACCTTTCATCGCAGTGTTTATATACACACACACACACAGCGTTTATCCCCCCGGCGTTGTAAATCTAGGGGAAACATGTTAATAACGCCTTAATCATGCTGCCTGTGTTATTTTATTAATATGTTTCATGCATTGTTAACATTGATGAAAATCAAATATTTGAAAAGAGGGAAATGGCAAGTCGGATTATTTTGAGTCATCACCACTATTTAAAGTGGGCTTTTAGTCAGTTTTGACCATTTTTAATAAAGGAAAGAACAACCGGTAACATTTAATACAGAGATCTGGATCTCTATTATATTCCGTTCAAATGCTGTGGCAGAAAATATCAGTGAAGGGAAGAAAAAAAAAAAAAAAAAAAAAAAAGCTAATGCACTAAGGGAGAAAATGTTCCTTCATTCTTGTTAGTTCATGGAGTTTTTTGACCTTCTGTAGATTCCCAGAATAGCAAAGCGCAATTTATCATCCATCAGCCACAATCTGAGGTTGTACATCATCGCAAAAGGAAAATGCTTGTCTGTGTCTAATTTAGAGAAAGCAAATGAATAAATGATCAAAATGCATTAACCGCTCATCACATTTATTTATATTATATTGCCATAATGCTACAAGAGAGCACGGTTATAAAAGAATGCATCTTTCTCTCGGCCTGTCTTCATAAAAGACGAGTGAAGGATGTATGAAAACACCCCAGCATGTGACACGAGCTTCCTGTAAACACACACTTGGTGACTCTGAAGCGGTGGATGATCCACAAGCAGCTCACTTTGAGCACGGCGAGTACCCAGAGGGCGAGCGACGTCACGCCACCGGGCTGAGCTGTCGAGAGGCGCGATGGGCCCCCTCCATCTACCTTGTGTTTCAGTTGCTAGGACACCGTTGGCAACAACAGGCCCCGGTGTTGCCAGAGGACGCGCGGTCATCTAATCACAAAGGTTTGATTCCTTCCAAACCCCCAAGAGACACTTGGCCTCTATGAAAAATCCAAGTGGGCAGCAGCAGGAGCAACATTCCCTGCAGAAACCGTGCACTTCATGTCCAGCCGGTTCAGTCGGAGGCCACTTATGTAACCGCCGCCGTCGGCTTCGCATCAGCCAAATGAAGCCTCCGTAACATAACAGCAGCGCGTGAGGCGACGATCACTCACCTGCCACATTTCTTGCAGGGGAACTCTCCCTCCTGACCAGCAGGGACTTTGGTGCCCGTCGACGGGCTGGTTTTACGCGCGTTGGCGTCGTAGCGAGACTTGGAGCCGGGAGGGGGAGGCGGAGGCGGTTGGGCGACCCGGGACAGCAGCTGGTCCCTCGCAACGTCCTCCTGGCCCTTCATGATCAGGACGGTCGCCGGCTGCACGCGCCACACACAGAGAGAGAGGCAGGGATTTAAAAACGGGACAGAAACCGTCGCTGGGAGCAACTAGGAAAGAAAATGTGTGCGCCTGCAGCTGGTTTATGAGCACCTTTGACGTAGGTCAGTGGGTCAGTGGCAGGCACACATATGGCAGTTAACATAAAGACACATAAACAAGCACTTTTAACAACAACCCCTTATGTGTGCTGAACGCTAAGAGGATAAAGGTTTCTTGCAGAGTCATTGTTTGCTGACGGACGTAATGGGGTTACACAATCCAGCCTAAAATATCTACTCTAAAACACCCAGCAGGGGGCAGCAAATCCAACACTGGAGCCGGCACAAGAAGGGAGCAGTTCAAAAGGTCACGCCTGATGAGGTCAAATGGGGATTTTAAGCAGTAATGTGCAGAGGAGGCCTTTAGCTTTGCACAGTCTCTGTAAACAGGCTTTTGTTTCCTTTAGATTCATGCATATCTGAGCAAAGGCTGGTGTGAAGACAATAATATTAGAACTTCTATGAGCACTTTCATGGCTTTGAGAAATTACACTTTTTGCCAAAATGAAGAACAGCACGCGGTATTGTAATTAGAATTTAACCACCAGCGTATTAATTAACACGTACAACAATGACATTAATCCCTGCGGAGTACTGACCTACTTCATGGTTTTGCATGGTTTTTCAATACCATTATTATCACATTTTCTATAGTAGTTTATGAGATATCAACATTAGATTTTTTTTTTCTTTGTATAAAGTGCACAAGAATGTCTTTCAGTGCAAATAAAGTTCTACCCTATCAAATCTTATTTTACGGGTTGTTTCCAGCCATAAAAAGAGAAACAAACACTTCGTAAGTCCTGAAAGTGGTCAAAAATCCCAACTGAAGCTTTGAGTTTGTGATGGAAAATACGCACATATTTACTTTACTTCAAGCTTTACTGCAGAAACACGACGAGGAGCCGACTCATCCGCCAAACTACAAAAAGTTACTACTACTAAGTTACTGTGGACATTCATGATGAAGACTTAAAAAAACACATATAAATAATTCTGATCACCTCCGAGACCCTGACAGCACAGTGTGTAGTGTGTGCGTGTGTACGGTGTGTGTTTGTGTGTATGAAGCATTAACTGACCCTGATAAACAAACAGCATTTCCTGTTGCACTTTCAAAGGAGAGAAGACTTGTGAGGGCAGATATTCTAAAAACTATCCCAAATCAGGAAACCCTTCCCAACAGGACTCGCCTGAAAGTGTTTTCTTTATTTCATTGAGACGAGGATATTTGATCACTAAAGAAATTATATTATTTTAAACTACAGGACGTTTTGCCATGATTGTCGGTTCAAGAAGCAAACTGATCCCAGACAAAAACAACCCGTATACGATGGATGTCTCGTCCCATGCCAGTGATTAGCTCATGTTGGGAATCAATTAACACTCATGTTATTATGCGCAGCAATGGAATCGGATCCTGTTACATTTCTCAAGTTGTGTTTGTTATTTCCCTTCCGTTCCCATGCAGAGCTGCTAATTGATCGCACACTCACATTCTCAGCGGACTGCAGCGTGTGCGCCGCTCCGGCGGGGCCGACATCCGGCTTCCTGTCAGCTGACCCCTCCCACTTCCTGCCGTCCTCCTCCCTCTGTGGCTCCAACCTGTGATGACCCTGCTGGTCCCAGGAAGAAGAGTGTGAGACGCCACAGAGAAACGACCTGTGGAAAGCTCTATTGTGAGTCATTTACTAAACATTACTACTAAGTTTTTTCTTTGTGAAAGGGACGAGCAGTAAACACGGACAACTATACATTTATGTAGTATTGAATAAACAACTTCGGTGGATTAAACGACTCTGCATCTACTATTCAGATGGACAACAGTATGGTGGAACATCCGGAGTGAACGCAGCTCATGGCAGGTATTCTGAGCCGTGTTATTTCTGAACAGACACTTTGCATTTAGTTTCATGTTTTATCACATGGTCCAGATCGTTCCACCTGCTTTATTCATTTAAACTTTATCGGGGGCTGTGTTCGCTGAAAAGACGTCTTTGCCCGTGTGTCGGTGTGCCGTTCACAGGCTGGAATATTTCAATCCAAGGCGCTTGGTAGGTTGCCTTCATGCCGTTACTAAGCAACAAAAACAACAACAACAAGCTACACTGACCATCAGTGAAACAAAGTCAAAACAATTGCATTTCTGCCATGTAGATGGCGAACAGGAGGTCTGCGGCTCGCTTTTGGGAGGGTTCAGTTTGGCTGAACGATGTTGCGACGTCCTTGGACCGAAAAAGGTGCAGCAAGTGGAAGACAAACACACCTCCAGCGCAGGAACTCGACGCTGCACGCCACTGACCTTGTGGTCCGTCGTCTCCTCCTCCGTGGTCTTGCTGTCGAGCGGCTCCAGCTCGCCGTAGATCAGCAGCCCGTTGCGGCCCATCTTGACGTGTTTCTTGTACGTGTAGTAAAACTCCACACACTGCGCCACTGACTTAGTGGCCACCTGGAAACCACACACACACACATTTATTAAATGAATAGACATTCTCTCACTAGGTTACAGAGCTCATAACGCTTTTAGGGCATTTTGGAGCTGCCAGTGCTGCTGTGGAGCGGCAGAGCAACCTCCCAAGACGTGCAGCTGTTGTTATTCATCGTCTGCTTTTATTTCCATATATGAAATGTCCTACGGATAACACAGCAACATAGGATTTGTTTGGAGAGGCTTCGTTGTTGCTATCCGCTACAGCAAAGACGGGGCCAGGCACAATAAAAGCCTGAAGCACATTAAGAAAAATCCCATTTAAAAAGCCTTTATTGTGGCGGGTTAGCCGATGAACACTGAATAACAATGAAACATATTTACTTGAGTTTACTTCTTGATCAACAAAGTGCCACGGACAAGAAAAATGAATGATTGACTGCAGACACTGGCAATAATCAAACCAGAAGGAAGCATTATTACGGAGTGACTGGACATCCCTTCTCAGGAAAAACATTGCGTGCAGCGGTTTCATTTTTGGGGACGTTTTACAGCCACTGCGTGACCTTCGCCAGCACAGAGCGCTTTTGTTTTCATCTCCTTGCATTTGAAACCACAACATACCTGTTTCTGCACCATGAAGAAGTCCTTCTTGTATGTGGCGATGCCTTTGTTGAACTGCCGTCGCTCAGCTGCGCTCCAGCTGTCTGATCCTGAACGAAAGAGAGAGACGCAGACCTTTAAAAAGCACTCGAGGATCTGCTTGCAGACTACATTCTGAATGGGTGGGGAGACCCTGACGAGTTCAATCCCAGCCCCCCACCCTTAAAACCACACACAGCAACATAGTGGAATCACTCGATAAACAATGGCGCTCCTGTCTTCTGCTTGGGATTAGCCACATGCTGCAGACCCCCTCCTTCCCTCGTCGCGTTGACCCTGACAATCCACCACAGTCGCCCACTCCCCCCCCACACGCCACACGCCACAGCCCCGACACCCGCACTACTGCAGCTGCCACGGCCCCTGTTCAATGGTGGACACGTCCGGTATTATAAACCAAAACACATAGTCAGAGTTTTACGACAGTTTTCAATGTGTTATTTGCGTTTGTTTTGGGCGTCTAAATGCCAGCTGGGTCGGGTTCATCAGATATGGCAGAACTTTCTCGTGACGACCGAATGTTAAGACAATTATGAAGAGTTTTGGCAACTGTCTAACAATTTGCTCGTCCTTGTCTCCATGTCGCTGCTGTAAATCTACGACTGGATTAAGGATTATGCTCATTATCAAATGGCTGTAAGGCGATCTCATTATCTGATATTCATGGCCTTACAATGTTATCATATTTGAAATGAATAATAACCCTGTAAGTCAAATTCATCTTTAAATGGGTCCGTTGGGTGTTTTGACAAATCAATTACACTCAAAATGAGCGTCGGGATGTAGAGAGAACCTGTAACCATAACGGCATAAAAGATTTAAGAGGCGCTTGACTATCTACACATTATGATTGGCATTGTTGAAACAAAATGTATTTAATCCATCACAATTGTTAGCAATACCGATAATCATTTAACGAATTGTTTGGTGGAGACAAATAGTGAAAATTGACCCTTGATATAGTTCAATATGTAATTCAACATAAATACAGAAGAAAAAAAACGTGTTTTGTACCTGAGTAGTGGTAGTTTGTTAGATTATGAGACGGGGGGAAAACTGGATTCTTCAGCATCAGGAGGGACAGGGCAGCCTGAGGGACAAAAAAAAACACTTTAACAATGCGTGAAAGCAACAAACGTCAGCAGCGCAGCGCTAATCGCCACACAGCCGCTCACAGACTCCATCAGCCGCTTCCATTTGTTGTTTCCTAAACACGCACAATCACACGTAGGCGAAACAATGAGCCGGTTGCTCGCCGTTAACCGGGGGGGAGGATAAGCATCGTTCTCATTTGTCCGACGTGCATCAGGTGTCCGGTGCATCACACCCAGCAGGGGCCAAGCGAGAACCAGCTCAGTGTTCTCTGGGGAAGAAAAGCGTGTTGACCGCTCATGAATGTTGAAAGACGGCAGTCTGAGCCGGACTGCTGCAGAGAGTGGGTGCATTGACACCCGCCGCCGCCCCCCCACACTAACACACACATACACGAGTGGTTTCCTTGACAACGCTGGACCAGTGTTGGTCGCTCAGGCCTGAAATTTGAAGCAGCAGCAACACAAAACACTCTGACAACTCGGCTGTTTCTCCGCGAGTCGACTCCAGCTTCTCCTCGTTCATTGGTTTAGGATCAGCGCGTAAGTCACTGACAACACAAAGAAATGCACAGTCGGCAGATTTGTTTACTCCGGGAAATTAAAGGGTAACTCTTTGTCATTGTTCATCTTTCAGTCCCACTGGAACTTTATCGTTATAGAACCGGTCTTCTTTATGAGAGAAGAAAATTAGTTAAAAATGTTACATCCTGGTTTTAAACCTAATTATCAGGAAGATTTGTTCACATCAATATCTCAAGTAAATGTTGGACGTGAAAAAGCACTTTGTGATTTTGTAATTTGCCTGTAATCAATAATTTAGTATTATTATCTTTATTATTATTGTTAAGGCTGCTGAGATTTGTTGACTGACAGAATGATTCAGCCAACATCTACATAAATAGGTAATGAGGCATCTGGAATGTACATATTTGATCCACAGACTCTTTGGAAATTGTGACAGGCATTTTTTTTTACATTTATTATTTTTGTAATTAACTACATTATAATCATTAATGAAAATAAAGGCTACTTGCCCACAATATAAAATTACTTTTGTTATTTCAGCGAGGAATGACGTGACCGAGAAAGAGCCACTTGCGATGTTACCTCATCGCGTTTCACTGTCCCTCATCCCCACGAACGCCACAGAGAACGTTGTTCTTGCGGCAGATTTGGAATGCTAAAAGGTGTGTTTGATACCAGCATGGTGAACATGCTTTAAATAGCCGTTTCACACAGAGGTCACGGATGGACACCTGCCCTCGCTCCGGACGCACGTAGGCGGGACACCTTTCTGATTGGACCATTCAGACTTCTCCATGACACTATGAGCTGCTGTTTGTGAACATGTATCTATGACATGACTATTCCATATGTCCTTCAAGTGAAGCTAAGTTATACTTATTATTATTATGATATAATTACGTGAATAAATGAAAGGAAATCTACTACACAATGTTGTACACTTCACTCGGAGACAAAACACTGTCGCACCATCACAGTTTCCAAAAGCATCTTTCAAGGTCCTGTTTGGTCTGACAATCAGTCCCAAATATTCAGGTTATCATCACATAAGACAGAGACAAGCACATTTGAGAAGCGGGAAGCAGAACGTTTTTGCTTTAAAAACCTGGCCAACTATTAATCACCCGCAGAGCGTTTCATTTTCTGTGTCGTTTAACTGTCTGTTTGTTGAAGCCTGTGCATCCACCTCATCGACCACATGTGCAGCTCCACACACTCTCATCTCAGTCATCTCAGGCCACCACGAGTTTCATCTCAAAGCACACAGACCACCTGCAGATGCCTCACTTTCGTTCGTCAATCACAGCTCAGATGAAGGGACTCGATCATGAGCATGTACGCGTACACGAGAGAGATCCGCCTAGTGGAGAACGTTAAGTTTAAGTCACGTGCAGATGCACTCAAACATGACTTGAAATGCACGTTTACATGCTGCTGATCAGTAGTCAAGGTTTCGTTTTTTAACAAAGCCTTGCATACTTTTAGTGCCTAAGTCAGATACGCTTTGAAGTGTTTTGGCATTTAATTATCATGGCGCTAAGGATGCACCGCTGTAAATACTGATCTTTTCTTAGTGCCACCTCACAGGCCCACTATCTTGGAGCATTTTGCAAGTATTGATAAAACACATTTATAACAACGTTCACTTTATAAGATCAAGAAATCTGGATTTACCAACAAAAAAGATTAGATTTTTCTCTCTAACCCCCATTAAGGAAACTAAGCTTCGCCTACATGATACTTTAGAATACAAGAAACAGGAAATCAGGTTTGATATAAACCAGTTATTTAAGTGCATAGAAATGATTTGATTGCAACCATGGAAACAAAGAACTAAAATTACGTTCACACAGCTTTACGTTTCCTGTCATCGAAGAGAAGAGCGCTTCAGAAAGAATGAATCATTATTAATTTTCAAAATGAGTGGTCTAAAATACTCTCATTTTAAAATTACTATAATCTCTTTAGCATCAAACACTTTAGAACCCCCTGAAAACTAGTATTCTTCTGCAACATGAAATACGATTGACTATATAACTCATTTATTTATATAATAAGAACTGTGCTACTCAAATCAGTTGTGTGCATTTTCATTTTACTAGTTTTAATGGCACCGTCCAAAGAGGCTAAATCTAATAATAATACCGTAATAATAAAGAGTACACAATGGTACTTGATGACAAACTTGTGTCAGTTTGGCTCACTTCAAACCAACAATTCAGGTTTCTCTCACGGAAAACATTTTTTTTTTTTTTAAATTGCGGACTTTGGTATAAAACACCGTGTTGATGTGGGAGTCCGGTTACTCAGCAAAATAAACAAGCTCCTTTCGGACGGTCTTCCTAAATGGCAGGTTTTGCACTTTCTACGTGTCACAGCAATATTTACGAGGAAAAGCGGTTGGTTTTTCTATTGATCATGGAAGTCGGCATGGACGGTTCTGTTGTGCTCACCATTATCTCCCCTTTGCACTCGTACAGACAATGGTGGGCCAACTCCTGGTTGGTGCCTCCTCCACACAAAACACTGGAGCAGGCCACGTGCATGAGGGCTTCCACTGCAAGACAAACGCACAGGGTTCTGAGCATTTAGTTTACCTTCAGTGGCGACAAAATTGGATTCTTGGTAAGGTAAAAACAAACGTCTAATTAGAAGGTAGTGGATTAAATTAGGATAAAGCGTCGAGCAATGAGCTTTGTTTAATTTGGGGGGAAAAGTAAAACATTTTCAGATTCAAAATGCATTTCCTGTGTGGAGAAATGAAGCTGCCTGCATCTCCTCACTGAAACGCATGTATGTAAATGCAATACAAAGAAGTCATTTACTGCCGGAATTGAACCCATTCGATTAAAAAAGACAAAACAATGTATCACATCACAAACAAAAAAATGATAAACCAGTAAGCTTTGAGGAAAGGAAAAAAGATTCTGATTTATATACAAAAAGATAATGGAATTTTAAGAACAGACGGTCAGTTTCGCAGTAAATCACCTCACGTGAAGGTTAACAAAGTCTGTCAAAAGGATTTATACTTTCAGTTCAAGGTGACTGGATGATACGACTGGATTTGGTACCTCTCTGCTGGAAGTCCGGCTTTTCCTCCAGATCCTTCAGCGGAGCCCAGAGCAGCTCCGCTCGATGATGATCCAGCTCAACAGCTGACCGCCGCCTCAGCTCGGGCACCTCGGCCTGGTACCGCGACCCAATATTTATCCGTCTGGGAACAGGACATGAATTTGATCTATTCAAAAATCCATCAAGTTTGCGACCCATTCATTCACTGTTATATATCCAAGACACCGTATATATATATATATATATATATATATATATACTTACTTGTAAAAGTACGTTCTTGTTTTATTTCAGAGATCATATTTTGATTACTTGGCTTTTCTGATCTTTAAATAGCAAGAGGAAGATCGTTGCGGCTCTCTGGCTGCGAGCACCACAATCCCTGCACTGTTTGCCTTTCCAGCTTGTTACACAGCTCGCTTTTGTGCTCCCAGCAAAATGAACAAAAACCAAATTCCTTTCACATCTTGCATTTGAAAAACAGAGCGCTCTTCTTAAATTCACTGAATGGATCCTCAACCGGCAGTGAGACAAAAGGCTGCGTTTAAGTAGGAAGAAGGGCTCATGATTCAATAAATAAAGTCCAACTAATGTCTGTAGGCCGACGTGTCAACTGAAACCAGATACCTCAGTGTAATAGTTTGGAAAGTCATGCTGTGTTACATTAACAGATAACTCCGTTCCAGCACGCCCCCTCCCACCCCTGCACTTCCAGTAGGCCTGCAGTATTTCCAGCTGAATGCGTGCGTGTGTGTGTGTGTGTTGGTCTGGCAGCCTCGATCGGGGAAGGTGGGCCGCTACAAGTTGAACTGCGCTGGCTCTCGCGGGTTTGGGCAGATTGAATCATTTACCTGGCGGACTGCTGAGCAGCTTGCCCCTATGCAACCCCCCCTACATGAACTGCACCTCACCGGGGATCAAACAAACAAACAACAAACAAACCCTGACTATCAGGAGTTAAACAAAGTGGCGCCTCGGTGGCCTCACAGCTCCACCGTCTCTGCAGCTCGAATTTCCATAAACATGCAAGTGATCACTGTCTGTGTTTACATGCACCGCTGGTACCGAGCAAGTTTCAAGCTATGGTTCGCATTACGTTACAGCATTTAGAAACAGTAAACTGATAAGAGTTCAACTTGTACAAGACGATATTTCTGTTACTGAGAAGCAGCCACAGGAAATGTTTATATGTCACAAGTCTATCAAAAGCTAAATCACAGAACCCGACCATCGTTCCTACGACGGGTTAGCCCCCGAGGGAAGAGGCGGCATATTTATGGGGCAGCGAGCAGATATCTGGGCAGTGGCTTCCTTTTCCGTGCGCTGCTCATTGTAAACCGTCCGATTAGCAACTTGGAATGAGAGTTTTACGTCGGGAGACGACGTTTACGAGCCGATTGCTTCACAACAGCCAGATAACAAGCACATTTTCCACCAGTGGAAGAACCTCTGCAGATGGGGATCCGGGTCCGATGCCCATGCTCTACACACAGACACGCCCCACAGCCTGCTTAAACGTGATTGGTCTGTACAACTCTGACGCACTCTCTGCCATTGGCTTTTAAAAAAGGCCTTAAGGATTTCGTTTGACACTTAATGTGGAGCAGCTAGAACAGGATGCACTTCTGCTGACAGACCGCAGAGGAGAGGGGCGATCGCTGGCTTCTGGATGACAGGGCAGAAGATTCCAGCGGGAGCAGCAGGCGGAGGGAGGAGCGCCGCCTAAAAGCACGGGTTTAGTATTTCAAGAAGTCCGTGTTCTCTTTCAAAACATTTGGTGATCCGGCCCAGTGTTGTGGCTTGAATAATTGATTGCAGAGGTGCTCCTCTGGCTTTGGTAGTGAACGCTGTGCTTTGAGAGGCCGCCGAAGAAAAGAACACGCAACAGATACCACTCCCCACCACCCCGAAAACCTTTCCACATTCAAAGAAGACATTTAGAGGATGCAGAGGGGGAAATACTCACGGCTCTATGCTGACCGGAGTGGCCTCGATCATGGCAGACAAAACTGGCGGTGTGATGTCGCAGCTGCCTGGAAACAGCAGCAAAACAAAATCCACTCAGTGACATTATCAAATATATACATGGAGCAGAAAGCTAAGAAAAGAAGAATATCAGTCAGGCTCAACACTACTATTTATACATCAACTATCCGTAGTCTTGCAAATTACACATAAAGTCGGAAATTACTTTTTATTAATATATATTACAAGTTATTTATACTATATGGATGGCATGCAGGTGGTTCTAGAGTTCTAGTTGTGCAGGATTCAGCGAGGTCTTCATGAGCCCGTCGGACTTACTTGAGCGCAACAGGCTGCGTGTTGCCGACTTGGGCGTTGCAGGAGGCGCCAGGCCCTGGCCGGCAGCGGAGGACAGGAAGGTGGAAAAGTAGAGGCCGGAGCCCTCGCGGACCGGACTGAGGATCGGCGGTGGCGTGTAGGGCGGAATAGAGAGCGGGTGCTCGGCGAGGCGCACGGGGGACCGTAGGTGGCTCTGGTAGGGCGTGATGCTCGAGTAGAACGGCGGGTTGATGAATAGACCCGGTTTGGGCGGCGGGATGAAAAGGGGCTCGGGCCGCGGACGCCGCTTGGACTTTTTGCCGTCATCGTCTCTCTCCCCTTCGGTTCTTCCATTCTGGTGGGGGAAGAATAATATAAAGAGCTGCATTGATCAGAGTGCACCTTGAAAGACAACAACACATAAACGTATATACATGCTCATGCAGTCGGATTGTTGTGCATTTATCCTGATAAATCCTCAGGAGGAGGAACATGGGACCCCAGCCCTCTACTATAGGGTACATAATGTACAATATAGCAGAGCTAAACCCTGATTATCTGCATAATCTGGGACAGGTCAACTAGTTCACCCCCCCCACCCCCACCAATGAAACAGGGAAAGGGAGAAAAGTGTGGAGGACTGAAATGGGGGCAGGGGAGACAAGGAGCACGATGGGGGGAGGGGACTGTGTGTTGGCAGTGCGATGTGGCACAGATGCAGAGGATTTAATAGCCGGAGTTTAGAAAGACTGAAAAACAGGATGAGGAACACAGTTGACACAAACCTACTGCCGCCCCCCCCCCCCATCTTTGGGGGAGGCAGTACGTAAAGATGTTCATTAAAATATGGAAATATAGCCAATTAGAATATGGCTACGAGGTATCCAAGTGCAAACAAAGAAAGAGGAAACAAGCAGCGAATGAACAATGCGGCTACCTGCTCGGAGCTCTCCGACAAGGGGTTCCTGAGTGAGCGCCTCCGGGTCACAATGACCGAGGGCTTGTGGTCGGCGCGGCCGAGGTTCAGGGGGTTCGAGGGCCTGTGGGGCCAGTCGGAGGCCCGGGCCGCCTCGTCTCTGTCGGGAGAGGAGGGCTCCTGCCGTCGCACGGGAACCGACACGGGGATGACGAGCGGCAAGAGGCTGTCGTCTCGAGGCCGCTTGGTGCTCAGACCCCCGGTGGGACTCCACGGCCTGTGGGGATCCTAATGAAAGACGAGAGGGGGGGGGGGGGAGGTGTTACGGTGCCTGCAATGGATTGATTTTCTTTAATAGAACGCTAACGTATCCCGCCATTTGATTGGAGAATTGTTACCATACGCTTTAGACCAGGATTTGTATTGGTGGTCAGAAAAAACAAGTTGCATGGCATCATGATGGGCCAAACAATTAATTCAGAACACAATAAGAAGAAGAAGAAAAATCCATGCATGTGAAGCAGCTCAAAGACTCGATCGCACTGAGGCTCTCAGGTGGCACATTCTGAAACACATCAGCTCGTGTAACGGATACAATGCTCCCCGCAGCCGGTGAAAAGAAATCACAACAGTTAACAACTTCAGCTATTGTAGCCGAGCACCCCCAGCACACAACAGCCTAACTGAAAATCTACTTTTATGGTTTGCTACGTCTGCCAGGGAAGGCTGCCAAATTTAACCCGAAAAAACCCGACTTTGTTCTTTACCTCACATAAAAACACAGATCGTAGTGACAATGAAGTCAATACAAAAATGGAGGGTTAACAGATCGAGCCTGAGGTGTATTTTAATTGATTGATTCCAAAAAGCAGACTCTGAACTCCGAACCCTGTAGAATTCACAACATGACCATATCTTGGATGATTCACAACACAAGCTTCTTGCACCTTGTACACCTTGATAAAAGCACCGAACCATGCGGCCCTCAAGTGACCGACCTCAGAGGCACTGCCAGAGGAACCGCCGGACAAAAGCATCCTCCGATTTTTATTTCTTTGCCAAAACCACAGCGAGTCGGCATGAGCAGCCTGCAGCGGCCCTAGAGGCAGCACCGAGAGCCGTCTGAACCACCGCGTCATTGAAGGCAGACGCATTCTGTCATCGTGCAACGCGTCTCTGGGGGGTGGCGCTCAGTACTGCTGGTAGAAAACACCAGTCCCCCCCCCCCACCTCCCACACTGGAGCGGTGGGGAGATATTCTGCTGAGCACTGCAGGCAGAGCAACCCTGCACCCCTCCCTGTATAGAAGAAGGCAGTCGAGGCGAGGCTGGAGTTTCTCTCCTTTGATGGGAGGGGAGGTGAGAGGGAGGCGTGCAGGCACGTAACCAAACACAGTTTGTATGATCGGCGCTGCGCTACGGACGCGTTGCCCAATCAACAAGCAGCACCTTTAACACAGACGAGCGCCGCCGGGGTGTTTCATCAGGTCCGCTGGCCGATTCATCTCATGAGAGCCGACGAGCACATATTTGTGAGGAGCATATTTACCTTGTGGACGGCATGTGCAATGAGGAGTACGGCTTTAGCAACACACACACACAAGGCGGAGCCGGGCGGCCCTGTTCTGCTGTGTAAACTTCCAGCGACACGTTAATCACAAACAACACTCGACCCGGCACAGCTTTTCCCTGACAGCGTGTTCCAGATCCCGCTCCTGCTCGGGGAGCTGCAGTCCCACTGCAATTATACCCTCGGATCACACTAGAAAAATAGATTTTGAGCTCTCGCTGAGATGATAACAATTAAGGCTTACAGCTTGCAGCGATGAGTTCATATACGGACTGATATGCAATTATAGGGATTCAGAACAATCAGTACTTTTCTCTGGGAAAGGTTATCCTCGGTTGAGAGGAAATAGCAGAGAAACACATGAGAGAACAAGGAAACGAGAGTGACAGAAGCCGTAAACAGACAAATGATTCTGAAAAATAAAACGGACTACATACCTTTACAATATGCGGCGGCAGAGACTCCATTTCTGAGGCCTTCTGAGCGAGAGTCTCCAGGTTGACCTCCTGGGACACCCTGCGTTTCCTCCGCGTGCTCTGGATGACGCCCGTGGGGGCCGGCTGGGCGTCCCGGGCCCCGTTCTGAGAGCCCGGCGACCCCAGGGAAGCCTGGTCTGAGGGGACAGAGAGAAAGGGGTTGTCCGACGGCGCGCCGCCCTCCTTTGAGAGCCGCCGCAATCGGCGAGGCTGCGCCTGCGGCTGAGCGCGGGCCTCGGACGGTGCCTCCGGGTGGAGCGTCGGTGGCAGCAGCGGATCCGAGGGCGGCTGGGGTTCCGGGGTGACGTCCTGGATTATTGGTTCCTGGATCTGTGGGGGAGCTGGCGCCGAGGAGTCCAGGGAGTGCACCACCACGGGCTGCGGGTGAGAGTGCGCATTTTGGGGGCCGGGGTAAAAGTCGAGCACGTGGGGGTTTTGTTGTTGCAACTGCTGATGTTGCATTTGCTGCTGAATTTGAAGCTGCTGCTGTTGTTGCTGAATCTTTTGTTGCTGCTGCTCGTGCTGGATTTGTTGCTGCTGCTGAAGCTGCTGCTGCACATTGTGTTGATGCTGAATGATTTGTTGCTGCTGCATTTGTTGATGGTGCTGCTGCTGCTGAATTTGCTGCTGGAGTATTTGATGTTGTTGCTGCTGCTGCTGGCGCTGTATTTGCTCTTGCTGCTGCAGCTGGTGCGGGGGTTTCGCTTGTGCGGAGTAGTTCGGCGGGTTAGGGAGGGTTGTCCTGTTGCCTTGAAAGGTCTGGTAGTACGCTGGCAGGTGCTGCTTGGGCTGACCAAAGGCCAACTGGAAGGGCTGCAATACCGAGCTTCCTCCCGGATGGGACGCGCTGTGCTGCTGCGGGTTCAGCGCCCCGGGTTTCAAGGTCTCCTGGAAGGCCTGGGGCTGCTGCTGCTCCCAATCCAGTCCCCGCACCTTCACTGCGTCCCTGTACGCTTCAACTGCGGGGTTTGGCCCCAGCGGCTGCTTGTCCGCCGCCCTGCTCGGAGGCGGTTGATGCTGTAAGCCGGAAGCTTCGTGCATCGACTTCCCAAACGAGTTCTGGGTCCTTGAGTCCGTCACGTTGACTCCCCCGATGTAATTAGCAAAGTTCTGTCCCCAGTTGGACACTGTATTCCACGAGGCGGCTCTCTGCTGCTGGGACAGCGACGGCTGCTGCTGACTAGGTTCCTGGTGGGCCCATTTCATAGGCACAGTCTGCTGATAATGACCCCTGTTCTGGTCACCCTTGTCCGGGCTGAAGATGACAGAGTTCAGGTACATGTGGGGGGCTTCCGGATTGGAGGTCACGGTACTTGCAGCCTCGCTCTGTCCGGGGTCCGAGGTAGGGCCCCCCGGGATATAGTAGGACTCCTCGGGGTGTTGCGAAGTCTCCTTCATCGCTATGCTTTGCTCGTTGAAAAACGTGATGCGTTTCCCGGTTCTTTTGGCGCTGGCTTTCTGCTGGGCTGGTACGCTCATGACGGGCATGAAGAAGCCGAGGCAGGAGGATGTTCTCGACCAAACCAATGGTCCTCTTGGATATATAAATCCCTTCCCATCCACCCCAAAAACAGAAATTGTGAAGTAAAGCTGTAAACTACATTGACATCAGAGGGAGCAGTACCAAGATAATCTCCTCTTCCCCTCTCAAGTTATTCGTGGCCCACTCCGTGGTCCCGGGGTGAGCAGATCTAAAGGAGTCCGTCTGCTTTTGTCATTCACGGGCAACACCCTGTATAGAGAAAATGAGAGAGAGAGAGAGAGAGAGAGAGAGAGGTCAAGCACCAGACTAAAGGGGTCCCCCCAGGGGTGTCTCATTATCGACCCCGCCTCAGTCATGTGAAAACCTGCTGTTTGCTATTTAAACAATAGAGCTCGGCTGAAAGGTGTTGTGTGCGAGAATAAAGGGAGGGGGGGTCCAAACTTTGTCATTATTCACTAAGCTCACGTTCCGGCATTCAGCCGAACACGTAAAACAGACCTGCGTGTACTATCGGAAGGTGGAGATGGCTCAATCAATAGTTCCTGGAAATGGCATTACTGCACCGCGTTTAATGACGGGCCGTGACATCAGCATGAGCAGAGAACACGGTGGAAGTGCTGCTCCACTGATCTGTGACATACGTCCTCTTTCCCTGCAAACTGCAGAAGCGACAGCAGATTGAACGACATGAAAACGTGATTGCAGCTGTGTGACTCATAGAAGGACAGAGAAAGGAGGAGGGGGGGGCACACGTGGCCTTTGAACCGCGGCTGCACGATTAAAAAGGGAAGGGCAACTGAAAGTGAGCAAGCATGACTCGCAATGAAACCATCTCTGCGAGGGAAGAGGAAAAAAAAAAGAAGAAAGAAGTCAAAACGTCCTTGCAGGTAGCTTGCTTCTTGACGATCGCCATGGTAACCCGTGGCGATCATCAAAACTATTATCGGATGCCACGGTTTCGGTGCAGATTTTTGACACAGTGCGGCCTGCCAAATTTCAAGAAGCACACAGAATCCCCACTGTTTCTGTTAAAATATCAATCCCTCCTCCGTCTGTACGAATTAAAACGGGGGCACTTTTGTGCAGCAGCCCCACTCATAAAACAGAAAAAAAAGGTATTTTTTACTGTTCCTTAAAAAAAACAAAAACACAATCACTTGCAGAATACATGCTACAAAACAAAAAGGCAATACTACGCGGACATCTCTGACAACCTAGGAAGTGAATGTTGATTGTCACCCTTTACTCTGCTGGCCTAGTAAAAACACGGGCTGCTTAAAATAGACGGCTGCAGCTGTTCAGATCCTGCACGCTGGCTCGGGGGCATCACTGGCTGAGGAAGCTGCATGACCGTGCTATGTGTGTGCGTGCGTGCGTGCGTGCGTGCGTGTGTGCGTGCGTGCACCGTCAATGCCGTGCATGCCTATGGCCATGTGCGAGTCAGCCTCTTCTGGGAAAGGTGCACACAAATAAATCACATTCCCCCCCTTGCAGAAAACAGTAACACCGCTGTGTGCGCGGTCTGTGTGCACAGCCATCATTGTGACGCATCACCAGCGCAACCTTGCACAAGCCCGAGGTTTAGCCTGAAGACCAAAGTAACACGTTTAATTGGCTTACACTACGCCCCCGAGCACCGGCAGCCGCCCTAATCCATCGCCGGTCCCTCATTCCAACCAGCCTCGTGCGGCGTGGCTCGCGCACCCAGCGAGGCCTGCGCGTGTGTGCGCGTGTCCCAGGCGCGAACCGATTCAGGACATTTGAGAAGAAAAACATGCCGCGTCCTTCCGCGAGACGACCAGCACGGCGCTATTTACGAGGACCCTTTGTTACGGACCACGGATCCCCATCACTACCGCCGTGCCCCGTTGTGCAACACGCTGACACCCCCCTCCCGCCTCCCCCCTGGCCCCTCCTGCACGGTAGCGGCGTGACAGCACAGCGCACGAAAAAACAAAAATACAAATGCCGTGGATCGACGCAGCGTGTGCCCGAGGGGCTCGGGGGGGGGGTGTCGGTGTGCATCCGAGCTGCGTCCCGACGAGGTAAACAAACTTTTGTCAGCGAGCCGTGGCGACGACAACACCAACAACGCACTGTCAACAACAGCAACAATAACAACACCGCCACCGCGGCGGCGGCTCCGGATACTTACTGTGTTCGTGGTGAAAGCGGCTACGGGCGGCAGCGCACCGGCGGCTTTGCGCGACCAGCAGCAGGCCCGCGCGGTACCGACATGCGGTGATGACTGCATACATCCCCGGGGTTGACTCATGCTATACTGATGACCTCACGCCCTGGTACCCCCCCACCCCTTCCTCTGCCCTCGTAAAGTGAAGAGGGGCCGATGCGTGAATAAGAGTGCTTTAGAGTCCTTGCCGGTCGGAAACGGAACCCGCTTAATGTGTAGCAGCGCGATGGCGCAGCGCCGCCGCTGTCAGTTGCACATTGTTGCGGTGGGATTGCACAAAACAAAAAAAGACTCACGCTTGCAATGCGGGCCGTGTGCAGTGTGTGCATCGACTCGCTCCCCGCGTGTGTGTGTGTCTCTCTGCTCGTCTTGTGATTCTCCCTCCCGCTGTCCTCCCCCCCCGCCGCCACCAGCTCCGTGGCCACACCCACTTCCGTGCCCATACAAGGCGTTCCTCTGACACGCAGGGCGCTGTAATTTACGGAGCAAGATCCCTCTCGGTCCATGCGGGAAATTCCAACACACGGTGGAGGAGGAGGGGGGATTATGGGGAGGGACGCGTCCGGCTACTTTCCGTTTTACGTTCACTTTCCATTGAAAGTCACACGCTTTATAGGACTGACACAATTGCACTTGAAAGCCACGCGTGCTTATTTCCACGTGACACAGTAAAAACAAGCGAAATAAAAAGGGGAACACATTTTTGTTTATGCTGGTGGTGGGACTTGGTGTAAAACGTTGTCAAATTATTTAGGGTAACATTTGTGTAATATTTTGGTCCTTTGGGACACAAGTCGTACCACACTGATCCTAAATAGACATTCAATTCAAATTCTCAATTTATTCAACTCAATTCCAAAACAAATACTTGCATGGACCCAGATAATATCGGCCGGTTTGGCATGAAAAATGGTTTAAATCGTTTTTCAAAATACAAGACATCATTAAATAAACACAATGTGTCACTTATTATGGTTGCAAATAGCAAATATTTAAGCGTGAACTTAGTTTAACTTGAGTACACAAGAGTTTCGGAGTGAAATAATACATATTGAATCCTTAACCAGGCGCAAATGTTGCAAGGTGATCTGTGGACCACTCCGTGATGTAACGTCAAACAAATAAAATTATGAATGAATGACAGACTGCTGCATTGGCCTTTTTCACAGCAGACATTCTGATGTGTCACACAAGGAAAAAGCACAAGTGTAACTAAATAAAATCAATGACGACTGACTTTAATGTAGCCGTCTTAGCGCCGGGGTCCTCGGGTCGCAAACGCCGGCTCACGTTCCCATCTTACTTGACCATTGTTATTTTCGGTTAGCCAAATGTGATTTTCTACCAGTAAGATGTGAAACGTCTACAAAAAGAGCTGTTACAAAGGGGACGACGTGGAGACTGTTGCAGTGTCGTGGCATCAGCCTGAATGTGCCGGGCTCTGGTGGGCTGCAGTCTAAAATAACGTGCAAAAGCCTGAAAACATGCAGCGCCGGCGTTGACAAGGGGTCGAGTCAGACTGACATGTCTGCTGCCGCTGATGACTCTGCACTAGGAATACACAAGTATTTGTGTTTGTAAAACCTTCTGCAGGCCGCACCAGTAGGTTCCTTTGAAGCTGAGACCAGAAGCGCTGAACGGATGAAGGGGGTCATTGGCCTAGTCGACAGAGTGACAGAAGAGTAGTGATTGGAATGATGATTCATTGAACATTTTCAAGCGTTGAAAGCCTGATGGTTGCAGATTCTCAATGGTGAAGATGAGCTAGAATTCTGGGTTTTATTTCATTTTGAAGAGAATGTGTTTTGAGTTGTTGACGGTCTTTCAGATACAACAAGCTTTACTATTTAAATTTGACCAATAAATTGCTGCACACTTAAAACACAAACATCCTGTTTTGCACCACACGCACACTGAAATATTCCTACAAAATAAAGTGCATTTCAGGTGATTATTTAAGGATATTTTAATGTATTAATTATAGCTCACTGTCTCCATTGACTTGCACTATTTTAGAGTGGACGTTTGAGTAAACCACATCATCATTTATTCAGATGATTTTATGGCCGACACCGTTTTTTATAGGAGGTTTCTCTTTTATCAAATTTCTTCCTGCACAACAGTAACTACTGTAGCTGCAGGCAACGCACACCGGGCACACGTGTCTCTCTGGAATGTGGACATTCCGCGCAGTGACGCCACTACATCCGGTCAGAGGAGGCTTAGCATGTCCTGTCCGAAGCTAGCTGACGTTAGCCTTCCACGAGCCGTCACTAACGGAACGGCGGGCGCTAGCATGGAGTTGTGGTGCAGCTGTACTCACGTTGAGCTCGGTCCCTCCATGGCGCGCTCGCCTTCATGTTCCTGCGTTGACGTCGTCGGCTTGCAGCTACAGTCGATCATAAACTAACGAAACCATGCCAACTTTCGGTTTTTTTTTTGTTTCAGATTCCTCCACAAAGCGTCACTTCCCCCAGTTTTTGGAACTCTTTTTTTTTTCTAGCTAGCGAGCGATGTCTGATGAGATGCGGTTGTATTGTATAGTCACAATTAATTGTAACCGTGGTTAAATTCACGGTGGAACGTGACGTTAGTAAATAGCTGCACTCGGGTGCTGATGAGCTGGATTATCCACCGGGTGCTGAGGGCGCGATCCGCTTCTGATTCGCTGTAACTGCTGTAACGGCTCAGCGGGGAACTGAAAAGAGGACACGTGAAAGACGAGATGTTAAACGTCCGCTATAGCAGAACGTTGGGGGGGGGAATAATGTCGCATCAACATATAATATCTCACAATGGCGTTTTGAGATCTTTAGAAAAAGCGTGTTGGGTTAACAGATATCACACATCATTTCAACGGATACCGCATCGCGAATGCACTAACGTTAAATGGGACAGGAACCCGTCTATTGGTCTTATATTAAATTCTGAACATTCCAACAGTGGATGCGACGAGGGGCCGTCACAATATTCATTAAATGCTTTTTTTAAATTATAGAATTAAATGAGAGCTGCCCATTGAATTTACCTAAAGAAGATGCGTCTAACTGCCGAACGGAATCTGAACGAAGCCGGAAGTAGCTGGCAGGGAACTCTCTTGCTGAGTGAGACTAATCGCAGTGGCGCGTGTGTGTTTGTTGACTGTCTGCTAGCTCACAAGAGATTTAGCCTGTGAAGTAAACAGTGTTTATTATAACCAGTTGGCAATTTTCTCGAGGTGCACACATACGTCTTAACGCCGTTTAACTCTGACTCTTTAGCGCACGTAAAGCCGGATTGCTCGTTGCCAGATTTCTGCCAGCAGGTCACAAAGCTAAGGTTACTTTTCAAGGATGCAGGTGACGAGGGTCGTCCTCAACTCCAGACCAGGTTGGAAACTTTTAATTATTCATTTAATAACAGAATATGGCACTCGTTGCTTAAACATTAATGTGTTGAATAAAGCTCTTTATTTATGCTCAAAGGTAATAACGGGGCGCCAGTCGCTGAAAACTTCCGTCTCGAGGAGGCGACTTTGTCAGCTGACCTCGCCGATGGGGACGTCCTCGTTCGGACGCTCTGCTTATCAGTCGACCCTTACATGGTATTAATCACACAGTCTATTCTATTGGTTCAGTCTGAATGGTAATTCATTTGTTTGTGATTTTTATCTGCTCGTCCACAAATAGATCCCCAGCTGAATTAATGTTACAAAACAATAAAAACTAGAAACAAATACTCCAGCTTATTCTTGTCCCTTCAATTAAGCCCACCGAAGTGACATCATACAGTCAGCTAGTCCACCAAGACGAGAGTTTCCGTCACTCATACTTACCGTTTTTGCTTCTCAGCGATGCAGAATGAATGAAGACACCGGCGTTGACTACGTGACCCCGTGGCAGCTCTCTGAGTGTGTGGACGGCGGAGGGGTCGGCGTGGTGGAGTCCAGCCGCTGCGGCCTTTGCGTCGAGGGAGATGTGGTCACTTCATTCAACTGGCCTTGGCAGACCCGTGCTGTCATAAAAGGAAGTGTCCTGCAGAAGGTGTGGCACGGTGCGGTGTGTCAACAACATTAGGATAAAGTCCATATTTCCTCTTGCATCATTTTGAACAATGCGTTCGACATGCATGCACTAAAAGTCCCCTGCATGTGACAGGCAAGCCTTCTGCAAATAAACACTCAATATGATAATGCCTTCTGTTTATACCGCAGGTTGATCCAAAGTTGGTTGATGGACACCTGTCCTACTTTTTGGGTGCAGTTGGCATTACAGGCCTCACCGCTCTGTTGGGCGTAAGGGAGAAGGGTCATGTGACCAAAGGGGCCAATCAGACCATGGTGGTGAGTGGCGCTGCTGGTGCCTGCGGCTCAATAGCTGGACAGGTAACTACAGCATGATTCAACCTTCTGGCTTCAATGTTTATACGCAGTTATAGCTGTCTGAGATTACGGCAAAATGCACAGAAATGGCATTCTTAAAATGCCTTTATTTACTCTCTTGAATACAGATTTTTTTTTCTTTAATCTTTTTAACGGATTTAAACGTAAGAGGTGGTCGGTAATAACTATAACTGCAATTTTAGTAACAGATCTAATCTGGCTAAACATAAGAAGAGGTTAGATTACGGAGAAGAGGATGTTAATGTATCGCTTCCCCCCTGCTTATTTTTCCAGATCGGCAGGCTGGATGGCTGCGTGAGAGTGGTTGGGATTTGCGGCTCTGATGAGAAATGCAGGGCTTTAGTGGACGACCTGGGCTTTTCAGCTGCCATCAACTACCGGCAGGAGGACGTCCCTGCAAGACTGACGGAATGCTGCCCCAATGGGATCGATGTTTACTTTGACAACGTGGGAGGGTCCATCAGCGATGCTGTAATCACACAGGTGCTGCTTGAGTTGTGTCGGTGTTGTGCAGAAACATACCGCAGTGGTTGTGTACATTCGTTTTTTTTCAGGGCATGAAAACGTGATTCCTGAGGTGTTAGTTGCGGTTTATTTTCCCTAATTGTTCTTGCAGAATTAGAAGTGGATTGTGGAGCGAAGCTTCCTCCTGAGTCCCATCGGCGAGTGTTTTCTGTCCCATTAAGTCATTTGTCACTCGTTTGACCTCCAACCCTCTTGCCACCAGATGAACAGCGGCAGCCACGTGATCCTGTGTGGGCAGATCTCACAGTACAACAAGGACGTGCCTTATCCCCCGCCGCTGAGCGAGGAGACAAAGGAAACGCTGCGAAGGAAGAACATCACACGGGAGCGATTTACGGTGCTTAACTACATGAACCAAGCTGAAGCCGCCCTGTGTGAACTCAGCCAGCGAGTTCAATCAGGCCAAATCAATGTGAGGAGGAAACGGATGACTGCGTGTGGTGGATTATGTGGGTCCGTCCTCGTGCATCATTTAGTTATAATTATGCTGTCACTTTGCAGGTGCTGGAAACTGTGGTGAATGGGATCGAAAATATGGGAGGTATGTAGGATTTAATTATCGCATTTCCTTACTGTATACCCTTTTTTTTAATTAACTCTGCTTGGGTTGAATCATTGTTTTTTTTAATCTTTTTGCAGATGCATTTTGCTCTATGATGACAGGGGGAAACATTGGCAAGCAAATTATAAAGATTTCCGAGTGAAGGAACGCCTTGGGAAATTAACCGACAGTTTCTATCACCGTCGTTAACACTAACTTAATCAGCTTATATGAGGTGTCGCATTAATTAGGACGCAATGTTCTTTGACATTTTCTTCTTGTGAAAAATAAATATAGAGTGAGTGCTTGGAGGCTAGTTAAGTCTTGGATTATTGGTGCAGAACTTAAACAACAAAGGGCAACATTGTAATAGTCTCTCGTGATATTAACCCTCCTCCTGAATTGCAACAATGGATCTTTAAAATCTTCCAGTATAGAAAAATGCAGACGTTTCTTTGTGTGAATCCCTCCACGAAGGTTATCAAACATGTCAAAAAAATACGGAGCTTTATTTGTTTTTACCGCCACCTGAAAGCTGAACAGATTCGAGGTAAAACAAAGAAGACTGTGGTTCGTAAGCGTTTGAACTGAAACCCTCCAGCTTCCTCAGCGGGCTACGTAGCCCGAGCTAACCGTCTGCATAGAACCACGGCCAGTGCATGCAGCGCTCTGCTGCATGGGAATTTAGCATCACTGTCTTAACGCGCAGCAATGCGCCGGCTAGTATACGAACTAAAGTCATCTTTAAAACATCATTGTCTTAAAATGTATTTCTTTTTCAGCTTGACAGAAATAAGGCATTTCATTTCTTTACTGAATAAAAGATCTATGAGCAGCTTACCACGCTAACTTTGTGTTCACTAAATTACTGGCCAAAGTGCTTTAGGAGTTTATGAAGTGACGCCAGCAGAATGCACACAATTAAAGATGTGTCTTATATTTAAGACATTGTCTGGATGGGACTTGATGTCTCTTTTCTCACACTGTAAAACTAAAGATTTTACAATAACATTATTGTGAACCAACTCTGTTTGCATTAGCTTTTCAGCAAAAGCTTCTAAGGCCACCAGAGCAAAGCTCCAGCAGTGCAGAGGATAAACATGCGCTGTTAGCAAAGAGCCTCGAATGGCAGAAAAGGCCACTTAGCGGCTTTATTTTCCACCAATATTTCAGATAAGCTCCATACAAATAACCAACTCCTTAAACATTAAACAAAAAGGTAAATAGTGCAGCTGAAATAAAGCCTTTTTCTTATCACTGTTTCAATTGTTTAACTTTTAGGTTTTTTTTTACCATCTTTTATTCACTGTTGGGCAGCGTATTCTTTGGTGACGTCATGCGACAATGACATGCAGACCAACATGTATGATTTACTGTAATGAGCATTTTATTCCACAGCACTAAACCATTAATAAAATTTTAAAAAAGTGATTGGCTCTAATTTCAGTTGTCACCAGAAAAACATGTGTCCAAATCATCCACATTTCACTCATATACTTCCGTGTTTGAACATAGGAGGGGATGCAGAATAAGTCACTTGTACTTCATAAGGCGGCGCCGTCGTCTCTTCAGTCAAATCCGCGTACAGCACAGAACCATCACATCCAGGCTTAGTAATGAGTGACCATGTATACGCTTTCAGAACCGTGTCATCCAGATGTGGTGTTGCTGCCTTTCTGCCAAACAGATAAGAAACGGAAGTGAAATCGAACACAACAGCGCCTCCTTGTGGACGGACCACCAAACCTCTGAGGAGAATCATTGGAGAACTCGGCAGCAACGGAAGTTCTTCTATTTGTAACATCTGTCAGAAGGCAGGAATTACCAAACACTAGTACTACCACGAGTACTACTACATAGTACTACTACTATGCAGAGAAGGGGCAGTTATCAAACCATCAAAAGTGTACATAATTACATTTTCACATTCTCTGAGCTGTTCTCATTTTAAATCACAGCACTAAGCAAGTACTTTGTGCTCATGCTGAATATTGTTTAAAAAAAATGCCCTCAGGATCCAACTCTGTTGGAACATTGTTTTCTATTAAACAACTCGATAAATGTGGTCTTCAACCAATTTGTCTGTTTTTTGTATTAGTTTGTTCCTTTGGATCCTGCGGTCTCAGACGGATTGAATCAGAGGGAAACAGACACAGTTTACTCCCCTCTGACCTCCACAGAAAAAGGAAACGAGAAATGTACAGACAAACAATGTTGTCAAATTAACTTCCAACAAAACAAAAGGGATACCCTTTACCAGTGCAGACATATGACACGAGAGAGAGGGGGGGGGGCTCAATACAATCAGAAAGAATGAATAAAAACAGCATAGTAATTCATCTCATTTCACCACATAACACATTTGTTTCGTTGCCGTTTCTTTGCCACCAGCACATCTGGATTGTGTAATCATGGGTTTTTAGCTCACCGAGTAGCTTTGGAGTATAAAAATATCGTCCTGAAACACTACTGTGACCTGCCTATTGTTCAAGAGCTCACATTTCTGAGAAACAAACAGCTGCTTTCTGTATTCACGTTAGGAGCACGAGGAGTCCGGCCAGCTCGTTGTCTACGCAGATATACTATGTGGCAGTTGTGTGCAGTGGAATTCTTTTCATTTAAAAACACTCAGTCATTAACTGCTGATTCCACTACAGTGTTTGTTCTATTTGTTTTTTCTTCTCTTCACTTGATTTCCTTTAAATCAAAATTAGAATAAACATGAAAATATAATTGTTTAGGTTGCATTTGCTGTGTCTTTACTTTAACTACCGCGCTCCCTCAGCTGTGTCCATGTTAAAAAAAAGACATTTTTTTCCCCTTAGCCACAGTTTGTGTGTCCAAAGTTCAACAAGAGGTTCGATTTGGCACGTCCCGCCTTCACTGGTGAATGAAAACAATCTTCAGGGGGAAGAATGAAGTTGAGTGTTTTTCTTATTTGTCCTTTGGCAGTGGCGAAGGGACAGCTGGCCACGGCGGATGCGTGAGCTCGAACCACAGCAGGACGTACCGCTGACCGCGGCTTACATTGGACTTGTTCACTTAGCTCAAACAGGCTATTTTACTCCCAATGTCACCTTGGTGATGCTTCTTTTTACACTGTGCACATTGCTATGAATACGGCCAAAAATGTGCTCAGTGGTGTTTTACAATAACATGCACATTTAGCAAACAATACCATAAACAGGGTGGTGAGTGATGTGCTGTGAAGTGGCTGTTTTTTAAAGAGGAGGGGTAGAAGGAGGGGGGGTAGGAGCTGCCGAGTCAGCCTCGAGAGGAGTCGGGGTGGCACAGTGAGATTACTGTCAAGAGGGAGTGGCGCTCTTGCCGTTGTCGCGTAGGGGAGGGGCGGGGCCTGTCCAGGCGCGGTAGATCAACAGCAGACTGAGCCCCAACGCCCACGTGCGGACTGGAGACAGGAAGAAGGCTATCAGGCCGTAGGTCTGCAGGAGAAAGTAGCAGGAGTGGACCTGCCAGGTGAGCAGCAGCAGCATGACGAGGTGAACGGCCAGAGTCCACAAGCGGCAGCCCGGCCGCAGGAAGTGGGATCGGAAGGTGTTGCCGCGGCGACGGTGGTGGAGGCTCCAGCAGAGATAACAGGTGAGGGGCATGTTGAAGAACAGCAGCTGGCAGGGAGGAGGAAATGACTCCAGTTAGATGTGATTAGTTGGTGATGAATCCCTGTGGGCTGCTTAACAAGATAAGAATGGACTAGCATGTTAGCGGAACCTATTAACATATTAACTAACATTAAACCTTTTGGTTTCTCTCTTGGTCTCCACCAGCTCCTGGGGGAAATATCCAGCTTTTCAGCTGCTAAACAACAGCAGTAATTCTCTGTTGGTTTATGATCACGAGTGACATACAAATAAGTCCTTTGGCCTTTTGCTAATGAAAAAAAGCACCAATAGACACAATGCATGCATGTACACACACAACGGACTCGTAGATGTGTATTTCCTACCTGAACAACTCCAATAACATAAGTGAGGCTGCCCTCCAGGAAGTGTCCATCGACAAACACCCCAAAGGCAAAGCAGGCCCCACTATGGCCGTCTATCAGCTCTCCTACGAACCACGGACCTGACGGGAAGAGAGGGGCGCAAACAACACAAGGAGCTATTTAGACAGGAACAGATGCAGAATTACAAAGAGATCGTTCAGAGAAAACCAATATTTTAACTTCGCACAGAAGATTTGAGCCTTTGAGCACTTAGAAATCGTGATTTGCAAGATCAACATTATTCTAAAAGTAGATGCATGTTCCGCCTGAAGCGCCAGGCAAAAAACGTCAACCCACCTAAGGCTGTGCACAGATTGAACAGCAGCAGAGAGTAGTAGAAGGAGTCCATTGTGCTGACCAGATGGAGCGACGTACATGCTTGAGATGTCAATCCTGTGGAAGAGTAACAGCACAAAGATGCAGAGCAATGAGAATGAAGAACAAATAAAAACTTCAGCCTGTATTCACAAACACGCATGTTCGTCGAAGTCTGTCGCTAATGTCAGAGTCTGACAGCTGACATGGGATGATTGCTCTTTGGTGGCTGCTCACCTCTCCCAGAGGGAACCCGCAGGAACCTGAAGGCCATCAGCACCCCGACGTTCAGCAGAATCGTTAACACGAAGGCCACTCGGGCCAGGACGTAATGGTCTGTGAGGAGGACGAAGGACTGAGCAAAACCAAAGCTCGGAGTCAGGTCGTCCTCCAGAGTAAAGTGCTGCTCCCGCACTGATGCCCGGCCTGCCGAGTCCTGACTCACACACACACACACACACACACACACACACACACAAAGACAAAAAACGAGGGGACGTTTTAATCCCTTGAGTGAAAGAAAGAGCCTCAGTGCACACAGAGCAGATCTATCCGTGAACTCAAGTAAGCAAACCAACCTAGTCGAGACCTAAGACAGATAAAAGAGTCTCAGAACGATAAATGTGTGCCGCACCGACCTTCACGTTCACCCTGATGGTGTGCAGTCCGGTGAGGTAGAGAGACGGATCCCACAGCAGAACGTAGAGAGGACCTCCGGCCGAGTGGCCGTTCCCCAGAGGTTCCCCATCTACGCTCACCTGCACCGCTGTGATCGGGGCCTCTGAGAAGGCCAAGATCCTATCGAGGAAATGAATGATCTCACATTAGAAATGTCATATTAGATATCTAGAGAGATTCCGAACATTTGGCGTTTAAAATAAATCTGCAACAGAAGTGCAGATGTGCTTTAGGAAAATATGATCAGTTACGGTCAGTGAAATGGCTGCAATAGTTTCAGAGAAATTGCCAAAAAAAAAGTACTTTAAAAAGATGAAATACCAAACTCAAAATGTAGTTGCTTGTTCCAGACCAAATGGCATCAAAAGCCAACACCTGATTTTTACACACGTAGTACTGCTAGCAGAAACATACCAAAAAACGTGCATTAATGATAAAACTTTGCAAGCTGGGTGTATTATGTATCAGGGCCGCGTCGTCTGTAAAAAGAAGCGTTGTGGTACCACGTGTAGTAGACGGGTTTTATGGTTCAACAAACGCCAGAACAAACACCTGATGTGTGTCGATCTCCGTATTCGGCCCAGCGGTTCCACTCCGGGATGCAGGTACTGGGCGTTTTTGGGGTTGGTGATGAGCACCGCGGGCCACTGCTCGAACCTCAGGTCAGAGAAACTCAGCAGGTCGTGGTCCAAGGCCAGAACCCTGTACCTAGAGACGGGGGTGAGACGCTGTTTCTGCAGGTCTGTGAGGCCTTTTAGTTACCACAACCAGGGCAGTTGAATACCCTTTTTCACAGAATCATAACGTAATAGAAAAGAGGTATAACATATGAATGCATAATTTCTTCTTTATCTGGGTATAATTCTGTAATAACACCCGTTTTTTGTCCCTACCTGCGGTTGTCCATCCAGTCGCCCAGCTCCAGCTCCAGGGTGCCTTGAGGGTGTCGGCTGTGGAGGACGGGCATCAGGCCCCCCAAGGTGTGCAGGTGGCCACACAGATATGCGACTGCAGATCTACAAACAAGAAGTGCAGACATCAGGAAGCTGTGGTCCCGACGACTGCTTGAAAATACGCTGAGTGTTCCATTTATTTCAAAATAAAAGGAATCGAAAATGTCCCATCACATGGATTTGAATATATGTAAAAGAGAAAACCGGCTGCCAGTCAAACGCTGATAACATTTGGTTTCCTAGTTGTAGGATTGTGTAGTAAAATTCTAGTTTGTGTGTTAAAAGAGCAGCAGAAGAGTCAATATGCGCTCACACACGCACACACACACACACACGCTTTGAACCAACCGGTTTAACATCCTGCATCGTCTTACCTCATCGCGTCCCGAAGTCCCGGAGCCGGAGAGACGACAGTGGAAGTGGTGTAGTGGCCGAACCAGATCGACTGGTTGCTTTTCAGACTCTCTACTCTGAACGTGTCCAGCAAGTCCATTTGGGTCTGTCACATTTTGAGCAAAGAGTGTATGGGTGCTTTTTAATTATCCCTTTGAAGACACATATAGCGCCGTATATCATTTAATTATTTCTTAATTTAAAATGACTATTCAACGGGAACATTTCTTTATAGTGGAATACGACATTAAATCATTTAGGTCTGATCCAACCTTCAAGTGTAATAAAATGATGAGTGACTATTGAAAGCTTCTCTGCTTTGTGTTTGACACAAATACACAAATCCCGTGTTCAGTCGTACCTGGTTGAGAATACCAAAGAAGTTGTACGGCCTCTTGGGTCCTGGATCCAGAGTGGCATCCGCACAGACAAAGGAATAGTTGCCGAAGGGTTTTTTGTGAACGTAGTGAAAGGAGCCTACTTTCTGATTAGCAGAGTATTTCCTACAGAGAGTTGAAAGAAAAAGAAGAGTCAATGTGAGATACGTCAGCAGCTCAAATAGAGCCCAAAGATAATACGATGCATTTTAAATAAACAAATTAAGCTTGCAGACATTTTTTGGAATATTTAGGAGATAAATGATGATTACAGCAGTAGCAACGGCACAGGAAACATCCTTTGTGTCAGAAGGAGGGCGAGTCAGCCTCTGTTCTTGCAGATTCTGCTTCTATTTCAGTCCTCAGGAAGCTCAAACAGCTTGAATTATTGTCAATAAATAGGTCTGCAGCTTCTCATGTTTCAGTGGCATTGAAGTTACGATGTGCTCTGAGCCACTTCACGCTCAGCCAGCCATGCAGGAGGAGGCTGCGAATCAGGCATTTACTGTAGTATTGATCAATTCATACTGACCGGTAGTAATTGTTGACGCTGTCCAGAGAAATAATATTGAAGGCATCTGTTGAGAGATTTTTTTAAATAGTGAGATTGAGCAGTATATAAATAATAAAAGAGGTTACTGAATGTCTAATGAGGAAATTCCCAATGGAACAATATAATGAATATGAATATTTAATCCGGGAATCAAATTTCACAGGAAGGTAGAAAACAATATCAGTTTTTACAATAAACGCAACCAACTGACGTCAACAACTGTGATCAATAAGAGCAGAACGTCCACATCCAATAACTAGTTTCTTTCCAGCTACAAAGTAAAGATATCTCCTTTCACATCAAATCTAATTGAAGGGATTGCGATCCAATAACGGAGGTTGGAAGCAGCACTGAGGAGGACCGGGTGGCACGAGGAGCGAATCAGTTAATGGATTCTTGGAAACGTCCTAATTGTACTCTGGGATGTTTCTACTGGAAAGAACAACAATACGGTTACAAAAGGGCTGCGCTTAATCACCATGGTTTCCCCGGATGTCTATCCACCTGGTGCGCTCCATCACACGCGACCTCTTCAGGATGTTGTGGTAGGCCTGCCACTCCACCTCGTGCTGCAGGGAGCCCACCTTGCTCTCCGTTTTGGCATCTGTCAGATCTCCTGCGGAGTCGGTAAAAGATTCATGTGAGATAGGAGAAAAAAAAACTAACCTGGCCACACCTGTGTAGCCTCAGTAAGGGACTTTTTAAATGACTTTGGTTAGACGGGCGGTGGGTTACTGCACCTGTCGCGAGCACCAGATCCGGCTGGATCACCTTGATTGTGTCAGTGCAGAACTTTTCAAAATCCGGAATGCGTCTCGGGTCATGAAATCGACTAATGTGAATGTCAGAGACCTTAAACCAGATATTATAAAAAAACATCAGGAATAAATAAATAATATTTCAAATATGGCTTTTTTACAACCTTACCAAACAGATTAGTATAGGTGTTGCAAAACAGAATGGTACAAAGTCTGACAACGTGGGCGAACCACCTTTCCTTTCGGTTTTTTTTCTTCCTGACAATGACGCTTCTGTGGTCAGTGACCCTTCCTGTTAAACACTCAGTTCAGCGGGGGAATTACACACATGTATGTAATCCCCTTTATCTTTACCTTTTTTATGTTAAAAATTAAAACAGCATCAAAATACAAAAAGGAGCAAGCAGAGCTATCGAGACGAAACAAATCCCACCTGTATAAACCAGAATATATTGCCCAACTCGCCGCCGGGGAACGGTGGAGACTTCCCCGCTTCTCCATCGCCGACAGCCGGCTGCCGAACGCTCCGCTTCGGGTGCCAAGCCGTGTCGTAGCTGTCCAGCACCCAGGAGGTGATGCACGCCAGAGCCAGCCCGAGGAACACCAGCGCACCGAACAGCTTCAGCATCCTCCTGTAGTGGCGACTAGCTGCCGCCGTCTGTCCCGGGTACAGGGAGGGGGAGGTGGGCGGGGGGGGGGGGGGGCTAGCTACTGGAGGAAATAGCTACGGCGCACGAATCACACTGACATTAACTACGGATATTGTCAACCGTCTGGCTACATAGCGAAGACCTCAGACCGTCACTGTCGCTGCCACCGCGGCTACGGGAGATACATTGAGGCGATGGGTTTCAGTCACGGCTCTCCGCTCAGCTGCCTTCTGAGGCGGAGGAGGAGGAGGAGGAGGAGGATGTAGCTCGGTGGGTCAGCTGTCAGCTAGCAAGCTAGCGGCTAGCTAGCAGGCTAGCAGCTGGAGAGCGGTTGGATGTGGAACGTCACCGGAAGAGAAAGAGAGAGAGAGACAGAGACAGAGAGAGTGTGTGGTGGAGGAGGTCTCACTCCGACTCGGTTTTCAGGGTACCGCGGTCAACAGACCTTGTCATCACCCCACAACATACAGTGTATGCTCCTTGATGTTATTTGATATATTCCATACATATGGGACGTTATAAAACGAAACAAAATCATGAATAATAAACAGAATTGTAAACCTAATTATTTTCAATTATTTTATGTATTCATTATTTTATTTAATGTTATACTACTGTTTACACATGTATATTATGTATCTATAAAAAATGTTTCTCCTTTTTCTAGCTTTCATGTTCTTGTTTTTCAGTTGCATGACTACGGAAAAAACGCGAATGTGTTGAAGTTGATTTTGATTGTAAAGGTCGTAATTGAGTCTTAAAATGTCTGTTCCACTGCTTTTTTACTAAATGGGAAAGATCATTTACTAAACCATCTGGGGACCTGACTAAATTTCAGTCATTAATGTAATTGTCAATGGGAATATAGTGAGATACATGTAACTTGTAAATTGTGTTCAAGACCCAGCAGTAAAACAAGTGCATTTGTCATTGCAAAGGGATCTTTTTTAAATCCATGTGAAGACTATCCGCCATCAGTCATACGCCATATTTAACTCAATGTCGCCTCCTAGTGGTCTTTGTGAAAAGTGTAATTTTTCTCCTTGGCCACATTCCAAACAGTTCCCAAGTATAATCCTCTAGATAAAAACCCCGACAATAATAACTTTTGGTGAATATTCATTGATGGCTGTCAACGGCGTTTCATTCACTCATTTACTAACCCGTTTGACAACATGTTAAAGCCTTGAAAAAAACAACAACTGATCCGTGCCCGTGAACGAGCTTTTAAAACGACCCCGGTGCGCGCTCTCGTGGCTTGTTGCGAGGGGCAACTGAGTCGGGCACGCGCGTTCAGGGAAGGCTCGACGATCATCACAGAGTCGTCACGTCACGGATCCGCAGCGACCGACAGAGATGCCGAGGTGACAGGCCGCTAGCAGAAAGAAGGGGGACCACACTCACAGACATATTTCCTTCGTTTCTAACCCCCCCGACCGCCTCTTCTTCACGGGCGGTTTAACTCGCGATGGGATTCCGCCCGACGTCGTCCCCGCCAGCCTCCAACCTAGAGGATTTGTCGTAACCACACCCGGCCCTTCTTCACGCCGAGGCTCGCCAGCGAAGAAGACCCCGGAGGTAAGGACTCAGAGATGCATTAGGCCGACCGTCCCGCTCCCCCGCGCCTGTCTTTCGCTTAGCTGCACCGAAAATCGAGAGAACCGCCCACGCGCCTCGCAGGCCGGACGAGGTGGCGCGTGTCCCCGTGTGGACGGCCGGCGCGCGTGGACGCGCCCGAGTAAATCTGCTGGCGGTCACCGACTCGTTGTGCAGGCGGCTCTCTGCACTGTGGGTCAGGGGACAGGTGATGTGTCACCAGCGGGACACGGTGTCTGCTGTCCCGTCGATCACAGCCGGCCAAGGGGTCGTTTCGCACGATTGGCTTCTAATCGAACACATCTGAGCTTGAGTTGCTCTTTAGGTGAGTGCATCTTTGAGTGCAGCCATTATGCCAGAAACACACACACACACACACACACACACACACACACACACACACACTCGTCCTTCACAGATTCTTCAGGCTGGATCAGTTTCGTCCATGCTGTGACTTGGAGTGTGCAGGGCCGCCCCACGCTGGCTCCTCTCCAGGGCTTGTCCTGCTAAACCAGCGGCCCAACAAGTGAGCTGAGCCACGCCGGGATCAGACACAGAGGATGCATCCACAGTCAGCTCATTCTCACCCGAGCCATGCATTCTTGCACGTGCACGCTTGAGATTGTCCTTTAGGATTAGGACTTTTACCCCCCCCCCCTCCTCCCATGTCAATATTTACAGACAAATCTCCAGGAGCGAAGGCTTTGTTCGGTGGGTTCACTCATTGACATTTCACCATCGCTTCGGTGAAGCTGTGAAGACTTGCAGGCGACGACAAGCTGCCGTCAGCAAAGGAGACGAGGCACTGCAGCTTCGCCAGCGTGGAGATGGGGGGGGGGGGGGTCAGGGAGTGTGATTCATCATCATGATGAGAAAGGAGTGGGTTTGTCATAGCCGGCTCCTCCCGTGCTTTTATTTACTGTTTTCAGTTAATTGACGTGGGTCGTATGATGATGATGGAGGAGGAGGAGGAGGAGGAGGCGGCAGATGAAGAACAGCGTCTGCCGGGTGTGAGATTAGTCCCAGCGTGGGGCTCCTAGGAGCACAGGTGTGTGTTCGGTCATGCGGTGTGTAATCAAGCTTGTGTTGGAGAGAGAGAGTTCGGGCGTTTGTACATCCAGCGTGTGTTGCCTAAAACAAGGAAGCGGAAACCTCCAACTGTCCCTTTCACATTCACGCTAGAGGTCAAACAGCAGAAGTCTCTCCCGAGCGACTCGCTCATCTTCAAAAAGAAGACAAAGACGAGACGTCTCGTGCGATACCTCAGATATGACAGAACCGTTATCTCCGTGTTCCCCGTAAAGGCGGGACAGCGCTGGCGCGGGGTTGACCTTGAAGTTTGGGACGCGAGGCTCACAGCCGAGGTTGTTTAATCATTGTTTACGGCGAGTCTCTCCCTCTCTCCTCCCCCTGTGGGTCAGAAGAGTCTTGTTCAGCATGTTTCTTGTGTGCTTTGGACGGCGTGCTCCAGATGACTTTACTGGTAACATAACGCTGCTGTTTTCCCCGAGTCAGCCCTCGCTGGGTTTGTCAGTGTCTGAAAAGATTTACACGTGTGCAGTCAAAGGTTTTAGTGCTTGACGCGGCAATAAAGAGACACTTTGGTTCAGTTTGGGCCAAAAAAGAAGCTCGATCAAATTCAACTTCCCTCCTGTGGATGTCGCTTTCTAGGTCCAAAGGGAAATATCTTCATAACAGTTTGATGGATTCTTGTACTGTTTGTACAGCTGTTCGTGATCCCCAGAGGGTGAATCCTACTGTTTCACCTGATTCTTCATCCAGGGTGGACTATGCAAACGTCTGTGCCCCCCTCGGGCCTTTTACGAAGTTCTGTCGGGTCATAATAGTGCTTTTTAAAAAATTGCCAATACCTACAAAACTAATGACATCCCATTTAGTGTTGGGTGTTCTGCTAATTAGCAAACTGTAGCATACGGACACGCCAAACCGTGTCAGTGGTAAACATCACCGTGGTAACAGTGTTATTTTTAGCATCATGCTGACGTTAGCATTTAGCTCAAAGCCCCATTGTTCCTCAGCAGCAGAGCTTCTAGCTCAGCCGCGGACTTTCAGTATTGTCTTGTTTCTGTTACAAAATCACACTTTTCTTTTTGTGTGCACAGAATATCACCAACTCAACTATAACCTATTCATAATAAAGTTACAAAAAGAAGGGAATGTTCTGTTATTTATGAGCGTAAACGTACTGGCTGCACGCTAAACAGATTTCTATTGAATTATATAGATCTATCTTCAGAGTAATTAAGAGTACAGATCTAGAGATTAGGACCGTTACAAGACTTCTAATGAGACGTCCCACGTGCTCCTGGTTCCTAACCCCGGGTCACATTTCATGCTGGTCGTTTGGCTGATATCTGCTCCCCCCACGCTTTGCCCTCTTCCATCTCCTGCATGACGGGAGACTGATGGCCTCCTTGATCTTGGGTTTATGCCCCTGTAACCAAATAGTGTTTTGAAGGCTGGTTGCAGAAGCGTAGTCGTGTGCAGAATGACGAGTCCAAGTCGGGTTCGCTGGGTTCGCTTCGAGCGCTTGAAGCCGTGCCGAGGAATGCTGCTCCATGACATGGGTGATAATGCAGGAGCGTACACAACCACCAAGTTCGTACTTCCACCACAAGGCAATGAATGTATTAAGTATTCATGAAATAACAACTTTTGGGAGCAAATAAAGCTGCCGGTAGGACAGATCTCTTTTTTTAGCTAGAAGTTATTCACCTTCTGAAGGAAGAACTACGTTATTACCGACTTATTAAGTTATTGTCAAACTGCAAACACGATGGTCTCTTTGAGAGCAAGAAACCATCAAGCATTTATTACTGTAATAAATATCTGTGATGACCAAAAGAAAGGATAGAGATTCTTCACAATATGTGCTGTGTCTGTAGTTTATGACGGATTTTTAAAAGCATTAATAAATTAGGTCAGAACCATTTACACACCATTAAACTAATTGGCCAACCTACAAACCTTTTACAACAGGAGACTTAAAAAAGAAAAAGAAAAAAAAGCAGCATTTTATCTTTTGGCATCTGATTTGTTTCAAGGACAAAACTTAACTTTGGTTGAACAGAAATGCGGCGAAGCAACGTGAGCCTTGAATTAAGAAAACAAGCGAGGCTGAATTCTGCCAAATTCTATTTCAAGCAACTTAATGAAACGTAATCACTATGATGAATATCCGTGTATCATGACCTCAACTTTCTTCTCTCACAGCCAGCGCTAAATCCAAATTGGGCTTAATAAACCTCCTTGTTATATCTGACAAGACCGCTGTGTCTATGAGAACCGCCCCTTAGTTGTTGACACAAATGACGAATGGAGGTGAAAAGTGGTACTGAGATGAAGCCTTTTTGTAACTCAAGACGCTGGCCTGTGGCCTGCGCCCCGGCGGGGCGAGCCGGTCCGGGCGGACAGCTGCTGGCAGCAGGTGTGGCAGCTGCAGCGATAGCGGAGCATCAGAAAGCTCCAGCCGTTAAGCCAGGGGTTTAAGAGAGATGCTGGAGTTTGAATTCGTGCCCTGAATAACCTCATTTGTCACATCATTTGAAGTTTTGTGTGTCTTCTCCTTCCCGAGGGTTCTCCATCAAGACCCAAATGCGCGGCCCGGTCTGAGGCAGCTGGAGGAGGAGGAGGAGGAGGAGGAGGAGGAGGAGGGGGCCAAAGAAGTGAGGACAGCGTCCCCCGGCGCGCAGACGGGATGAGCGGGGGAGCGGAGCAAGCCGACATCCTGACCGTGCTCTCCCTGGTCAAGGAGCGATGGAAAGTGGTGAGTGACGGCGCGGTCGGCGACAATGGCCGGCGACAATGGCCGGCGTGTGCTTGCGCGTCCCCGGCGCCGCCCGCCCGCCCGCCCCCATCTTCCCGTGTCTCTTCCCCGCCGTCCCACAAACAACAGCTCTTTGTCTCCACCAGCGATGCCTTCCCCCCTGCCCATGAGTCTCCGAGCTATCTATCCAGGCCCGGGCCTCGGGACAGTGTGGGCTCGCCCCCCCACCCTGTCCAGGTCGGGCTGATGCAGAACAGGGCATCCTAAAATAGCCCGCGTAGCTATTTGTGTCGGTGCGGCGGGCTATAGGCTCTCTCTGTTCCCCGCCGACGTCACTTCCTGTCTTCTGAGGAGCGGGGTTACATAAGGACGCCGCAGCTACATCCCACGACTTCAGCTCCCAGTGCGGGCGCACGTGTGCGTGCACGGAGGACGCTGAAAGACAAATGAAAGGAAATTAAAGCTCCGCTAATTGGAAGCAGTGAATAGAAGAGAAGCGTGTGAAGCACATGCAGTTCTTTGTGTGAAGCAGCTTTAGGCCTGTTTGTGGCCTCCGTCAGTGCTGTGAGCACGAAGTAGAGGAAATGTTCATAGATGAAAGGTCAGGCACAACTGAACCAGGCTGGGAGCAATTATTGATGAGACAGAAAAATGATCAGCAGCTCTTCTCATCATCTATGTTTTAGATATTTGATCTTTTAAGTATAATCGTTCAAGGTCAAATGTCCCAGAATACTTACCTACTGCTTCTCAAATGTCATGAGTTTCATTACTTCTTTGTCTTTGGTAGCAACAAACTGGTAAACTGAACAGCTCATAATCATAAAGAAAATAGTTGTCGAATCTTAAAAAACATTGTTTTGTTGTTGTGTTTCTAGGTTTTCTAAAAATACAATCTGGATATTCTCAAACTCTCAAACCAACTCTGGATAAACAGGACTGAGTCAATTCGTAACATTTCAACATTTGCTGAAATCCTACTAAGAAAATACAAGAACTGTTTATTTTTTCACATGTGCACAAACCCTTTATAAGTAGGTATTAAATTAAAGCAAAATTACAAGAGAAAAATGACTCAAAATAACATATAATATCCTGCACATCACACACAGGTTGTCAGTGTTTATTTCGTCTCACGCGGTGTGTCATAACCTTTCTCTAGGTGAAGAAGATCGGAGGCGGCGGGTTTGGGGAGATCTACGAGGCGGTGGACCTGCTGACGCGGGTCAGCGTGGCGCTGAAGGTGGAGTCGGCCCAGCAGCCCAAGCAGGTGCTCAAGATGGAAGTCGCCGTGCTCAAGAAGCTCCAGGGTGAGTCGACATGGATTCAGTGGATTTGGTTACATTCCTGGAATTGGCTAATGGTCCCCTGCACCTCGACCTATCCATGACAGGACGCCTTTTGTCAGAAAAACAAATCCTTAGGAAATGCTTTCTGTCAAAGATTTACCCTGGATCGATCAAATAAACACGAGTGAAAAAAGAGGGGGACTAATCCAGGAAATCTACACAGAAGGGTGAAATAATCTACATTGTCTGACCCTCACATTTTCTCCATCTCTTGATTTACGAGTTTCAGAGTGACATGAAGTGCTTGTCATGTACACGAGTGGCCGGTGTTCCACACCAGAGTGCGAACAGGGGGCTCGCATAGTTTTACTCCTGCCTCTTTTCTTTCTTCTCTCCCGTCCCCTCTCCTCTTCCTGCCCTGCTGAACACTTTGCCTGTTTTTCTTTTCTCTCTCTTTAACCTCTGAGAAGAAAATCAATGGGCCGGGATCATGTTTGCCGTCTAATGGCTGCCGGCCTCGAGCACTGTGGGTTTGTTGCTTCCTGAGGGAACCAGCATGTAACGTGAGACAAAGCTGAACTCCAGCCCCCCCCCCCAAACATTTCTGACCCCGCCCAGCTGTAAACGCCTCACATCAACCAAGCGCCTCACAAGCAGCCTAGTGGGTCAGATCACGCTAACCGTAATTGCTTCTTTGTTTCTTTGTTTTTAATTGCATTATTTTGGATAATGTTGTGTTGGATTTTGGTGAAAGTAGTCAATCCAAATCGTTGTGTTTGTTAACGTGGAAGCTTTGTTCGAAACCGTTGGCATTCACTGCATGCCGAAGGGTTCAGGGTGTGGCTGCAGTCCAGCTGCAGTCCAGCTGCTGGAGCAGCCATGTCCTTTCAGAACACACACACACACACACACACACACAGATGAATGCACAAACGCACAAGGCAAATTCATGTACATGTTCAGGCCTTGTGTTGGGTGCTGTAGCCCATAAATCAGCAGGACGGTCATATGTGCGCTCTGCAGGTGGGGTGTGGGGGGGGGGATTCAAGCTCGCACGTCATCATGATTCACGCAGCATCTTATCGAGTGATTGATGTCTTGTGACTGTGGCATGACCTCGTCTTTTTTTTCCCCTCTTATTTCTCAGGTAAAGACCACGTGTGCCGCTTCGTGGGATGCGGCCGCAACGACCGCTTTAACTACGTGGTGATGGAGCTTCAGGTGGGTTTAAATGCAAAGACCATGTGCCCCATGAGCGCTTACTTTTGCTTATCAAACAAATGAATCAGAATTACCGTAATAACCTTAACCGCTCTGATGATGGATTCACTTCTCATGCATAAAATGGCATAAATGCTTGCATGGCTAAGCGTGTACACTAGTCATTGCAACAATACTCCACGCAGAGATTCAGGGAACGGTTCAGGTACGATGGGATCTACCGAGGCATCACATCCGCTTCAACCACTTCACTCGTAGTAACAAAGTCATCATATTGAATCACAAATACTTGTTGTGCTCTGGTTTCAATTCATGCCAACATACCCACAGGAATGTTACGTTTTGCTGTACAGCGCTGACTCCCAACCGGACCATCAGATCATCTGTTTAATTATAGATGAGGCTCAATGTATGTTTTCTCCTGCCGTTCGGCTTGTGTTCTGTTTCTATTCTCACTCCTGTTACAGTGTGTCGCTTCCGAAGGAGAATCAGAAAACACCCCTTTTTTTTATGTCGAGACACACAGACCTGCTGAGTTACTTGAAGGGGTGGTGGCGGGATTCATCAGATCTGACCCTGTGCATCTGCTCTCTCTCAGGGTCGTAACCTGGCTGACCTGAGGAGGAGTATGAGCCGGGGGACCTTCAGCATCAGCACCACCCTGCGTCTGGGACGGCAGATCCTGGAGGCCATAGAGAGCATCCACTCTGTGGGCTTCCTGCATCGCGACATTAAACCGGTGAGTGACGGTCAGCAGCGGAGGATATGAGCGGCCTGGTTGTTATTTCATGCCATAGCTTCAACCGTATTTATTCCCGACGGATGGGAATGTTTTCTTTTTGCTGTCCGGGCAGTGTTTGTGACTCCAGCACTTTACTGCCTGCTTGCATAGTTGCTGATTCAGTATTTTGTTGCACTTACAGCGAGCCGGCGGATTGTAAATACCCTCTGTCTTCTGGGCTATTAAAGTATATTCTAGCACAGACAGACATTTATTGTTATCATTCCTTTTAACCGTTGCCTCCTTTTTTTATTGCTTCAGTCCAATTTTGCAATGGGCCGCTTCCCAAGCACCTGTCGAACCTGCTACATGCTGGACTTTGGTTTGGCTCGTCAGTTCACCAACTCCTGCCAGGAGGTCCGACCTGTAAGTGTGCCCCTCTGTTACTGGCCATATACTGAACTTAAAGCTGCACCGGTCTGATATGGTGATCTGTCAGTGGAATTGAATGGTGATGAAATTGTTTAGCCACAAAAAAGAATCTCAGAGAAATGGATCAATCTCACCTAAATTGAAATATTCCCTCAACCCAATTAATATGTTTATTTGAATGCATGTAAACATGCAACACGATTGCAATTGAAACTGTGGGGGAAATATTTGCACTGAAATTCTAAAAAATGTTATGTGATAATATGTAAAAATTCTGCTATGCCAAGAAACAATTGCATGCTAGTGAAATGTCAAAAGGTTAAATGAAAGACTGGGAATAGTCCATTATTCAAATATGTCAATATTTGCATGTTAACACTAGTTTCTGTGGTTGTTCGTCAGCCTCGGCCAGTGGCAGGCTTCAGGGGAACGGTCCGCTATGCATCTGTCAATGCACACAAGAATAAGGTCAGTGTCCGTCCACCCCTCCAGCTCTTGTGTAATCAGTGACGCTGCCCCACACACGTCTATTTTAGGGCTTAGCGCAACCTTCTCTTTTCTTTCTTTTTTTTTTGTCATGATTTATCTATGTAAACGTAATTGATTTGTGCTCATCCCTAATGTGATTCTGCAGGAGATGGGCCGTCACGATGACCTGTGGTCTCTCTTCTACATGCTGGTGGAGTTTCTGGTCGGTCAGTTGCCGTGGAGGAAGATCAAGGACAAAGTAAGGGCAGCCAATAATCGCTGCCCCTCGTGGAAGCTGAACAGCCCTCCCTGTCCACGCAGCTGTGGATGATGACATTTGACAGTTGTGTGTGTGTGTGTGTGTGTGTGTGTGTGTGTGTTTGCTCCCAGGAACATGTGGGGAAGCTGAAGGATACTTACGACCATCGTCTGATGCTCAAGCACCTGCCGGCAGAGTTTGGCGTATTCTTGGAGCACATCGCCAGCCTCGACTACTTCACTAAGCCCGACTACCAGGTGACGCAGGGCTCTAATTTGAATTTAAAGTAACAAGGAATTGTTTTGTTTTTTTCTGCTTGTATCAAGTACAGCCTGTCAGTCAGAAGTGCAGCACGTGATCTAGATTTTCTTTTTTCTGTGTTATTAAGCTGCTGATGTCAGTGTTTGACAACAGCATGAAAACCTACAACGTCGTGGAGAACGACCCTTACGACTGGGAGCGCACCGGCACCGATGGCACTCTGACCATCATTGCCGTTGCCACAACGCCGCAACATCACACCCGCCTCACTCCGGCACACATGGGGTATGTTTGATGGAAGCGTCGATCCCTTTCTTTCATTTTCTAGAACCCACAAATATAGCCTGTATCTGCAATTATGGAATACAGAGACTCAAACATAAAACAATGTCCTTCTGTGGCCCCAGTATGGCCAACGCCTCCCTGATACCCGGCGACCTGATGAGGGAAAACACAGACGAGGTTCTGCAGGACGAGCAGCTCAGCGACGTGGAGAACAACCCCGCTCCGGAGCGCCTGCCGGGCTCTCCCCTCCACCTGCACCGCAACCAGGAGGCCGACGTCTGGGAGGAGCTGGACCGCAACCGCAACCGCGTCCGGTCGGCAGCCTGGAAGGTGGTGTGGCTTCACCTCCTCAAGTTCTCTCAGCGAGAAGTAAAGGCTTATTTGAAATATACCATTTCGCTTTTCCTTTCCAAAAGGCGGCAACGGAGGAGGAACACGGCAACATCCCGGGCAGCCATGGGCACCAGAGCCCCTACCCCGGGCCCAGCCTGGGATCCCCGGTCAAACTGCAAACTGATGTGGGGGCTTCGGACCGCGATGGGACCCTGCTGAGGAAGCTCCGCAACATTCACAGTTTTGACCTGGAGAGGCGGCTGACCCTGGAGGCCAAGCCCAGTCCAGAGCGCTTCCTGGAAACCTGGTATGTCTGTCAAATAACCGGTCAGCGCTTAACATCAGTTTCCCCAAATGCCCCCTGGGGTTCGAGCTGAGTATCTGCATCTGGCTTGTGTCTCTTCAGCTCAGGGAAGCAGCAGCAGCAGCAGCAGCAAGCTGGCAACCAGCACCAGGAGAAGGAAGGTGACGGCGCTGCAATCGTCCCGGTAGCTCAGGGTCAAGCGGAACCTGCCGGGGAGCGTCCCGATAGGGTCTGGCACTACGATGAGGAGTTCTTGTCCGGCGGTGGTTCTCCTAAACCAGCGTCCTGTGGATCTGCGGAGCAGGGAGAGGGGGCGGTCATCAGCGGGGGCTTCGTGGCCCTCAACCTGAGCTCGGGGAGGCAGGACGTTGACTCAAGGGAGTGGGTAATGGTGGAGCGGCCCAGTGGCTCTCCGGGAGCCAAGGTCACCACCAGCCCCTCAGAGGAGGACGAGGAGCCGGAGGTGCTCCAGCTAGGGGACCAGTCCCCCGGCTGGGAAAGGGGATATCCGGGGCCCAACTCTGGCAACGCTAAACAAGGAAGCGTGGCTTCCTCCAAAGGAAGTGCGAAAGTCGACAAGTTGGAGCTTAGCGTGGGTCTTGTGGGGGCTCTGCCACCCGTCACTCCGACAAGCCCGGCTGAAGCTCTGGCTGAGGGAGTTCTCACGCAGGTAAGCCCGTTGTCTTTGAAGGCCGTCTCTCAACATGGCAGACATGATACTGACCGTAGTCAGCACTTTACCAAATTAAAGTTCCACCGGCTGCTTGATGTTTTCTGGCTTATTTGCTTGTGTTTATTGTAAGTAAAAGTATATTTGTGTCACAACTGCACAGCTTTTTTATCAGATCATCATGGGGGAAAAGAGAGCTTATGGCTTTGAAATGCATATTGAGTTGCGTCAAATTTCATGCAAAATTTGGTCTTATTTGCACTGTGTTTGGTTGGTTTAATTTATTTCACAAATACAATAATTTGATCACAATACGGCTTGGTTTCCTCAGTTTAAATTACTTTTTTGCTCCATTATTTATATTTATTTGTATAACCCTCAGCCAACCCAACAAAATCCTAATCAATCTGCAAGCTCAGCACAAAACTCCTTTCAAACAATTTACAAACAAGGAGGAATAATCTTTCCGCCCCTTTTATCCTACAACCAGAGCAACCGCCTCCGAGGTGATAATGTATACGGCCTTCCCAGAAACCACCCACATTGCCTCTGTCTTCCCTCTGTGGGCCTGCGATCATCCACGGATCTTCATAAACAGCCCCCTCCACACTTGCTATACCCGTTGACGTCGTGCTCCCCACCTGCTCGTCCTGCCTCAAAGCACTTCCTTCTCCATCTTCTCCCTCCTCCACCAGTCTCACCAACCCACCTCTCTCCACCCTCCACTTCTGTCCTTCCCCCTCTCTTAGCTCCCCACCTCTCCTCCATCCCTGCCTGACGAGGTCGCCATGCGGACATGCAGCCCCGTCCCGCTGCGCTCTCCCAGCCCTCACACACTCCTGACCACCTTATCGGACCCGTTGCACCTGCGCCATCATCCGGCCATGAGGCGTAGCCAGTCTGTCGACCCCCAACAGCAGCAGCAGCAGCAGCAGCAGGAACGCCCCTCCTCCGCCTCCTCCTGCCACGCCTCCCTACCACTGCCACCGCCAAACCCCGCCCCCGGCACCCGTTCCCCCGGTCGCAGGAAACTGCCGGCCATCCCGGCGGGTGCTGCCAACGCCAAGTTTCCCTCTGTCATACGCATCACTCGCGCCCAGCTTCAGCAGGTGATGAGCCCGTCACGGCCTCATGTAACCCTCCACTCAGCTTCCTCCACCTCTGTAGCAACACTGAGGCTGTCAACATTTTTTTTGTTCCTTCTTTTTCTGTTGTTGTTTTGTCTAAGTTGCTCATATTTGGCTTCTTTGTTCAATCGGCTCGCTCTTTGTGTTGTTGTGAGGCAGCTCTCTCCAGATCCCCCCCCCCCCCTCCCCCCCTCGAGGGACATTATGCAGGCCAGACAAGAGCATGGGTCAGATGTGTCCTTGTGGTCTGGACATGTGTCCTTGTGATCTGAACAGGGGCGTGTGTTTGTCTGATTGTGGCATGTGTGTTTGGAATGTCGAGTCATGACTACAGGTTGCATGGTCTCTTTTGTTTCAGATCGTCTTTGTCCTCTCTATCTTTCTCTTTCTCTCTCTCTCCCTGTATTTGTTCCTCACCCTCTCTTCGCTGAAGCCCCCTGCGAAGTTGCGTGAACCTTTCCTGTCCTACTTGCTGGTTTAGTACTCACAGCTTGACTGACACTGCCATAGCACTTGTGTGTTTCGGTCTGATAATGGTAGCTATGGTACTGCATGCTGTTGCCAAACTAATCACCATTTATTACCGTACATCACACAACACTTCTCTTTTCACACATCCGGCTCTTGCTACAGAACTACAGCACAACTCGACATGTTGTAGTCTATCAGCAACAGGCCCTTGACAACTAGCATATCATTCCCACTCTTGGTTTGGTCGAGCCTTTTAAGTAACACTCGTGTGTGTGTGTCTCTCTCTCTCTCTCCACTCCCGTGTCTCCACCTCCCCACCCCCACCCCCTCCAGTTGACCGCTCAGCGTCCCTCCGGGCTGTCCTCCCAGTCGGGATCGGACGCCGCGCCGCAGTGCCTCCTGCTGGAGAGGCGCGGCGAGCCCGAAGCCGAGGCTCGGCAGGTCCAGGAGCGCACAGCGGACATCGGCTCCCCCCAGGAGCGTGTGCTCGCCCGTCCGGGGACACCCACGGACCCTCTGGCTGAGATCCCGGTCAACGGGCACGTCCACAACAAAGCTCAAAGCCCCAACCGCGTGTCCTCCCCGCGCTCCCCCCGCTCGCCTCACTCGCCTCCTCTGCGCTCGCCTTCCTCTCCGCGCTCTCCCCGCTCCCCTCACAGCCCTGCGTTTCCAAACGGTCGCCCCCCTCCGCTTAACAGCCAGAGGGATTTGAGTAATGGTGCATTTCCCAAGCTGAAGGACCCTGAGAAGGATTCTGGCCCGACTCTCTGCGCCACAGAGCCTCAGTTATGGGGCGAGGTTACTAGAGAAGAAGACCACGTCCCAGATCAGACAAAAGGGCCGGTCTCCTCCTCCTCCTCCCCCGTGGCCCTCCGCAAGGACCCCAGCCGGAGGCAAAGTCGCATCCCAGTCCTGGAGCCCTCCAGCCTGCTTGAGCTCCCTCCCGCCGGGTCTGCGAAGGAGAAACTCCTGCAGAAGAAGGCTAACCACCAAGGCCCCGTCCCGTCTCCCACCGCCTCGCCCTCGCTCTCCGATAGGCGGGGCCCCGCGGTGGCCTCCCTGGCCCGGGACCCGTTGTCCTCCGCCTCCGACCGCTCTCAGGACGAGGACTCTCTCATGGGCTCCCGCTCCGACCGCCAGGGAGACGACGCTGTCTCCCACTCCTCCTCCTCCAGCCCTCTGTCCCGCAAGAGCCGGATCCCTCGTCCCGTTCACGCCGCTTCTTCCGCTGAGCAGCTGGCTGCCCAATTCCTGCCACGCCCGCCACCTGGAAAGCCGCCGTGCCGCCCCACAGCGGAGGGCAGGTAATTTGCACATCTTCGTCTTTTGGCTTTTGACAACCACCGTTGTAGTAGTGTTCTCAAATCAAGCCTATTGCACGATTCCCGTTGATGATTCGTTTGATTAATTTTCTCACATATTTGCTTTCTTACAGTAGTGAGAGAATACTGTTTAACTCTTTACCGTACTCCCTGTGATGCTGCTCCGCCATGATGTCTCGTCCATCATGTGTTTGACCCCTGGCTGATATTCATAACCCGCCCACCCTCCATTCTGTCCCCACTCAGGCTTCGGCGTTTACGCATCCGAGCCGGCAGCAACAGCGACTCGGACCTCCTGACGTGCCTTGCTCAGCTGATGCACGGCTCCCGAGGGTCGCCGCTCCACCACCGCTCCTCCGCCCAGCACGGGGGCTCCAGGATGGGCGTCTGCAGCCTGACGAGCTCGCCGCACCACCACCGCAGCTCCAGCGCCTCGCCGCGCAGCTCCTCCTCCCTGCAGCGCTCCGTCAGCTCCTCGCCCTCCCGCCACGAGCACCGCGGCGGCGGCGGCGGTGGCGGCGGGGGTTGCCTCGGCCGCAGCCGCTCGCCACCCAGCTTCTCGGGCTCGCCGCCTCCGCGCCGCTTCCACGCTCACCACCAGGACACGTGCTGCAGCCGGCAGGCTCGCGCCGGCCCCTTCCACCTGTCCAAGGGGAAAGGCTGTAGCCGAGAGGGGAAGTGCTCCAGCAAGCTGAGCAGATAGTTGCGCTCCGCAGAGGACGGGAGGACTCTTATTATGAAAGGGTAGACCTCAGGGTCCTTCCTGTATAAGTTTCCCTGTTTTCCCAATGACAACCTTACAGTTGTCCCGCTGTTTCCCGCTGTCCCTGTCAGTCCTTGCGTTTGCACACAGGCTCATTCATTTACATGCCCGTCTTTGGGGGGGAAATTAAGTAATGAACTTCCATAAAGTGGTCGGACTGAGAGACAGATTTGAAGAAGAGCGATCAAAACCCGTGCTGCAGCAACTGCGATATCCACACTTTTGCTCCGTTAAGCTCCAAAGGCTGGTCCCTACATTTACCTTTAATGCATCTCAATGGCAGAAGGGCCAAACTTCATCAAAACCCTTCGGTTTGCAAAGACTTTGTGTAAAAAAGTCTCAAACTCGGTCTGATATGTGCGGACTAAAAAAGTACTCCTCACTGAGCCTCACGTGTAAGTGGGGTGCCCCCTTTAAGGTAACTTATTAGACAAACAATATGGACATGTCAGGGTCCTCATTTTATTTATATTATCGTGTTGGAGAGCGAAATAGTACAGCTGCTAAATGAAAGCCAACGCAGCCGTTACTATGATCTGTAATACTTGGCTGGTTGGGCCATTGGGCGCATAAATAAATCAGTTCCCAGTCTATTTATCTTCCTGCATCCTGCGCCACTATATATGACTTATTTATCTCCAGTATTGATGCACTTGGATGATACTGATGTAATATCAGTATAGATAGCCGGGCGTTGTCCTCTCTGCATTCAGAGATTGCAGGCAGGTGTACTTAATGCTGTGTGTGTGAATGCATATAGCCAGAATTTATGTACAGTTGTTATTTATTGAGATATTTATTTTGACGCTATCGGCTCCCACCCTCCTCTGTGTGAGCGCGGATGTGTGGTTTTGTGTCCCTCGCATTAGTTTTAAGTGTTTCAAATCAAAGGGATTACTCCGAAGTGACCCTCTTTATACAATCAATCATGTCGAGTGCGTGAGGACACACACCTTTTTGTGCCTACTGTGTTGCTAAGAGGGACTGAAAATGACCCAGTGGCCGAGGCCGTTGATGGTTAGAGTGGTGACCGTTGTTCAGTAGTAGCAGAAGTACGTTCAAGCAACATAAGGTGCATTACTGATGAGTAATATTAAGACACAGATGTTTGTCTCAGCGTGTGCCTTTGGGGCACTTTGGGCAGCTTGAAGATTCGCTTTGTTTGTAATGAGACAAAAGAAGGAGCCAAAAACTTGTGCCAGCGGCTAAAAGACGACCCTTTTCACCGGTATTCTTTAAATGTAGAACAGGTAGCAACACAAATGTTTGTAAATCAACTGCAATTTGAACAGCATTTACCTGGAGTAGCTATTGTTTGTACTGACTAAAAGGAAAGGACAACCTGTCTTTGCTGTCCTGTGTGTAGCTACCAGGTCAGTGTTGGAGACACAACTTTGAAAATAAATGTGAATTTCAGACCTCTAACAACATTTTGTCAAATAGTATTGAAAACAGAGGCCATATGTACATATATATACATATTTATCACACCAAAAGGCTGTTCCATGCTCCCGTCTGAATGAATGTCTTTTTGTTCGTCCTGCGCCGCAGAATGTCGTTCATATGATGACGTGTGTGTGTGTATGTTCACGCACAAAAAGTATTGTTCGTGTTTTGATTTAATTAGGATTCCTCTCGGAAACGCTCCTCCACCACCTCCCACCGCTCCTCTGCTTGTGAGATACTGTATGATAACTCCTTCCAGGGCTTCTATTCGCATGCACCACAAAGAAAACACTGCATTAAGTAGTGAGCGCAGAGCCGATTACCGCTTCCTCTCTCGCCTCATCTTTCCTGGGAAGATTTTAACCCATTATCACCTCAAAATATATTTCCCATCACAATATTATTTCACTGTTCCTCTTCCCACCTTGTGTGTGACTATGACTTTTTTCGCTTCCTGCACTGACCCGGAATTAGCTGGAACATGACAGACTGTATTTTTTACCAGTGAAATGAACGCACTTGATGCTTAAACATAATCAAGCCGAAAAATAATAAAGGAGAAGAGTTTTTGCTGTGATTTACGCGCTTGTATTGATAATGGCAGTTACAACCTCTAACAAGACATGGCTGCACATTGCCAAATATGTTGATGGATTTGAATCTCGATGCGACGACTGTGGGGAGCGCACAGTGATGGGAAGGGGGCACGTTGCCGATCTTGCAGATACCTGCGCCAGCCTCGCATGGCAGCTTTGATGACTCCTCCTGAATCCAGACAGCGTTCAGTCAGTCAGTCGCCTTAACGTCTCCTCTCTGCCCCTCTGTGCATAGCGAGGGATGACTGAGCCTTGTCTGTGTTGGACATCATTCCACTATTCTGCCCGAGCCGAGCCTCCCCGTCACTTGTCTGTTGTGCGTAAATGGCACGTGCCACCACTAGAGACCACATGCCGCCACTGAAACCAGGGCTGTCTGCAGTGTGCTTCTGCCGGAGATCCCCGTTTAGTTTTTTTTTTTTCTGCGAGAACGGGTGGAGGCCATCGAAGGTGAAAGTGGAAAATTTGTGATTGACGCATTCAAGGTGTGTTTGTTAGTGTGATGACCGTGTGCCCTCAAACGTGCTAATCTCTAAACGTCGGCAGCAATCAGGCTTTGAATGCTCCATCTTTTAACTCACTACTTTAAGATATTTCAGCTTCGCTGTTGTGCAGACTTTTAATATATACCTGTAAAATATGAAGTCATTCTATAAATACAATAATTATTGTTAAACCATAACTTATACGCCAACAGGCTTCAGTGCAACAGAAGAACAGAGCGCTGCGGTTTCTAAAAGATAATCAGATTTCCAGGTTTTTTAAATCGTTATTGCATAATTGGTGTGAAGTTGTAGTAGTGTTACTCTCCAGATGAGATTTTCTTTGGCACTTTTCAAAGTGGCCTGTTTATAGCAGAGTGCCATGTATATAGTAGCTTGCTGGATATTTGTGCTAACAGATACCCGCAGGACAAACCCAGCTGTTTTATTTTGAAAAGTGAGATGGAAACTAATGGAAGCTGTGGCTTTTACGGCATAACACCAAATTACTTGTTAGTAATTTGTCATTTATGAATACAATATAAATTATTTATTGTCACATTTGCCCATCCATACTTTTGACTAACTGTCAGGATTTTTTAACGGTTGATATTTTGTGTTGTAATGCTTGTCATGGTTTTTAAATGTAACTACAGTCTCAAGGAAAGAATGTAACAAGTGGGAGTTTTGCATTGTATATAACTGTAATTATTTATGTTTATTCTATCATTTGTATCATATCAATGCCTTGTACAGTGTTTTTTTGTTTTTGTTTTAAAATTATTTTGTATTTTATTTTTATAAACTGATTATAATTAAAATACTCATTCCGCATGCAGACCAAATCTTGGGAGATTTCCTTTTTAATCCTGAAATGTTGGCCATTGACCTTGGACATAAAGGTTACAATTGTCAAATGTTTTACTGTTTTATTTATTGTCTGTAGATATCACAGATTGTACAAAAGGTTGGTGAGTTAAACATCAGATTAAGATTAAAGGCTCACAAATGCAACATGGTAAAATTTAAGAAACGTTTGCGGGAAAATCTCTTTTAATCCTAATAGCTCATCTATAAGCAATTACCCTATTTTTTTATCTTTTATCTTGGGAATACTCCAATAAATAACCCTAAACATTAACAAATCAAGATGCCTTTAGCTGTCAAACAGGACATGTCTGAGGGCACAGAAAGTATACCAAATATTAATTTTCAGTCATTGAACTACAATTTTTACAATATCTATGTTGTGTCATTGGTGACGCCTAAAGAAAGTAACGTGTTTTATTAACGCCTCAATGATTTAGTTTAAATTGTACAGCTCACCGTCGCATTTCCAGCGAGTTTAATGAACTATCAGCTCCCGTTAGCTGCACACGTGGTCAACCCACGTCATTGCGCATTACGCGCCTGCGTCCCAGCAAACCCCGCCCCCTTCCCCCCCAACCCTTCAGCCGCGCAGAATGGCGGCTCTTTTAGAATCTCTCCTGTGCAAGAAAGTGGATATTAAAACGGTTTTGGAATGGCTAAAGAATGATGAGGTATGTCCGCAATGATTACGAGCCACATAACCGAGACGCCTTTTACGCGGTGGCCCTTATATAACGTGTTTTCAGAGATGACATAGCTAACTACTGATTGTAAACAAAACTTTTAGCCGGAGAGCTAGCTCGCTAGGTTAGCTGTAGCCTGGATGGGGTGGACGTCAGACGAGACGCTACATCGCAACTATCTTTCCAGAAAATGTAGTGTTAAAACATTAGTATGCAATAGTCATGTACTCCTGATGTAATTAGTATTAGTGTCTGTAAAGGGCTGCGCAGTTTAGTGGATGTTAGTCACTGCATTAGCTAATAATAGGTCGGCATGCTGCTGTCTGCGGAAATGCCCTCAAGCTGTGCAGCAAAACATGCAACGTTGCTGAACCCGTTACGCTCCCCGTTGGGTTCATCATGCATCATATCTGGTCTTGATCATTTCAGTTAGTTTAGCTTTATGAGTTCTACATCCGTCACGGTTCATTGTTTTGCAACACGTAACGTTATGTCTCAACAGGAAGGTGAACGGCTGGCGTTCAGTGAACCGCAGGTGTCAGTTCACAAACAAGAATTCGTCCCATTTCTTCTGAACTTCCTGAGAGAGCAGAGCAGCCGAGCACTGACTCATGGCCCTGCCACGCCGGCCAAGACCCCCAACCGCCTCAGACCTGGTGCACAGGGCTGCAGGTCAGCGGCAGGTGCTGCAGCTGGTTCTCGGAGTGCCAGCCGGGTCCAGCTGTTTTCTCCTTCCCCATCGGTGTCCCCTGGGTCTGAGTGGGACGCTGCGTCCCACTCTCTGAGTGGGGTCAACCCCTTCAGCAGCCCCTCCTTTGCCACAGGATGGAGCCCCGCCTCCAGGCCTTCAGGTCATGAACGCCGTTCTGGCCAGAAGGTCAGTCTGGGGGACTACATGGTTTCTCCTCCTGACCTCCAGAAAAGCCCCAGCATCCAGTCGCAGAAGAGCCGCAGGAGAAGCGGTGGCAACATGGCACTGGGGGGACAAGGGAAACATGGAGGATGGCGGCAAGCACATCACAGTGATGAGATCGGAAGAAGGCCGAGTAGAGGAGGAGGGAACAGTAGGATAAGTGAGCAGGTTTCACCTCCATCTGTGGGGCAGCTCAATTTGAACAACTTGGAGGACTTTCCCCCTGTTGGGTCTTCACCCATTTCACCTGCGTAAGTCCAAACAACTCTAGGCTACTAAACAAAAGTCAACACTGATCCCATCATTGGTTTTTGTATTGGTTTAACAGTTTCCCGTCATCTTGCAGGGCATCAAAACCATCAAGAAGAATAAACCCAACGCCGGTCAGTGAAGAACGTGCTCACTCCAAACCAAAGACCTGCTTCACCTCCATCCCATTCACTGAATCTTCTAGTCCCTCATTAGCTGTAGATGCGCTCGAGGGCCCATTGACCGTCGGCAGTCCTCTGAGCCTGCAGGAAGAGAGGGAGCTACTAAAGAAAGAAAAGTAAATGCACATTATTCTACACATACTGGTATGGACAATATATGTTAAGTGGAGGAAAATGTGTCACAAATCCTTTTGTTCATACTTTGGACCTGGTCAGTGCTACAGTCTAGTTGAATGGTGCCTTGTTGTATTATATAGCGATTTGTGGAAATGTAAACAAGACTTCAAAGTCTATACACTCATTATGATGCTGGCATTTTTTTTGTCATTGCTTCTTAATTTTCTACAAATGCATCATAATATATACTATCTTTATCTCAACATCAATAATAGCCTCTTCTTTTTTTTAGCTCTGCAACAGTGTTTACTTTATTTCACCTCGGGCCCTTTTCATAATTGGAGATTTCTTGTTTTTAGGACAAAGCGTGCTCAGCAGGTCAGCTCTCCTCTGCTGTCCTCTCTGGACCCTTGCACCCCCACCAAGTCAGGGCTTGGGGCGGGATCTAAAGTTACACCGGAGCTGCAAACACCATGTCCTGAACCATCCAAAGTCACCTTCTCTTCGGAACTGGATCTCCTTGCAGAGCTGTACTGTACCTGTATTTCTGGTTAGTGACCACAAGGAGGTGCTAACCTTCTACTTAGAGTAAAGCTGGTTACGTTAAATGTGTTTTGGTATATATGTAACATTTAACATAATTAAGATTATTAGGTTAGGCCAAAATACATTACATTTATTTGAGGAGTTGGACATAAAATGTATGCTTAAGGAGTAATTGGAGAAATGTTTGTACAATGCAAAAACTGTGAAAATGAATTTGTTTTGTCATGTGTTATAGAAAACCTTGTGCCAAACATTTTCCTGGAGCTTTTCTTTGTTGTGCAATTGCTAACGTCTCAATCGGCTCACACTCATGATGACGACGAACGGGAAAGTTTGTGTTCAGTGAATTCAGGTGTGCAGTTAGCATTTCTTACTTTAGTCCTACAACATCAAAATATTATGATTTTTCAACTTTTGTTTGAATTCAAATGGATATTGATTTGTTTTTCTCTAGAAATTATGGAGCGATGTTACCTGAGACGAGTACACAACTGTGTGTATTTTGCGGTGAAGGTTTTGCAGAATCAGTTTCAGTGAGTCTCGTTATCTACGTCATAAATTACCACATGGGTGTCTTGAATTCTTTCCCTTTTCACTCGCAAAAGTATCTAAGCACATTTCTCTGCGGTGACACTGCTCATGCTCCACGAGTTCATTCCTAAATATCTCTTCTCATCAGGTTGGTGGCTCATTTGGACAAGTGTACTCTCCGTCTGCTGGCAGAGAACGAGCGGGTGGCGTCTTTCTCTCCGGCTCTCAGGGACCGTCTGACTGAGGCCCAGGGGGGGAGCACGGCCCAGGTGACACGCTTGATCTGCCACAAATACTTGTCATTCGTGTTCTTGAATTTGATCAAATATTAGTACCAAACAAATCATTCTTTTTTTTTAAGATGGCAACTGTTTTCAGATATTTTATATCTTTTATCTACAGCGTTTTGGCTAGTTTAGTAATCTCTTGAGTGTTTTTTCAAGCAATGATACTGAATATTTAATGTATCAGCTTCTTACATTTTATTAAGTAGAATATAATTTCTTTTTGAACTGTTACTAGGAAAAAGCAAGATAATTCACAATGATTTTATTATTAATTGTTTTAATTTTTTTTTTGATAATGTTCAATGTTCCACTCCTGTTACCTATTAGGATTGTGGTGGTAGTTACTTTATACTATCTATAGGAAACTACTTCTTGTTTAGTTTAATGTGTTTTTATTCCTCCATGTGTTCCAGCACTCTCCTTCAGTTTCCACTTTCATCCACTCAGTCCCATTCCAGCCAGCTACTGACAACCAGTCCAACTTCTGCAGTACTCACGCCTTCCACATCTTTAAAAAACAGAGGTACATCACAACTCATTCGTTCTTTGTTCACAGCCGCCCTCTCACTTTGTTTCCAGTCAAAACTTCTAAACTCTAGGATTTCATTATTAAAACCGGGCTACCGGCTCCGCATTGTAAGAAATTGCTCACCTAGACCTAGTTATCATATTTACATTCAAAGTTTTTGCTCTTTCCCCAGAGATATTTTTTACGAGGTGCTGCGAGAATGGGAGGACTTTCACAAAGAGCAGGGGTGGAACTTTGACGCTGCTCTCGGCAGAAGGATAAGGCAAGTCCTATTGACGTTCATCTTTTTTTAACTGGTTGGTATTATTTAAATGTTCTAACTCACACATCCATCTAATCTATTTCTGTATTTTGTTGGTTCCCTTTGTTGTTTTTTTAGGGGAATTATGAGTCAACTCACTTCTGCAGGAAACCATTCACATTTTGCCCGTTTGTTCCTGAAGCAGCTTATTCAGGTAGACTGGCCCCTCATTCTTACCGTAACTATTGTTCTTAACAAACCTTTTATTACGTCAAATGGGATACCATGATAGCATTTCTCCTGTTAAACAGAGCGGTGACACATTGCGCACAGTTGGTGCACTAAATCCATCCATGTTCTGTGCAGGTGTGTAAAGGGCCGGGCGTGAACAGCTCTCCTGGAGAGACTCCTGACGCAGACCTGCTGGGCATGCTGGGAGCCGACAGCCTGGGCCGTCTGAAGCGGCTCGAGGAGCGTCTCATTCAGCCGCAGGGAGTCGTCGGGCCCTGTCCTCCACCGTCCTTTCCTGGTCACCAGGAGTTCTTCAGGGATTTCCTGCAGGCAGCCAGTTGGTCAGTAAATACTGATTAAAGCTCTTCATCATCCACTTATTAAGCATCCACAATGCGCATAGATAATTACTCGTTACATGTTCCAACACATTGTGTACCAGCTGCCACCTGAACCAGCACTTGCAGGACAGCTTGTGTCAGCAGCTCCTCCAGCTGGACGAGGTGTCCATCCTGAGTCCGCCTGCTTCCGTCGCAGGGGTGGACGAGGAGGGAGATGGGGACATGGAGCAGCAGGTACAGTTTGGCTTCATAGTACATGCATTTGCAAACACACCACATTGAGAAAAGGACAATCTGACCAACGTGAATCATCATGTGAACATCCGCATGTCAATTCCGTCCACTGCACCAGGATGAGAAGCAGCGGTTCACCTCAGTGCTGCTCCTGGCTCGTCTTCTGGCTAAGTTTCTGGGATTCATTTCCTTTCTGCCTTACCAAACGTCTGAGAGACCGTCCAGGGAGATACGGGACGCTGCTGTAGCCCTGCGGAGCAAGGTGAGGGGACAAACTCTTTCTAAATTCTTTGTTTTGGTGAGTTAACATTAAGGTTCTTAAAAGGCCTTGCTAGCTTGTTTGTCCAAAATGTCCCTATAAAGATCAATTAATCATTTTGATTTCTTAAAACGATCCCTCAGAGTGTCCCGGTGCTGGATGTGTGTGCCGTGCTGAGTAACAGTATGAAAAGGAGGCGCACCATCCTGACTGTGCCCTGGCTGGTGGAGTTCCTCTCCATGATGGACTTTGTTGGTCCCCTCCTGCTTTGCTATAGAACGGCATTGGGCAAACTGCTCCTCCTGTACAGGTCTTTGTCATTTATGTTATTCCCTAAACATCCGTTCAAGTAGCGACAGCCGTTGTAAAATGTCAAATGAACACACTTCAAGAGGCGTGTTTTTGCTTTTCCAGTCATGTATTCTACTTTAATTGAAGCCACACTTGCACACTGCTGAGTGGATTTCTTTTTCATGGGAAGGCCTGTGTATTAATTTGTCGATTTAATGTTTCCCCTCCGCGCCAGGGTTTTTAATTGTCGTTTGATCTCCTATTTTCTTCTCTTTTACCTTGTAGGAGAATGCTGCTGGGAAGATGTGGAGAGATGTGTTACCTGAACAAGCTACTCACGGTGTCCGTGTTGGGTTGGCTCTTCCAGGTGAGACACGACTTGTGGATGTTATTTCCCTGCAGATTGAGTAAAAAAAGACGACTGCAGGCAGAAAACCTACAAAGAGCACTTCTTGAAGTTCATGTTAACAAAATTGACCTGCGTAGATCCCAGTGATTCCCGAGGACATTTTCTTCACCAATGAGTTCACCGAGGTGGCCAAGCTGGAGGACAGCAGCACGAGTGCTGCGGGGCTCGTGAGTCAAACGTTCATTTAAGTAGCCGTTTGTCCATAAATGGACCGCTGCCGGTTCTTCACTTAAATCAAGTGCTCTCTTGATATTTTGTAGGACTGCATTCCCCTGGTGGATCAGCAGCTTCTCTACACATGTTGTCCATTTCTTGGTGAGTGGAACGTGGAAGCACACGACAGGAATCGATGGCATGCTTTTGTGTCTGAATTTACTGGTTGCACTGTCTGTTTTTTTCTATAGAAGAGGCAAAAGCCTGTTCACTGCAACTCGGCAGTAAAGCGGATCATGCACTTATTATCACTACCTGTTGACGTTCTCCCTCGTTTCTATCGGTGCAGGTGAGTTCCGTAAGCTCCTAGCTGCCTTTGTGTCGGGAAGCTCCGCCAAAAGTGGAGGAATTATCCGCAAGATTACCCCCACTTCCGCCGAGCTGAAGGACGCGCCGACGGCCAACAGGTCGCAGCAGAAACTGCAGGTCAGTCCACACGGGAGGCGAGCGAAGTGGAGCACGGAGTCCCGTCTCTGCATCGCCTTTCTGCCCGTATTGAAAGCGCTTTAATGTGACAGGTGGACCTGGAGCAAGCCTTCTTTCACAACCAGCCTCCGTCGCTGCGTCGCACCGTGGAGTTTGTGGCCGAGAGAGTCGGATCCAACGCTGTCAAGCACATGAAGTCAGTATTGCACAGCCGGCCGGTTCTGTGCTTCAAAATAGCTTCTGAATGAAGTTTTTCTTTCACAGAATAGCCGTTAATCAGCCTGTTGACTTGACCTGTTGGCAAGGTTCGTTGCCTTGCTAAGAGGCTCATTGCTGTGTTCAACAGCACCAATTTACCGGCCTCTATGTGGTGGCTTGTTGTGAATTCTCAAACCTTTTATAGATGTATTTTACAGATGTTTTGAAGCTCTATTTTGAACAAAATCAAAGCATTTGTGTGTGTGTGTGTGTTCACCCCGTTTTTCCTCGGCATGGTCCTCACCAGGGCCACGCTGGTGAGCGAGTTGGTGGAGCGAGGTGAGAAGATGCTGCGGGATGGTCTGGCGTCGCCCAACTCTAATCCCTCAAAGCTAAATGACTCCATCTGTGCTCAGCTGTGTGTCGCCGGATTGGAAGCCATGGCCAAAGCCACCAGGTATGACGGCTTCTTTTACGAGCAGCCGGCTGCACTGTCTTCCTCCGTGTCCGTAGAGTCGAGCATTTCACCACTGTATGGTAATGTCTGTGCGTTGTTCTTTTCTCCTCAGATTTTGCAGTGAGAAGAGTCCAGAGGCAATACGGATTCTGCTCTCTGATGAAACGTCCCCTGCTGTACGTCCTGTTTCAATCGCCACCTATAACTCGTACCAAAAAAAGAGCACAGCCAACAAGGTTTTAAACAACCCCGAATAAACGTCTGCTTTTCCATTTTCTGCAGGTCCGGACCACGTCTGAAAACATCACCAAACGTCTTGCGACAGAAAAGGCCTGCAGCTGGCTCTCCGCCAACATCACAGGTAGCTGCTTGTGTTGTAGCATACAAATCATTTTCTTTGTTGTTTTTATAACGCAGGATCCACAGATTTGACCGGGTTGCTGCTGGCTGTTTTGCATTCCAAATATAAATAAAATAACTAGTTAAACTAGACTTACTGTAATTGTGAGTTGATTAAATTATTTTGTATTTTAAGCAACCTGACTTTAGGGACGTACCGATCCAGCTTCTATCTCTGGATTCTCACACGTCAACTCAAGTTTTTTTTCCGACAGCAAGCGGCGGTATCGTCTTTTTTCACAGATGTAATACGAAAGTCGTTAATATTGCCGGCGGCAGGAGGCGAGAGATCGTTGTGAAACTGATTTGGTGGCGTCTCATGAATGAATGAATGAATGTGACTGAGAGCAAAAACGTAACATTGTTCAAAACGTATTCATACCTAATTGGCTTAATACGGTTGGTGTCTGGGCAAAGAATGATCCGTGTACCGGGTCAGTGGATCCATGTTTTGATATCGCTGCAAATTGGTCATCATGCCACCATGAATAATAGCAGCTGGCTCCCATGAAGCCAGGATGAAGTATTAAGTTATCCAAAGTAAAACACCGTTAAATGCCGTTGGCGCCAATTTAAAACTCAAAATATTCCCGTTTTGTTTTGGCAGGCCTAGTGAACTAGACAGACTAAATTGTGCAAGGACCACTAATTCTCCACCCACTAAAACTAAGCGAGGATACACAACACTGTAAAAAACTGTATAATCTCGTTCACAGTTGTAGATGAAAGGGGGAAAAAAAAAAAAAAAATTTAAACCAGGTTCCCCGAGGACGTCGGCCCTAAGATTCTCTCCTGTGTCCTTTTATCAGCCCTGATCAGACGAGAGTGGAAGAGCAGGTACGATCGCGTGATGAAGACCGCGGCCGGCCCGCCGCCTCCACACTCTAGGCTGGATGTCGAGGCTGCCGCGCCCGAGCCGCCCACCAAGGAGGAGCCCTCGGCGGCCCCCAAGACGAGGCGAGGAAGCGAGAGAGTGACGTCCTGCCCGCCGCACTGCAGCCACGGCGCCTCGCTGCCCTCCGACGTCCTCATTGAGATGAAGGTGGGGGTGCATGTAGGGCAGGAGCACTGGCCGTCGCTCTTAAATGGTTGCTCTGCTAAATATGGGATTGTTTTTGCTTTTCTTAGTGATTTTTTTTTGCACAGGAGTTTTCCGTGACATTTAACATGAGAAAAGGACATAATTTGCAATTAACGAACTCGTGATTCTCTATTTGAATATAGGAGTGGCTTAGCATCGCAGTAGGCCCCCGGACCAATGATGAGCTGCTCACCGGCTCTCAGGCGAAAGCGCTGCTGCAGAGAGTGGCGGACACGCTGGCCTGCAGAAAGGTGCACACATCACACAGGCGCTTAAAGCAGAAAAAGAAAACAAAATTTGTGGTGGGATTTTACTGCTTTTTGGCCTGTAGTCCTTCCACTGTTGTTCTTTGCTCTTCACTTAGTTCTCCACTGCGACGTCAGAGCAGATGCTGCTGAACTCTACGGTGCTGCTGGCCTGCAGACTGGGTGAGAAAGTGTGCGAGTGGTCGACTCGTTCTCTGAGCAACGTGCGCTCTGGCTAAAGCCGCGTGTGTGTGTGTTTGTGTGTGCGCTCAGTGTCCGCCGAGCTGCCCGTCCTGTCTCCGTCAGAGGGGGACGGGGACGTCGCGGGTTCGGGATCAGAACCTCCGGTCCGAGCGCTGCTGGAGCAGCTCGCCGCACTGTGGCAAGCTGACGGCTGTTCCTCCGCCCCGCTCCACCTGCTCTTCGCCCAACTCACCGTCTCCGCTGTGCTGAAGGCCAGCGACGCCGAGGTTTGTCTCCCTGCTGCTCTGACCATTGATGCGACTGTAAGCGTAATACGGGACTTGTCAGGGGATGAACCCCCGATGCCATCGGCGAGCGCTAACATTCTGCATCTCTCTAGCTTTTTCCAAAGCAGTTCTGTCTCTTTTACCTTTTGTGACGCATTCCTCTATCGTTCCAGTGGAAGAACTACCTGTTTCTGGTTAGAAAGCTGGTAGACGGACAGGTCTTGAGCGAGGAAGAGGTCATATCTCATTGGAGGAAGCTAACCAACTTGGCCTTGCCAGCGGTGAGGGATCGTTGCATTCTTGTCATCTTTTATTCCTTTTTTGGAAATTACATTTTCTCGCTCACGTTTGATCTTTTTCCTCTCGCTCACTTTCTTCTCTCTGCTCTGCGTCATTTCAGAAGCTGGTGGAGAATTTCCAGCTGCAGTCACAGAGCATTAAACCCCCGTTGCCTCTGGCTGAGTTGCAGAGCCAGCTGGACGTGCTGCAGGTCTCCCAACAGGCAGTAGAGGGCGCTACATGACAGCGATAATACCGCTCGGGGAGCCCACAGCATCTGCTCTGTTATCCACAACTGTTTCATGTCACACCTGACAGGTGTTTCATTCAGGGGAGGGATGCGGATGCCAGGGGACTTCGTGCTGTTGACCGTTTCCCTTTGAATTGCCATTGAAACGACTGCGGTCTTTCATGTCTCCCTTTTGCTCTTTGGCTAAGGTGCCGGCGAGAGGCAGAGAGCCGTGTCAGTCAGGAGGAGCAGCTAGGGGACCACAACGTTTCAGATCTGTTCGACTTTCCTGCAAGCACAACTGGTCTATGGTTGTGTCTGAGGGGAAATACCAGTACAGTAGATGAAACATTTTAAAACGATAGAGAGACTCTGCAAAGACATAAGACGGGTCAACATTAGACTGCTGTGGACCTTAGCGTTACCGTGACAAACTTTGAATTCAAAGATTTTACGCAAAGTATTCTACCAGAATAATATTTTAAACCGACTCTTGGTGATAAAATGGACACAAAAAAACTAAAAATGTTCTGTTGGTGTTTAGACTTGCCAGAGAAGATAAAAGGTCTTCATTTTAGTAGCACTTTCACACACTGCCTTTGACCGCCACGACTAGTGATGCATGTTTCTTCCACGAACGCCAGACTGCGCTTGTGTTTTTTAGTTCACGTTGGATGCACGCTGCATTCCCTGCTGCTTTTTTAAAAACCCTTTAATATTTTTATGTTGCCACGGAAGTAATAATAAAGATGTATTCTGCTTTAAATGTACTTTTTTTTGTCATTATTTTACCGAATACATTATTTCATAATGGAATTATCAACCAACAAAACGTAATCTCCAGTGAAACTTTTAACGGCGTATTTAAATAATAACACATGCAGGAAAAAAAGGAAAGGGGGAGAGAGGAGGAACCAGCAGCATCTCTCCTCCCTCTCTGTCCGGCAGGAAGTCCTAACTTCTCCGGGAGCGACTTTAACGTCAGTTAGTTAGTCGCAGCCGGCGGTCGAACCCGCAACCCGCCGCCGGTGACTTGACCCGCGGTCGGTCGGTCGGTCGGTTACCTCCCGCTCCTCCACCCACCACTCGGATTTAAAATGCACGGACACCCGACGACGCCGACGCGGGAGCCGTTACTTCCGTCCCGCTCGCAGCGAGTCGCCCGCTGAGCGTCATGGCCAACGTCCAGGTGGCCGTCCGCGTGCGCCCGCTCAGCGCGAGGTAGGTCCTGACGTCACGGCTCCGTCCAGCTAACGCTACCGATCATCAAACCTGATTTAAAACGGACATTTTTTTCCGGTGTTTCAACTTAACGGTGGCTGCCTAATTTGCGTCAGACGTGTTTACAGCAACGGGACTTTGGCAGTAATGACAGCAACGTGCGACATATTCTGTTTTTTTTAAATTTTGTTTTAGTACCAACGTACTTTGCTGAACCGTTAGTTAACGTTAGCTAGCCGGTTACCTAGCTGAAGCTCCCGTGGTGGATCATGACCCCTGACCTCTGTGGATGTCACTTGTGGGGTCTGTATGATGAAGCTGTACTGCAGCCAATTATCTGCACACAAAAGCCGTAAGAAAAAGGCTTCATTTAAATGAGCTTCTTTACACTTTAAAGACCCTGCATTTATTGGAAAACTTTACCCCCCATTTTATAGTGCTGTGAAATGTGCTGTTTAAGTAGCAGAATAACACATGGCGCTGGTAAAGTGACTTGGATCAGCTGGGCAGCCCTGAACAAAATAAATAAATTGCTACAGCATACGGGTTGTAGTCCATATAAAGCAGACTAACTTAGTGCATTGAATTCAATGAAACTACTGCAGCATGTTTTGCAAGGCTGCTTATATGACAATGCCATCACAAAGCATTATTCAGGCTACGAGGTGCTGAACAATGATTCTTTCAACCAGTCTTCCTGGTATTTTGCATAACAAAAGCATTTCTTATAAATAATCTACACTGTCATGCAAATCTCTGCATCCTAGATTCCAATGCTGCTGGTCTCCCTTCCCTCCTCTCTCCTCTGAAGGATGGATTTCCTTACGCGTGTGTTTGAATCAGGGCCTGCTGGCAGAGAGAACCCTACCACTCACACTGGTTCAGCTACATTTCTCCCAGAAGTGTATTGCTTTTTTGTTTTTTAGGATTTCCCCCCCCCCCAAGGAGCCTCTCGCCTGTGCAAACAAACACGTCTAATACTTCTGGCCTGAGATTGAAGGTTGGTGGTTTTGGCGGCCGGGTCGCTGCTTGGGGTCGGCGAAACGAGATGATTTCAACACGAACGAGGAGCCTCCGTACCACAGGCACCGAGCGCCGCCATCGCCGCTCCTGGAGGCCGTAGTGCTCTGGTTACATGTTGGGATTGCCTCCAGTTTTGCGTGCGTTGCATCAGAGGTGCTCGGTCCAGCTGCTGGAGCACACGTGGCTGAGTTGACCTTGTTTTATATATACACACACACACACACACACACACACACACACACACACAAAAGCAGCACGCTCTCAAGTTTTCTGGTAACAGCCGCCGTCATTAATTCTCTTGAAGGCCGGAGATTTTTTTTCACAAAGACTCATTGTGTCGACTGTCGTGTGACAGCTTCAAGTCAAGTGGTCTAAATTTATCTGACCACCCTCTCAATTGCGTCTTCTGCGTCGGCCAAAATATTTGAAAACCTGTTCCAAATCGTAACTGCACGCTGTCGAATCCAAAGTGAAACCTTTTGTTGAATCTGTGTGTGTGTGTGTGTGCGTGTGTGTGTGTGATGGCGTCCCCTTCTTTGTGTCTCAATGTTTTCTCCGTCTTCACCCTTCTACATGGGGATGTTGGCAGAGTTGACTGAAGCGACGGTTGTCTTGTTGCCCACAGGGAGCGGGCGGAGGAAGGAAGGCTCGCCGTCCAGGTGGAAGACAAGCTGGTCAGGGTCAGAAACGTGAAGGTGAGGATGACTGCGTGTCTTCGATCAGCCCACTCCTGCTTATTGTTATGGTTATTATCTATGTTGAGCTCACACACACAAAGACACAAAGAGATCCCTTTGGCCAACACATGCACGGTGGCAAACTGAACCACAATGTAAACAGCAACACAACTACAGAATACCTATTGTTTTGGGGTTAAATTAAAGTTTTTCCCAGGGCCTCAGGTGTTATTAACAGTAGTTTTATTTGAAAGAAAGTGGTGTGAAAAGAGGTTTTGTAGTGTATTTTGGCTGAAAAGAGTATTTTCTGTTTTTTCTTTTTTTTTCTTATTAGTTTAGGTGTTCAAGCACACATTGGGAATCTTTATTATGCCAGTTAAACATTCTTGTAAGATGATACTTTCTCCAAATTACCAACCTGCTACGCCAGATGGCCGAGTTGCCTGATTGGTCGAGCAGCACAAAGCTACATATTCCTTTTCTTTTGGTTGGTTTTGGTTTTGGCGTGATTCAGCCTTGTGTGTTTGGAAGACACTACGAGTTGTGGATCCAAAAGCCTGGTTGCGGATCGTACATCAAAGTGTCCATTCTCTAATGAGAACCAGTGAAGCCAACCTAGAAAACCTGAAGATAAGGTCAGTCGACGACTCGACTGAGAGCTTCTGTTTACGTTTGCGAGTCCCGATGTGTAGAGCGAGAGGGGGAGGAGAGACTCTGTTACAAATGATGTGACAGAGACGGAGCACATGTGGCCTCCCTCCGCCACGGGAAAGGATCAAGGCCCTTGCAGGGGCTCATGGGAGTCTTGTGGGAAGGATTATTTATGGAAAGTGGGGCCGTTATGGAAAAACAGGAAAGATAAAAAGGAGTTTTTAAAAAAAAAAACGGGAATAAACGTGAAGCTAAGTACCAAACCGCAAGTAATATGAGCTATAAAGAGCTACTGAACTTGATTAAAAAGTGTGAAACGCTAAAACGATTTCAGGTCTTTACAAGCGGTTGGAGCTGAGAGTTTTCGTTGATGTTGCTCCTGCGTAATCTTTTACAACACACGGCCATAGTCACATTTCAAATGTCAAGCAAACCAATGGTGGGAACACAACGGATGGCCGGTGCTCAGTGTTGCTTGGTGCTGCGTTCAGGTGAAGAAAAGGCTGTTTGCATGATGGTTGGATTCATCGTTTTTCAGTTTTAGTTCATTGACTGGCTGCTTGGTTTTGAGGTACAACCCGTTCCTCTGCCATCTCCTTGGCAGGAATCTGCCCCTGAAGTGTACTCGAGCATTGAACCTTTCTCAATTCAAACGATGCTGCGGCAGCCCGGCGGCATCTCGCAGTGGTTTTTAAACTGCACCGGAATCACACAAAATGTGAAAAACACACACACACACACACAAACAGGGAAGTGTTGCTTCCAGATTATCGGTTTCTTTCCTTTTTGAAAAACATGTTCCAGGAGCAGCGAGTTTCAATGCCACTACAATACATCTTGTTCTTCTGGTAAAGCTTCACAAACGTGTTTTCTTTTACTCAGAGTGAATTCCTCTATATGCAAATAGACGGGAGGTGAGTTTAAGGTAAAGTGGATGCACATGAATATATTCATATGTCCCGAATGGAGGACGCGGTGCTCCGTTCTGTTTTTCCAGTGGAACTGTTGACTGTGACGTGGTTCCTCATCCTCATCTCAGGATTCACTGCGAGTAAGCAGAACGGTGTTTACTGTTAATGCAGTGAGGCGACTGGAGAACCCCAGGAGGAGTGATTGCGTTTTTAATGAATGGAAACCACTTGCTTGCAATTTCACCCCATAGCGGTTCGATGAGCAAAAGCTGTAGCAGCTGTCGTCTTGGTTGTTTTCATCGTCGTCGACTTAGATTTACTGAGTCAAATTGTTTAAAAAAAACAAAAACTTTTGGTCATGACTTTCAAGTAAAGAGTAATTTCATTGCAAAACTGAAACGATGTGATGTGCTTTTCCTCACCTGTCAGGAAGAGGTGTGTTAGATGTCTGAGAATGTCTTTGGTAGAGGACAGCTGCTGTCTGTCTTATGCTTTGATATGCAGCCTGAAATGTCTTCGTTCAGTCCTTGAAGAAAAAGTGTTTTATTTATTGTCCTGGACAAGTTAAGTCATTCCGCTGCATTTGTTATGTTGGAAATGTTACATTTCATTGGATGATTTGAAATAACATTTAAAAATAAAATAATCCCTTGTGCTTTCCTCCCTGAAGCCGGATGGACGTGCCGATGGTGCTGCAGATTCCAGGGAGAAGCTTCTGGAGTTTTGCTTCGACTACTGCTACTGGTCGGTGGACCCCGCGGACCCCCACTACGCCTCGCAGGAGGAGGTACTGCCTTAAAGCCCCACGCAAGCAGGATTCCAATGATGTGGTTCACTCCATGAACCATGACAAAATCCATGTGTGTGTGTCTGTGTGTGTGTGTGTGTGGGGGGGGTAAAAAGCTCTTGTCTCCGTGCCATGTTACATGCCCCCGTGTGTGTGCGTGCCAAACAAGGCCTTCGGCTAAAAGTGTACCGAGGAAACGTCCGCAGGAAACGCGCGTGTGTGTGTTTGTACACAGATGGCCACTCAGGGGGGATATGATATCACCTCCATCTGTTACCCAGAAGCCTCTTTGCCTCAGACTTGGCATGGACCCGGCTCACTTTTCATGTCGCAGCTTTGATTGGACGATTAGATGTCTTGGCGCCGCTTGATTTGAGGGTGTCGCTGGAACCCGAGAAGAGCTCCGGATCAAGGGGAAGTTGTCCCCGGGTCCGTGACGGGGAAATCTGTCATTCATATAGAGCCCTTGTTATTCATTGTTCAATACAATAACTGGTGTAACCGTCCCTCTGCCTCTCCTCTGCTCAGAGACGCCTTTGTGACGGCGGCCCACACGCCGCTCAGAGCAACGGACAACACAGCGCGTTCTTCTTCTCAATCCTCTCTATTGCTGCCGTCGGCTTTCCTCAGCATAATTGTGTCCAGTCACAGGCGCCCCGGTCGCCACAAGACGTTCCTCTGTTGAGCCGGGCCGTGGGCGAAAGGACACCGCCGAAGGACGCGGGGCGTAAATCCGACCTCCTTTTTATTTCTTTTTTTCCTGCGGCAGAATGCGAAGACAAAAGAACGTCGCAGAAGACCACGTCAGCCGTTAACGGATCACATCTGTTGCCACATCAGTAGTTCATCTGAATGCGGCGTCTCTCTGATGGCTCTGAAGACACAGTCTAGATGTGGTTGGAGCGCAGGGGCAGGTGGACACTATGATAACTCTTTTACCAGACCAACAGCACTTGCTAACAGCTTCAGTCTAACTGGCGTGTTGAGGAGGCAGATTTGTATCCACAAGCGTCCTTTTTACAGCAATGTTGGGACTGGATGATTTAATTTCCCACACCGTGGAGGCTTCTCATTTCCCGTAGTGTCACTACATTTAGACATTCGTTCTCGAGTGAGGGTTCCATTTTTTCCCTCTTCTATCTAAGCACATGTATTTTTACCACATTAATGAGCCGGCACTGGTTTTTCTCATAGTTTATCATCCAAATATATTTTTTTTTTTCGGACCAGGAAGAGGGACGCCGCGGTCCCCATGAGACCAAAGACAATCTGAGCCAATGGGGATGAGGTGTAGGGAGTTTGCTTTTCCAGTGCAGGCCTAACCCAACGCCCCCCAGATCAGGACGTGGCCACGCATCACTGATAGTTCACACTAGTGAGGCTCTCCGTCCTCACACAGCAAAGAGAGAAGCCCCATGTTGGGGGGCAGACGCGGTTGCCTTCTTGATGCTGGACCCTTCCCATGAAAAAAAAAAACTAGCTTTGTTTGCGATGCTCAGTTTTTAAGGTGAGAAAGCGCTGCAGTGAGAGGCGACGGGTTCTGCCAGCTGAGCAAGTCATTTGGAAGAGAAATTTAACCCTTAATAGGAGCCAGCTGTTTGCCTAAAGGCGTCCTTTGTTTTGGGGGCTAGATATTTAGCTAATAAATTGTCTGCCCGCCCCCCCTCACTATTTAATAACACAAACCCCTCTGCTGGTGTATTGCGTCTGACAGCAGGACGCACGGCGGAGTGAAGCGAAAAGGCAGCAGAGGATTGAGGCGGGGGAAATGCAAGAGAAACCGATTAGGCTCCAGGAGATCGTGCAAATGTGAATTCCTCGGGTGGAGGAGAAGGGGAAAGGGGATCGGCTGTGCCCCCCCCCCCTCCAACTCACAGCTGCCCCGCAAAGTAATTTTTCACAGTTAAATCTCCAGCGCAAAGACGTCACTGCTGAGGATTTATCACGGAGCACAATGTTTTTTTTCCTTCGGCTGGCTGGGGTTCCCCCCCCTCCTCCTCCCTCTCCTCCCGCTCTGCGATTGAGAGAGATGTGAATGTGCTCTCAGTGTTTCTGGGTCTGTGTGTCAGTGGTGCGGCAGACAGGGGAGAGAATAGCCTCTCTGTGCATGAGGAGAATCCTGCAAACACTCATCTGCATCTGACACCCCCCCCCCCCTCCACCTCACCCCAGCACAGTCCAGTGGGCTGGTTTGAATACAAACAGGTCGGCGAACACGCAGCCTACACGAGGTCTCCCCCATGTGGAGACAGGAAGAGCACCTCACACATACATGTCCGAGTTTGGATGCCAACGTTGGATCTTTAGCTGACTGAAGACTCTTAACTCTTGTTAACTCTTGTCTTTTGTGTCTTTAAAAATCACGTGTTTGATCCACTGTCCAGCCCCCGGTTGGTGCACCCATGGGTGTGGTTCCTCAAAGTCACACACGACAGAATACTGCCCCACTTTACATCCCCCCCCCCCCCCTCCTATGGGACCACTGCATCCTATGGACATCACACACATGCAGTCTCCAGTCTGCAGCGCTGTGCTTTGGCCCCTTTAACCACTATTGGGGGAGGAGCAGCACACGCCTCAATAGCCCCCCCCCACCCACTCGAGTGGCAAAAACGAACTAAAACGAATACTCATACATGACCAGAGGTCTCTCTCCTTCCCGATTTTTCTCCTTCCGATGTTTCTCTTGTTTCCCCGAGTAATGAAGAGCACCCCCCCCCCCTCCCCCTCCCATACTAATTTGACCTACAAACTCTGTCACAAACGAGAGCATTGTTTGAACCCCTCAACTTCCTCTCCGTCTCTTCCCCCTGCACATGATCTGTGTCATCGCCGCCACACTTTTCTCCCCGTTTCACTTCTGATTCATCACAGATTTTTAGCAGGAATTCAGGAGAAAGTTGACCAGTTCCTTTCCCGGTGTGTCCAAAGCCCGGAGCCCAGCTGTTTGTGTGACCCGGTTGGGGAGCGTGGGACGGGCTTCTCCTGCAGCTGTCCACTGAGGAGAGGGAGGGAAACCATCTTCTAGGAGTTGAATGTTTTGTCGGATAACCTATCGAGGAGAAAGTTGCGTCTCCCTTTGCACTTGGGTCTCTAATGCCGTCCCGAGCTGAGCAGCTAGCGTCTTTACATGTGGAGAAGTGCTTCGCTGTGCCTGCCTGGCCTCTCGCCATCACCCCTGACGACGTGTTCCACACACAAATGCTCCTCCGGGGTTTAGAGTACAGCCGGCCACATAAAACCAGGCCAGCAATTGGTAATTTCCAGCCAGTGATTACAGCACTTGCATCGCTAAAGAGCCGTTACACCATTACTTACTTACTTACTTACTTACTTACTTACTTACTTACTTACTACATACTTACTTATTACTTGTTTTTTTTTCATGCTGTCCTTCTCGTTCAACATTGCCGCTCGTTTTCAACATTCCTCACCCACTGCGTTGCCTTTCTCTCCTCCTTTTTTCTGCGTTACCAGACCAAGACTTAAGCTGCCACTTTGGGGGGTGAAAATGTGTTTCCCAAACCAGTTTTTATTACCCTGCAGATCTCTGGCATGAAACCCGGCTGAAGACCTCATTTTCCTCAGAGGGCTGCTCCAATTTAGTTACTTTCCTTTTGAAATCTGTCTTAGATTAGACTACGTAATCTTATAAAATATATTGCGTCATCTGTGTTCAAGTAACCGCTGAGTGTCTGCCGTGTATAACGTGTGTATATATATTCTTTATCTCTATATCTGACTATTAATGGGTGACACTGGTGTGCTGTGTTTGCAAATATTATCCATCCAAATATCTTCCTGGATTAAAATGTATTTAATTATAATGATAAAAACTTGGATGTATGGTGGAGACTGGAGAAAGTGGGTGACCTGTGCCAAAGGTCATGTTTGAATCCTAACCTGTATGTCGTGCAACTTCTCCTGAATCCGCCCATCCCTTCTAACACTAAAGCCTTTTTATTCTTCTTTCCTTTCTCTCTGTTTTGACCGGACGAGTTTGAACTCAATAACATGTACAAGAATGAAATCTATATTCTGCTCTTCCTCTTTCATTGTTAACGTGTTTGTTCATACTTTTCTTTTTTCTCCGAGGATGAAGCCAACTCTGAGGCTTTCGTCTTTGTTGTGGATTGGGTTTCCTCTAAAGGGCTCCAGCAGGGAGACGCGCGCACACACACACACGCACACACGTGCAGCGGCGTGCTGATGAGGACGCCTTCCTGTTGTAATGTTGGTGTTTATTCCGTCCCTGGTGTGTTTTGAGGCGACCAACCAGCCTCTTTATCACCGGGCGCTTTTTCTGCTGCTTTCATTTGATCCTGGAGTACATTTCCATTCCCACAATGCAATGCTGCCTCCCACCTCAACTGCTTTGTTTGTCTAAAAATACCTCCCAATGGAGGGAAACCGTGAGTTGTGGCAGAAGGCCTCCATGTCCATTTAACACCATTGCGAACTGGTGATGTGTTTTGGTGTGATGTCCAACGACAAGATTGTTTTGATTTTGGCCGACATGATCGTACCGATTCACCTGCAGTTTTTTGTTCCCTTTTGCTTCCTATTGTTTTTATCTGATTTTCGATCAAACCAAAACAGCAGTAACAGGAAAAGAAAAGCGATAAAAGAGGTTCAAGTTCAGAGTCGAAGTGAAGTTCCTGCTCTTTGTGCCAAGCCTGCAGGGACCCTCAGCCTCGTCTTGGCCCCCAAAGAGTGAATTTAAGAGAGTCTATTTAAGAGGGTCTATTTGAACAAGAGCTGTATTGATTCTCCGTCTTTGAGGGTGGACAGGTTGTCGGCTTGGTTTTGAATAGTAGGATGAGCACAAGGCGGGGGCGGCGCTGCTTTTTGTCCTCGTGTTTAAGCCTCCATTCAGCCGGGAGGCAGGGGGCGGCTCTAGGTGGTCTGCACCCCAGGGGGGCCGCACACTTTGTCACAGCACTATTTATGGGGTCAAAGTTACGTCACGGTTTATATGTTCTCTTTACCCGGGAAAATTGTGGGTTAAGCTTGGTTGTCTAAATTACAGGTTTTCTCTGCCCAGGCTTATAAACAGTGTAGTGATGACGTTTTGGTCACAAAAGCTTATTTTTCAGCTGGGGAAATAAATGTAATGCTCTTTATTGTCATTGTTTTTATCACTTCACTTCACTTTGTCACTTTCAGCAATAAAATACCTGTTTGTTTGATAAAGCAAGCTGAATAATGCTGGTTGGTCTCTGGCAAATTTTAATTGTGCATTTTTTTTGCTACTTTCATTTTCATTCACAAAAAAATGAATCGATACAACTTGAAAGTATTTAAAGATTTATCTGGTTATTTTCGGTTCTCGTTTTGCAGTGTATTCCTACGTGGGAGGGATGCTGGGCGTCCTCCCCGCTGTGCCTGTCCGCTGGTTTCTAAGCTCACGGAGTGAGGCAGCGCTGTTAGCAGCTCCACGCGGCGCCTGGCTTGGATACGCAGTAGTAGTTTAAAATGAGAAGCGTGTTTGATGTGCTGCAGCCAACAGCTTTGTTTTGTATTCATTGATCTGTATAGTTGTCTTTGGGTAAATAGCTGAGTGTATTCTTTGTCAGGAGGCTCAACAAACGTTTTCCCCTGAGACATAACTGCATCTTAAGACACTCAATTCAAAATGACTTTGTTTCTTTTGCATCTTATGGCTGCAATCCTATTTCTCCACCTGGTGTGTGATTGGAGTAAAAGTAATTTAAGTTATTCTTGAATATATTTAGTTTTTGGAATGTTGTTGGATAGAACGAGACATTTGAGGACGTCCTCTTGGACTCTGGGAAATTGTTAAGGCCATTATTTGGATATTTAACAGACCAGACACCCAATGGATTGAGCGTAAAAGTAATTGCATATTAATAAATAATTGAAATGATAGTTGGTCAGCAGACTCAAGTCTCTGTGAAAGCCTTGGGTGGTTTCCTCCCTGCTTTATGCTTTATGCTTCATCGCTGGTGGTGCAATAAGACGCCGTTCTCTGTGTGAGCTTCACTCCACTCAGTCAGTGTTTAATATTTTCCTTTACTCTGAGAAATCTCAACACACACACACGTATTCCCACACGCCTCAGAACAACCACGTGACCATTGGATCTTTTTCACATTGCGGGCGGGTGGGACGGGGCAGTGGACCCCTCACTGATCCCCCAGGTGTGTTATGGTTCTGGGGGAGAATGTGCTGTGTCTCAGGTCTCAGAGCTTTGGGGTTTCCTGAGGGGCCACACATCCCTCTTCTGATGAAGCTCCATCTTCATGTTACTCTAACCAGTAACACATCCGTCTGTAACAATTCCTCTATTAGGCCAATTACTAAACATGATAATATACGAATGTGAGGCCACTAAATTGTAATAACCTGCCCAGACACTTGGGATAAAATCTCCAGCTAACTCAAGCACATTCACATTGACGTGGAAACTGGAATGTTGATGAATTCGCACCGTCCTTGTTAAATGAATACATAAATCGTCTGCAGAAAGTCCTTTTGAAAAAATATATCAGGGAAACCACAGTGTAGCATTGTAGCTAACCGCACAACGTTGGTTTACGTTTGACAGACATTATTATTGTGTGCAATTTAAGCATTAACAGGTTTCTTTCTTTCTGAATTATCTCAAAATGCTCCTTAATTTCCGTCAGATTCCTCGATTGCTTGATAAAATGATCAATGGCTGCGGCTCTGCATGCACGCACACATACACAAAGTACCGATGACCTAAAAACACCTGCTCATCATTCACAATGTGTCAGGGGCAGCGAGGTGTTTAATTAATGCTCAGTTCTTATCACTAGACTGACTGCCGATGAAGCATATGAAGATAAGTCTGCCGATTTTGCCCCTGTGACGATACCATGGGGGGGGGAGAAACGGTTGGCTGACACTTTTACACAGAAACTAGCTTTTTGTGGAGCTGTGAAAGAGAATTGTGTCCATATTCCTCCCCTGGCACCAGTGGAACCGGTTTCTAGACATGGCACACTGGTGCCAAATACAGAGCAGGAACGATTAGTCAACATCAGCCAATGTGAAATCCTAAAGATGGATTCATCATCTTTTTAACCAGTTTACTGAACTGAAGATTACAATTGCTGTTGAGGTAGGAATTTGGCGCAGGACGTAATCTCCAGACCCAGGAATACAGTCGGAGAAGGAAAACAAAAGGCCTCTGTTGATTGTTTTTGGTGGGACTCTCCCTGATCGCACCTCACCACCCTGTTTTTTTCCCCAACGTTTATTTTCCTGACCCAGTCACACTTTTTTTTCTTCTTCTCCCTCGCATTTGATTCTCTCTCTCTCTCTCACACACACATGCATTCTGCAGGGTTGTTTACCCAGAGCACTTCCGATCTCCCTGCTCTGTACCCAAGCACCTCAGCAGGATGCAGCGCTGCCTCCCCGCCGCTGTTCTATCGTTAAAGTAGTTCTGCACTCATGTAAAAACAAAATCAAGGCCATCGGATTACACTGTATGCGCAGCGCGCACGTCTTCTAATAAAACTTTCCATTCTAATTAAAAAGGCTTCTATTCACATGGTTATTTGAAGTCCCGAATCAGCGCTCTTAATTAATCATTGAGACGTTTTTTAACTCCACCCAGTTATTAATGCCTACATCAGTGTTTCTTTGTGTACGTGTGATTGAGGGGGTGTGTTTGTTAACGCTTCCTCAGGTGTTCCAGGACCTGGGTGTGTCGGTGCTGTCCGGCGCCTCAGAGGGCTACAACGTGTGTCTGTTTGCGTACGGACAAACGGGATCGGGAAAGACATACACCATGATGGGGACGCCGGTGAGGAGGACGCTGAAATCACTGCATGGCGTTGTGTACTTGATCCCCGGGCACATGCGACGTCTTAACCCTGAATTATTCTGCGCTTACAATGAGCTGCATTCTCATGTTTTTTTTCTTCTGGGTGATGTCAGGACTCCACCGGCTTGACCCCTCGGATTTGTCAGGTACGTCGGGGGATTGTACGACTCAATTTGGAGAACCCCCCCCCCCCATGACCCGAGTGTTTAAGCATCCTTTGTGGGAAGTAATTTGCCTTTATCCTCTCCTGGCAGGGTCTCTTCCGGCCTGAGGACACTGTTCCTGATGAGCAAAGCTCGAGCAGAGTGGAGATCAGGTATTGTGTTTATAACTGCCCGATTCTGGGTCCCCCCTCGCCCCCCCCCTCATCATTGACATATGAACTGTGCGCGGCACGATAGCAGTGTGTGTTGTCTTGTGGCCTTGCAGCTTCCTGGAGATCTATAACGAGCGGGTGCGAGACCTGCTCAGAGGAGGAGAGCCGAAGAAGAGGGCCGGCCTGAGAGTTCGAGAACACCCGGAGAAAGGACCCTATGTCCAAGGTCGGTGCTCCGCTACCTTCCTGCAGCAAAGACACGCCCGAGTCTGAACTTCCAAGTTCCAGAGGCATCCGTTGGGGTGGATAAGATGCCGATTCTCTTTTTATTAACGTTACTTGTTCCTATGCACATCCGCCTCAGTGTTTTCCCCAGGTTTACAGCTCTTTGTTGTGCGTGTGTGTACGTTTGTGTGTGCACACTCTGGCGTGTGCAATGCAGAGAGCGGAGGAGGGTATTAAACGTAAACCATAATAAAAATGCAATTCAACTAAATAAACTTCACATTCGCGGGGGGGCAGCAATGGTTGGGAAAATGTTATGTGTGGATCCTCCATAGACATTTAAAAAAGCCTGTGCAGAAAATGTAGTGCGCGTAAGTAGAACTTTTAATCAAATTATAATTCCAATTTAATAATCAAACGTGACCCCGCAGTTCAAGTCGTAATCAGACAAAATGATGAGCTCAAAAATCACCAGATCATTTCTGCTTTTTGTCTTTTTCTGTCCGTCTTGCTTATTAATCATTAATTACAAGTGCTCATTTCCCTACGAAGATAATTTTCCAGATTCAATCTTAAAATCAGGTCATATCTGTTCATGGTCCACTTGCTGTCTATCTCACACATTCAGGGTCACCTGCATATTTAAAATGAACGGTAATCTTTGTGCCTTCTTTGTCTTTGTCAAGCTTCCAATGAGCAATGTTTAAAACGTAAGCAAACAATCACCCAAAGCACTTTTGCACACAACCTATAACATGCTGCTTGGCTTTTTGTCGAGCTCTGAAAGAGAACCGTGTCTATATTCCTCCACTGGCACCAGTGGACGTGGTTTCTAGACATGGCACACTGGTGCCAAATATAGATTGCAATGTGATGAGAGTTAAATCTTCTTTTCTCAACACTCTCATACACCCCATGTAGTCAAATGATGGACTTCTTCTACAGTATTTGAAGTAACGTCATGTAAGTTCAGTTTATAAGACGCCGTGGTCCGGGAGTTCTCTTGGTAGAGATTGTTGATCCGGTTCAGTCTGTGGTCTCTGCTCCAAACCGAGACTCCTCTTTTAGCTTGTCCTACTTACTCTCTCTTTCCCCTTTTCTCCCCTCCCTCCGCCCCCCAGCTCTTTCCTTCTCCCCCTCTCATCCGCCTGCGTCACTGTGATTTAAAGCCCCACATCCACTCATTGTCAGTATCTGGAGAAGTCCCAGTGGACCAGAGGAAGTGAAGTAATTTCCTCTAAGGTTCCAAGGAGAACGCTCCAGCTCTCCCAAAGAGCGCTTCAGATGCCTGCAGCAATGTTAGGACGAGGAATGACTAACCACATGGTGCAGCACCTCCTGCTAATCTGTTAAACAGCTTCTTAAAATACACCACACCTCCAAGTCGAGCATTGTAGCAGTTTTTTTTTCAACGTTGAGACACGTCGTCTCTTTTCCTGTTTTTGTCCCTCACATTTCGTCTTTAAAAGAAGTGAATTTTGCCTCTAGGTCTTTCCCATGTGTGCTGTGGTGTTAACAGTTTAAGGCCATTATCAGTCTACGTTTCACAGATCCATCTCTCTGCACATCATGTGCACAAAAAGTGTCAGATAGCCAATGTTCTATTTATTTTACCATTGGGAGCATATTCCTCTGGCAGCCATACGAAGGCATGACCTTTAAAACAAAATCACATATTTTCCAAATCTTCAAGAAGAGTCTGGAGAATTTCATCTTTCAAATTTCCAACACTTTTGTATAATGTGCATCTGGATGCTTAACCGTGTAGCTGCACTCGTTTTACAGTTTTCCATCACAAATTCCTCCTCGGTGTTGCAGTGAATTCACCGATTTTGAGGTTGATATAAAACACAACCACTATTGGTTTATGTGCTTCAGACTTGTCCCAGCACGTGGTGTCGGACTGCAAGCAGGCCATGGACCTTTTGGAGCAAGGCATCGCCAACCGAATCACCGCGGCAACTCACAACCACGATGCCAGCAGCAGATCGCACGCCATCTTCACCATCCAGTACACGCAGGTCAGCATCTCTCCCGGCGCTCCAACCAGCCAATCAGTCGCTCTGCTAGTGATCACTGTCTCGCGTTTGACAACTATTGGTCATAAGCAGTTTATTATTGTCAGTATCTATTTTCAGGTGCTTTGTTTGTCAGTACTTGCAGTTTTCCCATCTGATTCCTCTTTTCTTTTCTCCAAAGGCAATCCTAGAAAATAACCATCCCTCCGAAACTGTCAGCAAGATAAACCTGGTGGACTTGGCTGGAAGGTGAAACGGATATTTACTTCTGTTGTGTGTGTGTGTGTGTGTTTGAGACAGTCATTGACTAAACTGCCCCCTAGTGGACTTTGGCTCGTGCCCTCTTGGATTTCAAATAATGTTCAATTCCACACTTTAAATTTTTTTTTGTATTTGGTAGTCTGTGTTTTTAATGAATGCGCGGGACAAGAACCTCACATTGCTTTCACGTTGTGTCTGACAGCGAGCGAGCCGACCCGCACTACTGCAGGGACAGACTGACGGAGGGCTCCAACATCAACAAGTCGCTCGTCACTTTGGGCATCGTCATATCCGCTCTTGGTAAACTAAGACCGCGCGGAGCAATGAAATCTAGCCGCGATACCTGTCGACCTCGCACACTTCCTCGCAGCATTCCCGTCTCTCCTGAAAAATCCATCAACCTGTGTACTTGCCGATGCCTCCACAGCACAGAACTCCCAGATGTCCAGCAGCTGTCAGAGTATCAACAGCATGGCCTCTGAGGGCGACGGCAGCACGGTGGGCAGCCACAGCAGCTCCCTGTCAGGAGGAGGAGGAGGAGGAGGAGGAGGAGGAGGAGGAGGAGGGAGGAGGCACTGCTTCATCCCCTACAGAGACTCGGTGCTAACCTGGCTGCTGAAAGACAGCCTGGGCGGCAACTCTAAGACCATCATGATTGCCAGTAAGTGAAGCAGATGTCAGCATTGTGAAAGGTGCATGGCTGGGATTTTGGTCTGTTTTGCCTTCATTAAGGCAAGGCAAGTTTATTTGTATAGCGCTTTTCATACACAAGGCAGACTCAAAGTGCTTGACATCATAACATTTCATACAATAAAGTGAAAATAAAATGCAGGAATTAAAAGACAATTAAAAACAGCAAATAAAATTATAAATTAAAATCTTATTTAAATTGTTTAATTAAAGGCAGAGGTTAAAAGTGCAATGTAGGTAAAATTTAGCAGAAGGCAAAGCTGAATATAAAAGTTTTCAGTCTTGTTTTAAACGTGGTCAGAGTTGGGGCAAGTCTTAAATCTTTAGTTTATTCCAGCTGTTTGTTGCGTAGTAACTAAATTATGCTTTCCCATGATTTGTATTTACTCTGTATTAACAGTAAATAGCTTTAACCGAACACTTGTTTAATATCCATATCAAGCCCTAAAGGCAAGCATGGAAAAAAAGGAATCATTTATCGTGAAGAAACAAAATGCTGTTGTCTGCAAGGTCTGTTTTTGTATGTAATCTAATACCTGGCTTTCTTGGGGAAATAGTTTCCAGTAATGTAAAACCACTGGCACGCTTTTTAAAAAATCTCCCTCATGATTTTCTGTGTGTGTGTTTGTGTCGTAGCCGTCTCGCCCTCCTCTAGCAGCTACAACGAGACCCTCAGCACGCTGCGCTATGCCGGCCATGCCAAAAACATCATCAACAAGCCCCGGGTTAACGAGGTCAGTGGTTGTTGTGGAGACAGATGCAAAGACTTTAACGTTTGATCCCAATGTTTTTAGCGGGTTCATGTGAGCTTTCTATTTGCGTGCAGGATGCCAGCGTTCGGCTGATCCGGGAACTGAGAGAAGAGATTGACAGGCTGAAGAGCATGCTGCTCAGCTTTGAAATGGTACGGGCACCTTTTTTCATCACAGCCCCTGCGGGGTTCCCTTTCTTGTGTCTCTGTGACATCTTTAATCCCCCGGATGGTAAAGATGGATTGACGGCGTTGTAACGCATGTCATATTTTAGCTTTTGCTCAGTATGTTGACTGTTGAATGTTTTTGATTGACAGCAGCGTAATCTCAGTCCATCCCTGAGCGATGAGAGGGATGGAAATCTTTCTGATATTGTGCATCAGAACGAACTCAAGGTAACACGGCGTGGACACACACACACACACACACACACACACACACACTCTCACCCCGTGATGACTACTAGCTATGACCTCTTTGACGCCCTGTTGATTGATGCGTCATCTAAAAAAACGCATGAATGACAAAGCTTTTTTGGCAGGTCTTAAATTTTAAGCTCTTGTTAGGCAACAAGGTATTTGAAAAGGTAGAAATATGTGCAGATATATTTGTAGATGTCCATGAAATGGACTTAAAGATCAGTTGGCGCAAAGTACGTAAAATACAAATTTCAATAGATTTTATGATTATTACCTTCTAATTGTCTCTAATTGTCTTCTGACATCTTTCTTTTTAGAAAAGCGATCTTCTCAGTGAGGGATGCCGATGTAAATGCAAATGCAAATGTTGTACTGCGCTCCATAAACAGGAATCCACTCACCTCCTCACCCGTGTCACCGTGAATGGAAGCAGATTAATATCACAAGAATCTGGACACATCTGTATTTCTTGCCACACTGTAGTTTTTTTCTTCAGACTTTACAGTTAGAATTGGAAAATAATCGTTTGTAGTTGGAATAGCAGCAGAGCGCATTTATTGCCTTCCTTCATCGTCCTCATCCACCTCTCCTGCTCAGGTGGAGCAGCTGACGAAGGACTGGTCGGAGAGCTGGAGAGACAAGAAGGAGCTGCTGGAACAGTACGGCGTGGACGTCAACCGAGACCGGGCCGGGTTCCTCATCAACTCCCTCCGACCGCACCTGGTCGCTCTCGATGGAGATGTTCTCAGCACCGGAGTCGTCTTCTATCACCTCAGGGTATGGGTTTTCGAGCAAATCTTGTATGTTTCGTATTTCTTTTTTAATTTGATTTGATTGAAGAATTTTATTTCTTGAACATGTAGACACCAAATAATAAAAAATTTAAAAATCAACATAGACGTAGACCACAAAATGAGAAAATACACCTTTTGTTCAAGAAAAGGAGTAGGGGGAAGCAAAAGCTTATAGATACCCACCCCTTTCTTATCCATATTCTCAATTAGTATATATTACTTTGAAGATTAATATCATACATACATACACACACTCACACACACTCTCACCCACACACACGCACGCATACTCACACGCACAAATAAATACAATTTAAATTTCCTTCACTTAATATTTTCACAGATCTCATATTTGGCTAATGTGTATAATTTAAGATGTTTTTTGAACTGTGCAATATGTTTACAATCTTTGATCTTATCTGGTAAGTTGTTCCACAACTTCACCCCACAGACCGATATGCACCTGCTTTTGAGTGTAGAGTGCACCTTTGGTTGCCTCAGTTTCAGTCTCCCTCTTAAATTATAGTCTCCTAGTCTGTCGCTAAACCAACTTTGAATGTTTCCTGAGAGTAGGCTGTTTCTTGCTTTAAATACAATCTGTAACATTTTAAAATCTTTCAAGTCCATAAATTTTAATATATTTAATTTCAGAAATAATGTGTTTGTGTGTTCATAGTACCCCACCTTATTAACTATCCGTATTGCTTTTTTTTGAATTGTGCATATTGCCTGTAGGGTGCTTTTGTAGGTATTACCCCACACTTCCACACAGTAACTCAAATAGGGAGCAAACAGTGTACAGTACAGTGTATGCAGTGATTGTATATTCAATATATGTCTGACTCTGACTAGTATCCCTACACATCGTGCCAATTTTGATTGTACACGAGTGACCTGTGGCCTCCAGCTGAGCTTGTGGTCTATCATTACACCTAGAAAGGAGTATTCAAACACCCTTTCGATTTTTATATTATCGATCATTAGTTCAATGTGTGTGTTTGCTTGTGTGTTACTTTTACCAAAGACCATGAATTTGGTTTTCTTTACATTAAGTGATAATCTATTTATATCAAACCACAATTTCAGCTTGGTTAACTCAGTCGAGACCGCCTCCAACAACTGTTCGAGGTTCCCTCCTTCACAGAATACATTTGTGTCATCTGCAAAAATAACATTTTTCAGGATCCTGGAAGCATTACTTATGTCATTTATATAAATAATAAATAGTTTTGGACCCAGTATTGATCCTTGCGGCACACCACAGGTAATATTTCTTAAGGTGGACTTCTTATCCCCTATCTGTACAAACTGTTTTCTTTGTCCTATGTAACTTTGTACCCAATTTAGTCCAACCCCTCTGATACCATAGCTTTCCAGTTTGTGTAGCAGTGTATCATGGTTTATTGTGTCAAATGCCTTCTTCAGATCTATGAAGACCCCTATTGCCATCTTTTTGTTATCTATTGTGCTTGTCAGTTCTTCTACTAAGTCCATGAGTGCCAATGATGTTGATCGGTTTGGCCTAAAACCATATTGACTATCTATGAGTAATCCATGTTTATCTATGAAACTGTCCATCCTTGTAGCAAATATTTTTTCCAAAATTTTGGAAAATTGGGAAAGCAGGGAGACTGGTCTGTAGTTATTGTAAAGGTTTTTTTCACCTTCTTTAAAAATCGGAATTACCTTAGCAGTTTTCATTTTGGTTGGAAAGAAGCCCGTTTGAAGTGAAACATTGCAGATATGTGCTAGGGGATCTGCTATATTAATAATGACTTCTTTTACTATTGTCATATCAATACCATTCCAGTCTCTTGATGTTTTTTTTTTTGAAGTTATTAACTATGGCAATAATTTCATTTTTATCGGTGTCTTTCAGAAAGATAGTATCTGGGTTCCTCTTGCCCAAATAATGTGCTACGCATCCCCCTTGAGGAAGGTTTATCTGCTCTTCTAGTTTAGGGCCCACATTTACAAAGAATTTATTGAAGCCTTCTACCATCTCCTTTTTGTCATTAATAATCTTATCATTATCTAGAATTTCTTCTGGCAATCCAGAGCTGGTCGATTGATTTCTTATAATTGAATTTAAGATCTTCCATGTTTCCTTTATATTATTTTTATTTTTATCTAGTAGTTTACAATAATAATCCTTTTTACAATTTCGCATAATATCAGTTAATTTATTTTTATATCTTTTATACTTCATTTCTTTCTCCTTATTTCTATTCTTGATAAACTCTTTATATAAGAAGTTCTTCTTTTTACAGGCGTAATTGTTTGCTTTTTTAGTGTGATTTTTGGAATACTCATTTGAGTATTGAAATGATCATCATCACTGTTGTAGTAGCTGGTGTTGTGTATGTTCTTTCGCTGTGTGTCTTCTTCTTTGTGCATTTCTTTTCATTCCCACTGACACGTCACTCATTTGAACAACACGGTGCAAACTCTTACATACTGACATTCTTTACATTTGCTCTTCTTTCCTTCAACTCTCAAGTTACTGATGCGTCATCTGTCCTGACTAAACCATTTTAATCTCCTTTTTTCCTCTAGATTCTTCCCCCTTCCTCCTTCTCCCACTATTTCTCTTTGTTCTGCTAGAAAACCTCCTGGGAAAAGGTGCGTTTCTACTTTCTTTTCTCTCTACCCTCCAACTGTCCTGTCGATCTCCCGTCTCCGTACGTGTTTGTCTTCGGCGTTGCATAAAGCTCTGCTGGATGAGAGGCTCTTAGCTCTGCGGCTAGGACTCGAGGGAGCTTAAGCTGTCCTGATTCTGACAATGACAAGCATACCCTCAAGCCTGACAATTAGTGTTTGCTCCACGCGAAGAGCCGAGGCCACCTGGGAACACATGTGGTCTTGACACCGCATAAGAAAGCCTATAATCCCATTAGATAAGACTTCAAAGTCAACAAATTAAGTTTTCACTGTCGGCTAAGTTTGTGATTAAAAGGGACAATGGTTGTCATAGGATCATTGTGTAAAATCATTGTGTATCATTATATCCACTATTGCTTGCTCTTTTTCAGCACAACCGGCTAATATCCAGATTACACCAGTTTTTCTTTTTTTATGTTTTTGTTTATGTTGATTTTAAATATAACTGCCATGTTTACACAATGCCTCTTTCTAACAGGAAGGACTCACCCACATAGGACCTCAGGATCCGTTTGAAAAACCACAAATAGGTATTTATTTATTCATTGATCTCCATGTTTCCTCATCCAGCTGCAACCGCATACGATTTTTTTCTTTACTGTTTGCACCTTAAATAAGTGGAAATTCTCAAGACATCTTGCGTCCTGCACCGTCCCAGAGTAGAAAGACTGAAAACCGGCAGCTTCTTAGACAAAACACACATAAAACATGGAAGAATATATGCACAGTGTGGTACTGCACGTTGAATACATTCAAAAGAAGAGTATCTGAACAGCTTTCTGACTCGCTATGTGCGGCTGTGTTTCTTCTGCATGGTGTTCCTAGTTGTGCCGGGCGGCGCCAGTTGTGTGGTTGAAAACCAGGGAGGTGTGGTAACGCTCAGACCGCTGCCGGGCTGCGCCTGCTCGCTCAACGACCGGGAGGTCACTGAACCCTGCAGACTGGCTCAAGGTCAGCGTACGTCCTGAACCCACCAGTTGGTTCATGTTGTCTGGTTCCCGCCGCGTTTTGTAGTCTAACCGAACAGGCTGTTTTTGAATAGTGTTTTGATGGCCATGCTGCTTGATTCATTAAGGGTTATGAGCCGTAACATTTCAATTATCCATTAGTACTTGTTCTTGCATTGTTAAGACACTGAGAACATCTTAATCTTTTTCTTTTTTACAATTGCACCCTAATGGCAGCCTTTCCTGCTCACTTTGAAAAACAACCACCTAGAGAAATTAATGTGTGTAAATAAATGTATTGGGTATACTACCCATACTATACCAGCGATTGTTGAACTATGCAAGTATATAAATCATATCTATGTTGACGTAGGATAACAACATGCAGTAAACAGATTTTATTATTGAAATGTACATGTGCAGGCACACTTCTCCCCCAGGGTAAACGTATAGACACGCATATACCCCCATGCCCCCCTCCTGCACTGAACCACATACTCATGAATATGAAAGAGATAGGTCTCTCTCTGTGTCTCCAGGGACAGTGATCACCTTGGGAGGAGTTCACAAGTTCCGCTTCAACCACCCAGCCGAGGCGGCTGTCCTCCGGGAACGCAGGCGGGTGGGTGTTTGAGATGAAGATGATGATGATGCTGATGTTTATGATGCCAGTAGCAGATGAATGAGATCCTGTAATTTACATACTGTGGAGCTAGTGACCCACAATATTGTTTTACTTCACTTTTGCAATATATTTGAGCACAGCTGTGATGTTTATTTTCTATATTCCTTGGAAATTACACATTTCGTCTCCTCTTAAATGTTCTCAGGCAAGTGAAGGTGGCATGACCTGCACCTACATCGACCTTTGCCCCATGACCCTGGATCACAGGTAACACTGCCACCAATAACATATTCACAGAACAAAGGTCAATGAGGCATAAAACTACGAGCACAATATTTGAAATGGTTTTGTATACTTTGCTTTGTTTACTCTTGTATATATTGAATACTTGAAAACCTTAGTATAAGGACCTTGTTATCGTTGGGTTCATTTATCCGGTCTATAGTTGTCACTCTGAGTATACAGTGTGCCGTGCACGGCCAACATGCTGCATACATATTTGATAATTAGGGATATGTAATGTGTCACATTTATGCTGCAGAAATAGGTCAATGCTTTATGCGTCTTTCAGTTCAGTTGTTGGGATGCATCATGCGTTTCCAGTTGCCCCCACCTTCCTGAACAATCCCCTTCAGCTGTTTATGGAACAGGCTCAGCCGTTGCTTGGTTACTACTGAGACGCTGAACTGAAAACCAACGACAGTTTAATTTACTTCAAACCCGCCACCACCTAACTGCTAAATTCTAGACGTTAAATTGCACTGTCTGGTGTTTGGATTGCTTTTTTACTTTCACAGTCTCCCTCTTTACCTTCCCTCTATGTGCCTATTTTGTAGTGTCGAAGATGTGAAGCTCCCAGACCAGCTGGGTGCCGGTGTCTCCCCCACTGAGGAGCCCACTGCGAGGCAGCGTGTGGAGGAGCAGCAGCGCTATGTGGAGAGTTTGCGACATGAGATTCAGGCTGAACAGAGGAGGGCTGAGAGGGAGCTGGAGAGGGAGCAGGCCCACCTCCGACAGCAGCACTGTGAGAGTAAGTCCTCTGTCCAGCCGTCATCACTGTCAACTTTCAAAATCAAAGCCAAAGATATATTGGATAAGCACCGCAGAATGATTTGAAATCACTTCATTAGTAAGATATCCTCACATGATTATTTCCTTCTGTAAATCTTCACTCAACAGTCAAGCAGTGGATTCTTCAGGAGAAACAGCGTCTGACAACCACAGAGCTGAGAATCACCCGAGAGTCCGGTGTCCAGACGGACCTCGTCCCCTCGAGCCTCACCCCGGAGCCAGTGGCGAGTCCTGCGCGTGGGAGCCAGGAAGGTCGGACGGTAGATCGACCATCCGTGGTGATACGGGCCAGGAAGAGGGCGGTGCAGGAGGAGCTACTGAAGCATCACGCCCTCCGCCGCTCCGAGAGCCGCATCCGTCGGAAGACGTTGCACTACCAGCTGGAGAGGGTCGCCCGCAAGCGGCGTCTGTTGGAGGCAAAGCGGGAGTTGCAGCGGCTGGAGGGGGCCCTGCCTGCGGGACTCGACAGCCCACAGTCTCCCGATCTGGACTCCCCCACAGCGCCCAGAGGAAGATCGCTCGCTTCTCGTAGACACTCGTTCTCGGCGGATATTCTGTCTCGGCTTTACCCACATAACACCCCCATCTTTAGGTAAACACGCAGTCGTTAAACCTGTCGACTTATTTCATGGGTTAGTCCATACCAAAATGCTTCAGGTCATGTTGGTCACACGGCTCGTACATAAATATCCTTTCTGGTCTTTTCTGTTCCCTCCCTACAACAGGCACTTCCTCAAGAGAAACAGATCCACAGAACTGACGTCGAATTCCTCCACAGCCTCGGATGCCATTGACGGCAGGAAGTGGGTTTCCGATGAGTGTCTTCCTCGAGAAAGAACCCAGAGTTGTTCCGGTTCGCTCTCCTCGGGACAAAGTGAAGCCGGCCGCAGAAGAGCAAACTCCTCCGAAAACCTCCGACCAACCGGCAGAGAGGAGCTCCAAGCTCAGCCCATCCGGGAACGACCAGAGAGAAAACCTCTGCTGCCGAACCGAGAACTGTCTTTTAAGAACAGATTGGATCAGAACTCAACAGGGACTCTCAAGTCGCCACATGGTACTACTTTGCAGAAAGTCTGCAAAGAAAACACACAAGGAACCACAGCTTGCAAAACCAGTTCTCAGATTGTCTCCCGGGGGAATGAGATAAATCTTCCCCACGCAGGTAACAATGGATTGGAAACCATTCAGAAGACCTTCTCTTGTTCTCTTGGGCCCACGTTAAAAACGTCTCTCTCCAAAGTATTTAGGAAACCCCCAACTATTGTGAGTGGAAGACGAAACCCCAAACCTCTGAGGAAGATAGCAAGCCAGTTTCCCTGGAGGCAAAGAAGAGATGGGATCCTTAAAGACACCAAGCTGAGCCGGAGACAATGTGTTGTTAGGGCGGCTGTCTCGTGTGAGGAGCTCGACCAAAGGACTGTGTTCGAGGACGTTAAACCCAAGCGCTGGCGCAGTACCGAGGCTCTGATGAGCAAGACCAGCACGTGGGTCCAGAGACAACAGGGATTGATGGGATGGGAGGAGGAGCCGGAGGAGAGGGACGAAGTAACGTCAGACTGCGAGAGCCTCTTCTCTCTCGACTCGCTGTCCTCTGCTTACGTGACGGCCCTCGCGCAGCAGCTGAGACGCGAGGAAGCGGCTTCGAGTGAAGCAGAGACCGAGGACAGCCAGATGTCTGAAGACTCCTTGGTTGGGGAGGGCAGTGGGAGACACTCGACAGTGCTGACGGAATGCTCCCTTTCCTCGGCGCGGCACCAGAGAACCCCAGAGATCGGTTCGGACTGGAACAGCTGTCAGAAAGCTCCGGTGATCCGAGGCGAGGCGTACTGGAGCCGGCAAATTCCCCCGAAATCAAGACAAAGCGGTGCCACAACAAGGCCTCCTTCCCACGACTTGTTAGTAGCAGGTGTTCCCAACCCGACTGAGGGCTTTGGGGACATGCAGACCACTTCCACCATCAGCCCGCGCTCCTTGAGCAGCTGCAGTGTGAAGGAGCCGGACAACGTGCTGGCCCTCACCGATGCCTGGTCCTCCTCCGCAGCAGACAGTCCCAGGCTTCACAGGGATTCTCTCCCTTTACAAGTGTTCACGGGTGTAGAGAGCAGCAGCAGCAGTCCCAGTCCAAACAGTATGACCCTCTCGGACTGTCCGAGTGGACCCAGCTCCGCATCCACCAGCACTAAGGGTGTAAATGTAACCGTGCAGGATCACGGTTGGGAAATTGTATGGGGCACATCTGAAACGTTAGGCTCCCAGGTTCTAACCTCACCAGAGGAAGCCCTGGAGCAGGAAGGACGTTGTGTGGACCAAACGGAGAATACGGGGAACGCAGCTATGGATACTCCGGACCGCAGCATCAAAAGTCCAGACCTCGTGCTGACGTCAGAACCTCCAAGCGCTCGTGTGCCGCCCACCGAGATCCTCTACAATAAACAACAAGTAAACCTGCTTCAGGTGTTGCTGGATGTGCCCAACATGGTGGCAGCAGACGAAATGTGCCGGTCAGGTTGTAAAACCGTCCCGCCGCTCTCTGATACCAGCCATGTTCAATTATTAAAAAGTGACCCTGTACGGGTCCTCAAACCGTTGTCTGAAGATGAAGTACTAAGCAGAACAGATGGTGCAACAGAAAAGTTGAAAAATATGAACCGATCTGACCTTCGGAACACCAAACATTTATCGTCTACGCGGGACAAAATGTTGGATGAGGCTGAAACCAAAGAAGCTCTGACTGAGCACCATATTGCACTACAGCAGGAGCTTGTTAAATCCTCTTGTAAAAATTCCAGGAAGAGGAACAAAGGCCGGCGGGATGCTTTCATAGGTAGCCTGAAAATTCCGAAGAGGAGCAACGGCAGTGAGGTGCTAACTTCCTTCACTGCACCAGTTGACGATCGGGAAGAAGATTTTCCTGATGACCATAACAACAGTGACTCAAACGGGGAACAATCTGACGTGGAAGCTGACGGCTCCGGATTTCATTCCGTTTCCCCTGATGGCGGCTTTAGGGAAGGCGCGGAGGCGCCGCCGGTTTCTGATCCCATGGGAAAGAACCCTGGAGAGATCTTTAATGACTCTGAGTGTGGTGACAGCGGTTCTCGGAGCGGATCCTCTGCAGGAGAGCGCAAAGTAGACGAGAAGGGAGACAAAGCAATTGAGGACGTAGCTGCAGAAACAAAAGAGGGGGAATCACCACTTGATAAACCCAGAAGACGTCAAGAAAGTATAAAACACGTATGCAAGTCGGAGGCTATTTGTAGCGCCATTGACCTGAGAATCGCAGAAGTGGTTGAAGAGCACATGAGATTGTCATTGATTGGCATCGAGGATGATAGGAAGAGCAGGACTCAAAGCATGCGTGCCCTGTCGTCCCCCGCGAGTCATTTTGGCCCAAAACGTGATGAAACTGGATGGAAAGAAGTCCAGCTGAGAGAGAAAGTGAGTGATCAGGTGATAAAAGGAACAATCCCCGAAGGATGCCTTGCACCTGATCGGATCAAGAGGGAAAACGCAGTGGGCAACAGTAAACACCTGGCGTCCGATCTGCCAACCGAATCAAACACTAGCCATGAGAGCCACATGCTTAAATGTGCTGAAGCAACACAGAACGTCGACAATGTGCACGACGTCTGTGATGCGCTATCAAACAAGCCGGTAACCTCTCATTGTGTCCCAAATGACAACGTCCAATTAAACATGAACCCCAACAGCCGGAAGGAGTCCGAGCACTCTGCCGGCAACCCCACTTTGCAGTCCCCTAGCTCGTCCTCCACTAGCCGTTCCTACATTGAGTCCAAAGGAAACGCCGTGGGGAAAGATGCTTTGTGCAGAGAAACAAATGATTCAGGTAGACAAAAAGGAACATCCCGTCTTCATCCCACCATCGGCGATACACGCTGGAATGAAGTGGACACACGGAGCTCTTTGGTGGATGGCCCTGCTTTCACTCCTGAGCTTCACCAAGTACGCCGGGGAACACCTCCCACTCTGGGTGGTGCAGAAGAAAACTGTGGGTGTAACCAGGAAAGAGATGTCAGTACGGAGGGCACATCGACCCGTCCGTTCGAACCGCACAGACGTCACTGCAGCCAGAACACACCTGCCTCCACGAAAGGCCTCTGTGTTTCTACTGTCCGTGATAGAAATGGGGAAACCAACCACTCACGAGGAGGTGGACCCAGTGTCACAGCACAGGAGGAGGCCAGTTCCATACCGACTCATTCAAGGGGCTTTACTCAGACCTGTGTGGTGAATATGAATTACCACAACGATTGCCAACATGGATCAAATTCAGTGTGCACATTTGTTAAGGACGCTCAAATTGACAGCCAACCAGATTACTTCATGCTAAACGACGAAGAGACTCCAAGGCTCTTTGCAGAGTCAAAACACAAAGCGAGTATTTCTGGTTCTGTGGAGCTGCAACGCCAAAAGCCGCAGGGGAATGCCGTCAAACGTGCCGGTTGCTACGGATCTGTGATGTCCAAAGCGGTTCCTCCGCTTAAGGCACCTGCACCAGCTGACCAGCAGAACGGATCTCCTCTCGTGTCTAAAAAGTCAAAGAGGTTGAGAAAGAGTAAGATCCAGACTCATCCCATGTCTTCCACTGAGTCCTCTCCTAAGTCCTCAGATGAGGACGAGGAGGACGACAAAACCCCCAGAGTGCATCACAGCCGTCCCTCATCGAAATGGGTAAAGCTCGGCGCTCGGAGCCAGGATGCGGATATGTGTGCTACGGAGTCAGCGAGGAAATCTAAAATGAAGACTTGCTCTGCCGGAACTCCGGGTAAAAGTGAGGTCAAAGCTTGCAGAGACAACAACCAAACAATAGATGCTCCACAAAGGACCCATTCGGAAGAAATTATCCTGTGTGCAAAGAAAAGTGGACCGCACCAGGACCCCCCGATGCATTTCGCCTCCAGCGACATCAACCCGTTCGTCCACCAGTGGCAGGGCGAGGACTCAAACCAACACTGCCACAAGAACCCCGCCTACGGAAGCGCCGCCGACCTGTCCTCTAAAACGCCGCTCTTGAACAGCGCCGAGAAACGCATGGCGAGATGCTGCAGTGTCGACAACGGTTTGAACGGGCAGAACTCGCCCTTCTACTCGCACTTGAGCGCTTACGCCACCCACAAGGGGCTCTCCAGCACGCTCAGCAGCATGGAGGACTATAAGGAGCAAGGCAGTGAAACCCGTCAGCGAGTCGCCGCTGGTGGCCTGACGGCGGCGGGTAGCTCTTCGAGTAACGGTGCTCCCGACACTTTCGGTGACAACTCCTGGCGGATGCATGAAATTAGGCCCGCGTGCTCGTCCGAGCGAGACTCCAAGGGAAGCGAGGGAGCCGCCCGGAGGAGCAGCACGTGCGAGCACGGCACTCAGACTGAGCGCGGTCTTCGGGCGGTAAATGGCGACGGCCCGACGAAGAGAGAGCGGCACAAAAGGAGCAACACGGATGTACCAGGGGCACAGAAAACCAAAGTAGGAATGAAGGAATGTCCGACGTGGGCCAGCATGGAAAACATGTCGGCTCGCCTCTCAAAGCTGATCGACAGCACCTCGGACCTGCTAGGAGACGTGCAGGGAATGAGGACGGGCGAGGGCCTCAAGTCCAGTCCGAGTTCAAGGCGGACGACGAGCGTCAGCATGTCCAATAGCAGCATCCCTCACGGCGACCGCGCGCGGAGGGATCGCTCCACCCAAACGGCCGTCGATGTGGGGGTCCAGACGGAGAGGGAAGCCGCTGCCGATGGAATGCCCAGCGAAGGGTCCATATCCCACGAGGTCAATGTGATCGTCAAGGTGATCGGCTCTGAGGTCGTCCTCGAGTCCCCAGACTCTGCCGCGGCAAAAAGGCCCGCCTCCCCGTCAGAGAATAAGGCGGCGGGCGAATGTCGCCGACGCTTAGTGCCGGCTCCTTCACGGGGCTCAAAGCAGAGCCCGCACGAGGTGCCGCGTTGCGAAAGCGTCGCAATATCAGAAGTCGTTCGCAGGACATCGGTAAAAAACAGCCATCAAGAGAATCCCTGTCCCTCTTTGAGAAATGACCCGCCGCTTTCTTTAGAGAAACAAGTGGCGTTCACCGACCGCGCGTCGTCTCCCATCCGTACTGTGGGAACAGGTCTACGCACGAGGAGGAAAGGAAACCAATCCGTCCTAATCAAACCCCAGAACTCTGAGAGCGATGGTGCGTTGTCCAGCCAGCCATCGGCTCGCTCATCCGTTTCAGAGGGTGAGCGGATACCGCGGCGCGACGTCTCCTCAGAATCTGCCTCCCTTGGGATGGCGAAGGAAACGAGTCGCCCTCTAAGCGTTCGATATGCCGACGCTGACCTGAGGAGTGTTTCCCACAGCGACTCCAAATGGCCGAGTTCTTCTCAGCAGTGGAGGACCTCTACTTCAACAAACAGTTTAACCATGCAGAGCCACATCTCTCCCGCATCGAGAGCCGATGAAGTGCACAAACAACGGGCTGAAGCTACACATCAGAACCAAACATCAAGCTCCACAAGGCCCGCGGTCGATTCTGTCGATTGCGCCGATCCTCGCAGTTCGTCCCCGGTCAGTCGCCGGACCGCCCGACTCCAAGAGGACGACGCGGCGTCGCTGGCGCCCAGCGAGTGCGACACGGACGTCCTGGTGAACGTCGAGCCCGTCACTGGCGTGTGCCAGCCTCCGCGGCGCCCGGCAGCCCCGGAGGACCTGCCCATGCACAACAAGTTCACCAACTGGTCGGGCATCAGCCTTCAGCGATCGAAGGCCTCCGACAAGCCGGGCCCACTTGGCTCCACGGAGAGCTGCGGCTCCACCGAGGGAACCGGCGAGCATGGCGTCGGAAGGGCCCGAGAGATCGAGAGGCTGCGACAGGAGCGAGAGCAGGTGATGGCCACCGTCAGCCTCAACATGAACCCGGCGCCTCTGACCGTGGAGCTGACGGAGGCCAAGCTGCACTACGGCCTCGGGCAGACGGACACGCTGCTGAAGATGCTGTCCCCGCGGAGCAGAGAAGAGGCGGAGCCGCAGACCTGCGTGCCTACCAAACGGCAGCTGTATGACAGGTGAGGACGCAAAGGACCCAAACGCTCTTTGTTCTGATCGTGATCGTGATGTGTCGTTTTACAGCTCTCCTTTTGTGTTTCTGTATTCATTGTTCCTCTCAGACACCGCAGGAGTATCGAGGGTTCTAGGCAGGAGAGGGAGGAGCGTCTCCAGACCGAGCGGAGGGCTCGGAGTCTCAGTCCCAGCCAACATCCTCGCTCGTCTCCACAAGAGGCAGCTGCCACCGCCACGGCGTGCGCCGCCACGGCCGGTCGCCATAAAGAGTCACTGCAACAGCTCCGCCAAGAGGCGAGCAGGTGAGACTTCCCCGGCCGTATCGGCTCTACGTTTTCAACATGAGTCTATGGATTTCAGGCTTTCACGTTGGAAAACGGGACTGAGTTTTCGCCGAATTATCTAAACGACAGAATACCACCACCCCCACGAGGAGAGAGCCGCTGTCCGTCGGACATTAAGCAGCTGCTGCGCGACTACGGCCGCGCCCGAGAGGAGGCCAGGACAGAGATCGCCAAGGCGCGAGAACGACTGCGAGAGAGGACTGAGCAGGAGAAGAAGAGGCTTCAGCAACAGGCCCTGTTTCAGGAAGTCAGGGTCAGTTTTTTATCACACGCTACACAATAAGAGTTCATACACAATAAACTGTTTTATTTATAATTAAAAAGCCAAAGATAACTGTGAAATTGTTAGTTTTGTTAATTCTGGCAAATTCTGACATTTTGCCGGATGGATTTGATAAATTTATCTATCACAGAGAAAATACTTTCCTCTGATTAAACACCTCATTTGCTACTACAGTGACTAAAGTACATTTGAATGAGAAGTGAATTGTGAGGGACACGCCACACTATAATGTCCCTGGTATCTCCCTCTCCCCCCCCTTGTGTGGTCAGGATGACCTTAGACATCGGACAAGAATCAGCAACAGCACCTTATGCACAGGATCCAGCCTGAGTCTTTCCTCTGGACCAACATCAGGGTACAACAGCGGAAACGCTCTACAGAACGGGAACAGGTCCCTTCTGACTGGACAGGTCAATAGATTTAAATAACTGAAATGAAAATCCAGTATTGCATATTCATGCTTTGGATTGTTTTTGCTGCAAAGTGATGTCATTATTCTTTTGGAGCAGCTCAGTGGGTAAATTGGGTCGTTGTTCCTGTTTAGTTCTCAGGGTTTCAGGACGAAGGGCTAAAGGTCAGGACACGTCCTCCCATGTGTGGGCCTCAAAGTGTGAAGTCTCAGAGAGCCTGGCTGTCTGCCCATGGTAAGGACCGCACTCCTACAAATAAAGACGACCACTGACATCTTCTTTTTACTTTCCGGTAACATCAAACAGTGTTTGAGGGCTTTTCATTTATATATTGGCATCAGTCTACAACCTCATATTTAGACATTCAAGTACAACAAAACTGGTTTCCTTCTTTCATTTTTCCCCCTATGTCTGTCACTAATGTGGTACTTAACCACTACACCCTCTGTGTTGAAATTCCATGTGTTTTGCTAGATGTCCGCCTTGAGCCTCCTGTCAGCGGGTTTGAGCCCCTTATGACTTCATCTCCCTCGACTCGCTCACGTCAACGCACCGCCTCCTTTGGATCCTCCTCTTCCATATCCACGACCTATCAGGACATCACATCCGGTCTCCTCGGCCGTGCTTTGGATGAGGTAATGCACATCTGCATCCTTTTTATTTTCTACTCCTTTTTAAAAGTTTGAATCAGGTTAAATCATCTCTTTCACAGGTGCGACTGGCTTCCTCAGGGGATTTAAGAAACCTGCTGATGGGCAAGGCCACAGCAGCCTGGAGGTGAGCTCAGTCATTCTCTTTAATAAACTCATCCGAAATCATCGACCTTCAAGCCAAGCTCTAGAGATGAAAGCTGTGAAGTGAAAAGCTACCTAGAATTCCTAAAATCATAAATACCAATCATTTGCTGATATATTAAGTCTGTGTTTATTTAGGTACCAGGGAGAAGAACAAGGGGTCGAGGCTTACTACAAGCCCTCCTCCAGCCCGTCGGTCCATAGTTTCCTCGGAGCCGGGGAGCTGGACAGACCTCTGGACAGTCTGTGGACCACAATCTGCCAGCTGTCCAAGAGCCACGTGTATAATCAGTCGGTCCGTTCTGTGTGGACGCGACCACTAGATGACAGCACCCAGCTGGGTGAGCAACCATGTCTGCTTGGCCTCCTCGCAGATCCTTTACATTACAATAAAGCAAGCTTAGTCGAGAGGAATTCTTAAGTGGTTTTATTGTATGCCTTTTTATTTTTCTAATTCACAGCAATTCAGTGTAAATTTTGCTGATTTTATCTGACAAATATAGTTGCTAATTACTTTATATATTTGAGTTTACATTAAAACACTAAAACATACAACTAACTTGTATAACAATAATGTGTATTCATGGATTAACTATTGCTATAGTTGATCAATTGCAACCAATTCTGAATGTAATAATTTATTATCTGATATACTGTATTTTACAGTTTTCTGTACAGTGTTTATACATAATGTAAATTTTGCTCTTTCTACTCGCATACTACATGTTGGATGCAGTATCTTTACTTGCAATCTGAGTACTCACCACCTCTGGTTAGTACTCGGTTGCTCGGGTGCGAGATGATGAATAATAATGTTAACTTTAGTAGACCTGAAACATCAGAATGCAACACTCATCAAGGGAAGCAGCAGTCTATAAGACAAATGGATAGATAAATAGTAGTTATTTGCATTGTGAGCTGTGTGCGATGGAAGAGTTTACCTTGCAAATATTATTTGTATTGTTGCAAGTATATAAATAGAGAAAAGTTTTGTAATTTTTGTCTATGCTGCAAAACTAGTACTTTTGCAGGGTGTTCATGGATCCTGATGAGTCTGCATCCATTAGCTATGTATAGTACAGTACACAGTCACATTCATCACTGACTAGCTTAGTTAGTGCATCAGCTCCGCTCTCACACCTGCAGTACGTGACATTTAACACCTTTGCAACATCATCGGGTCTCATGTTTTTGTATCAGGGTTGAAATGTGCCTTTTTGTGATGGTAGAGAATTAAACAGCAACCTTGTTTAGCGAAACAGGTACATAGCAAATATTTTCTTTCATTTCCAGTATTTCATCCGCAATGTTTCTTATCTGACACATTGTCTTTGCATTCCTCTCCTCTAGTTTATGCACTAACTGATCCGTCCGCCTGCCACCTCAGCCAGCCGCGCGATTTCTGCTGCATCAGCACCGAGTCCAAACAGGTAAGCACAGCTGCGAAACCAACCGGCCGGCCCTGATGATTACTGCTTGTCGCCCTTGTATAAGCTCCACTGAGCATTTGAAGCGGGGCTGTTCACAAACTCACACTTCGGTTTCCACGGGAAAATTCTATTTACCGTCAAATTAGTGTATCAGGAAACCACGATCGGACGGCGCTGTCTTTTTTGATCAAGTTCAATTCATGGTACGGCGAGGAATTTAGTTGGTCATCCATAACATGTAGAACATGCCCACAGAAACAACGATGGGGGGGACAACACTGACCCGTGCAGTCTCCTCTCGGCAGATCAGAATGCCTCTTTTTTTAATTCTTTTTCTTTTGCCCTCTGCCTCAGGGGGGCTTGTGTGTGCTGGCAATGCAGTCTGTGTTCGAGGAGTCTCTTCCTCGTCCAAGTGTGGATGCCGTCCGCGGGGAGATGATGCCCAGTTGCTGGATCCTGCAGCCAATCGGACGTAGTGGACAGGAAGCCACCAGGGTCATTTACTTGCTACAGGTGAGCCTTTGTTGCTGTAAACATAATCCCAAATTACCGTATGACACGTGTGTGAAAACGGTCTTGGCGCGTTCAGAGAGGTCGGGAACATTACCAGTAACTTCTGTGCAACCTGCAAATTTGGCTGGAATCAAATCCAGCCGGTCGTTTTGATTGTAAAATCAAAAATTTGCAATCCACGATTTCTTGTATTTGATTTTTATTAAATACATTAATAAAAATCTGCTCCACTAGAAGTTGTAAAAGCATGATTTCTGCCAGGAACCATGTAAAGACATTATGAATCCCCATTGCTGGTCACATTCTTAGCAAATGAAAGAAAGGTCGCAGGTTGCAGGTCTACAGCGTATACATAAATACAAATATATATATATATATATATATATATATATATGGCATCTTGATCACTAAGGGACTTGTTACTGCGTGGGCTCACAAAGAGAGATGCCACCACAGTGATGTCGGTTTCTTCAATTCCACCTTCAACTGGGTTTGTCCTTGCAGTTTGTTGTTGCCAGGCAGCGCTGCATGTGAAAGCGGTCATGGTTTTCTAACTTTGTTCTTCCCCAGGTGGACTTAGGAACTCCATCCTTCCCTCACCGACTGTTGAGCACTGTTGCCAGGAGACATGCCGCTGTCATCGCCGATCTTGATGATTTCCTCGCCAAATCCACAGGACTCCAGGCGACGCATTAGCAGTGAGCACGCAGACTACACCGTCTCCAGCCTGGAGTTACTTTTTGAATTTGCCCCTGAGATTCATTTACTTGACTTTGTTTTGTTCTAAGAGCACTGATATATTGTTTCTCGGTCCCAAAGTTGAAGCAGCTTTTTTTTCTATATATTTATATCTATGAAGTTATTTTTTATAAAATACTGAGGCTGTGTTTTTTCTATTTGCGTTGTACATGACTACAGTCATAATCCTGTTGTACCAAAGAAGATTTAGCAGTCCAAGGAAATAACTTGCCACTATGCATTGGGTGCACTGCTCAATATTTAATTAACCAAGGCTACAAAGCCACCCCACCTAATCACTCATGTGACAAAATAGGTTTGAAATGATCAGACTATTTGGCATTTAGGTCCCTTAATGCCTTAATATAGGAATATGGTCTATTGATTCCCACCATATTAAGTTTAAGTTTACATCCAAATACATCTAATTCAACAAGGTCAACATGCTACCTAGAAAACCTTTTTAAAATCAAATCGAGTTGATCAGAGGATAACCCAAGGTTACACTGATTCAAAGTGTGTTTGATACGCGAGTGTGTTTACTTCTATCCATCTATCAAAGATGGATATCGAGATGCGGCTAGCGTTGTTGTCACAGTGACAGATTATACAAGAGGCAGTAACACTTTGTTCCGTGTCTGGCTCAAGCAGTTTTTGTAAATATTTGCATGTAAATGCTTTGTTTCAGCCTCCTTGGATCGAGGATGAGGGGGGTTTGCCAGAGATGACTATAAATTAAAGCTGGGACACTGAAGTACACACAGGGGAAAGATTTTGAAGGTCACTTGAGATGATTTTATGTGAATATCCACTGAGTTGACACCTGAGTGGTCCTGGTGAGGTGGACCACATCCAAAATATGAAGGAAATATTAGAAAATGCAGTTAACCCGTCACAAAACAACATTCAGAGCCCCGGGCAGGAAGTGAAACTACGGCAACAGCGCCCGTACGGCCCCCGTTGGATCGTTATCGCATGGAAGGAATCCCAAGAATGATTTCGCTTCTAATGTCATTTGAAAAGACTCTGCACCATTTTCTCCCGCTACAGGAACCAAAACCCTTTGAAAGCGGTTGAGTAGCAAAAGTGTATACTTATGTATACTATACTTTTGGGTATAAAAAGTCTGAGTAGCCAGATCATCTGTTCGGCAGAAGTGTCTCAGAGCAAGATGCTGAGGATCCAGAGATGTTGCTCTGTGGCCGACCCCCCCCCTCGTATGCATATTTGAAGCTGCAGCGAGACGCGGACATGAACACGGTACCCCGAATCTGTATAAGCTCCGTTTTAAGGCCTTTTGTTCTCACCTCTTTTTGAAGTATGTGGTATTTACTTTGTTCCACTCGCCTTTTATGCTTAGAACGCTGTTGATTTGTGTTTGTGTAGTCGTCATGGGGTTATTATTTTACGAGCAGTGCTGTTTTATTAATGTTACTTATTAAAAAGTGATTTGTTTGTGACGTACAGTGTTGAAGCTATGCAGCGGTGATCAAAGGCAGGACTGAGCTCGGCCGCGTCCTGAGATGAAGCCATATTATTTACAGTAGTTGAAGGTCCACAACTGTTTTGGCAGCAATCATATTGTGATTAAAGATCCAAAGAGGTAAAAGACACAAATACTGAAGACAGTGAGTGAAGGAACATAAAACAATTGTTTTATACAGAGTTCTTTTTTAAATGTCTATATATTTGTACGTGTTCATTTCATTTTGTAAAAAGCTTTGTTATTTATGTTTTGATGATGTGTTGTAAGTGTATCTTATTATAAACAACTTGCTTCCTGAATCTTATAAGATGTTATGTTGCCCGTGTGTTTGGCCGTTTTATACAAATACAAAACATATTTAAAGTGATTTGTTGTTTTATGCATTTTTTAATCCCCTGTTTGTGTGGCCTGCTGCCAGCACGGTCTTTAAGCATCTGCAGTGCCTGGGAATCTTAAATCTTCCTTAAATCATTTGCAATTAGACTAAGTAGACTTCAGAGAGTATTGAGCTTCTGTTCTCCAGACAGATTGACATCAGCATTAAAGATTCACTGTATCGAAAACTGCCAAGTACCAAAAAGTGACAGTGAATACTCAGATTTCAATCTTCTTTTTCCATTTTTCCGTTTATTCTTCAAAACGTCTTCAAAACGTCATTGTCTTCTTTTGACCAACATTATTTGTTATTTTGGGATCTAAACTTAAAAAATATCCAACCACTCATTCTAACTATGTGCCCCTTTTTTTATAATGTAGCTTTTTTTGTCCCTATAATCCACCATAACATAGTTTCATGTAAAAATCTAATAATGGACCAAATTATTTTATTCATACGTGTGTGTATATTTTATGGGGGAACTGTTTACAACTCCGACACCAATCCAAGGATCCAAACAATATGTATTTCAGAATGTGTTGGCCTGTGTTTCTTTTAAAGAAACACCGTATTCTGGTAAGTAAGTCAAATCAGTCACAAAAAAATACACTATTTCCTCATAAGTTGCAGAAGAACAGCGGTGTGATGCAGCATAAAATAACGGGTTAAAAATAGCTTTACTAAATGTACTTAATTCATTTTATATTTCTCCTTTCAGATGCTCTGACGTGTGTGTGGACTCTGGTGACGCTGATAGAACGTGAGGGTCTCCCTCCGCGCGCGGGCCTCACTTTCTCTGCGAGTGGCGCGCCTGATAACGTTTACGCACGCGCACGCACACATACACACACACACACACACACACACACACACACATACACACAGGTATTGAGTTGCATTTGTTACCACCAGCAGGGTCCCGGTGGGTGTTCTGTGTGTGATTAGAGTCCGGGGGTGTGGGGGGGCACACAACGCGCCACAAGTGTCTCTGGCACTCAAGAGTCAGCCGCTCTTGTCAGGAATGTCCGTCCCCTCGCGCGCGCGGATCATGTATGCGCCCGCTTTATTTTTAACCCGGCAGGGTGGGTCAGTCTGTGGCTGCCGGGAATGACCGTAGCCCCTCTCCCCTGGTCCGTACAGCCGTCCCCCACCCCCGTCCCCCCACCGCCCCCTCGCGCCCGCGCAGCACCGTGTCCGCCTCGCGCTGTGGAGATCGAACCTCGACCCCCTCCCGGCTGCTTCCATGGGATTCTAATTGGTTAGTTGGCAGGGAGAAGGCTCAAGGTAAACACTTTCGGACGGGACATCAACCAGAAGCAAGTAAGTGTAAAGTGAAAGCCGAGTTAGTTGTTTGTTAATTGAAATGATTAATCTTTGGCCAAATGGTTCCCGTCGGCGGTCACCGGACGGGGGCTCGTTCCGTTGGCCGCTGTTCTGCTGTTTGCGGTGCACTTAAAAAGTCTCCTCCGGTGCACCTGTTGGTCCGGGCCGCCCCGTTTCCCAAACGCGTTCACACTTAATTATGTTTTAAATGACGCGCTCTGCTATTAAAACGGCTCCTTTTTAACTCGAGTAGAACTTCGTTTCGGGGGTTATCAGATTGTCATCTTTTTGCGTGAAGTCGCTCGTTGGAAAATGCGCACTGTGACGTCACGGCGCATGTCCCGGCGTGCAAAAGTGCGCTCGCCAAAGGTTTTCCTCTGACCCTCAGTGGAGAAAGTATTTATTTACTTTATTCCAGTACAAGTGTGAGTGCTGCACTATAGAATGTACTACTATAGTATACACATACGTCCTTCAAAGTAAAAGTACACAATTAGTACCTACTTTAAAGTTCTATATTCAGAAAAAGGTTACACTACTATTACTTTGTTGGATTATTATTATTAACACTATTTGCTGTTACCTTTGCTATTATTACTGATCTGGTGGATGTTTTATTTGATATTTTAATCAGTAACAGTTTTTCATATTTTAAATGCCTGTCATTTATTTTTGTAGAATTACAATCTGTGAAGTAACAAAATCTGTCCAATGGATGTAGTGGAGTTAAAACCACAAAAGGCATATTTCCCTTTCCAATACAAAATGTGAATACTACTTCAAAGGATCCACTTATATTTCACCACTTATTGGAGCCTCGGCCCGGCATCAGGATTTCCTCTGCTTTTCTCTCGTCAAGCACCTAATGTAATAATAATAATAATAATGTGCTTATTCCGTGCTCGATGAGACGGGTCTGCTGGCCTCTGGAATAACGGCGAGCAGAAGAGACGCTCCCCCCTGGTTCCCCTTAAAAGGACAAGCGTGTGAGCGTGTCTCCATGTCTGGACCAGCCGCGACTTGTAAACACACTCTGAAAAACGGTTTACTATCGATTCATTATAACCCCGCTCAGCAATTGTTGCAGTCCCAACATCATTGACCACGACAAAGAAACGTTTTGTCCTCGCTGCTCGTGCTCATAATCAATATTCAGTATGGATTATGCTAAACAGAGCGGTTTCGTGGTCCATTCCCGGACAGTTTCTTTGCCATTTATTTTAGAAAAAAAGTAGTTTTTAGTTTGCTGCTATTGTCAGTTTGAGAAGATTTCCTTGAGCTCCAGATTTTGATATTCAATCAGTCCCCCCCGTCCCACTTCTCTCCTTCCTTATTGATCTCTGTCCACTTTGTATTTATGGCTCAGATTTACTCTCTGACGGACCACAAGCCTCCTTCTCCTCAGTCCAGTTGCCGCTACAGTGTCATTGTCTCCTAAGCGCCCGTCTCTCGTTTCACCGTCTTCATCTGACTCCGGGGGGAATGTTGTGCTCCCAGAATACTGTGATCAGTTTAATGTGCGATCTTCCCCCGGCTGCATGCGGACAACACAGGGGACTTCCAGCTGGGAGCCGTGTTTCCAGAGTTGTTGTTCACCTCCGGTGATGAGTTCACCGGTTTAAAACCTCATTCACACCTTTTAATAATTTCCTTTGCCACCTCTGACATCAGAAGACGTGTGGCATTATTCAAATGCTGCTTGAGATTTGATTAAAACACATTTAATCTGTCCGGTTTTTTATGAGGTCAAGCAGCGCTTGAATATCTGGAGGAATTTGAGCCGACTTTTTTAATCATCCCTCGTGGCATTCAGACAACTTCTGAAAGCACACGCAGCGCCTCTGAGTCATCGTGGTGAAATGTGCAGCCACACGAATGAGGAAATGCTGGCCCGCGTGCTGAGGTCTTTACGGAACGGTGATGGAAAGCAACACAGGAGGCTGCCAGCGTGTTACATATTGTGTTTTACAGGCCAATAAAAACTTAAGTGTCAAATCAAGGCCCAATAACAATGATAACATTACTTCTAATAAGATCACACCATGTAATTGATGACGTGAATTCAGACAAGTACAAACTAGGACATAGTTAGGGATTAGTTATTGATGAGCTACTTTGTTGACAGAATATTAATTCATTGTTGACAATTGTTGATGATTACTAGTAAGTAAAAAGTGGCACTTTTACTACTTTGAGTGGGTCTGTTGTTTCTACTTCATGACATTGTAAATGGCCTCTATGGTTATCGACGAGGAAACTACAAATACTTTACATAATTATTTGTATTATATTTTAACATTTTTCTGTTAGATACTCTTCACGTTGCATCAAATGTGATTGAGGTTAGTCAATGAGGAAAGTGATTTTTAGTTGCGGCTCTAATGGAAATTACTTTTTGATAATCGCTGCGTTTTCTTCACAGATCTATTTTGTACGCATTTGCATATGCGACAATTCCCCAGCGCTCTAATTATGTTCATTTCATTTCATCTTCAGACATTTATTCTGCATTACGGCAGCTTACGGCCCACAGGGTGACCTGCTGCGAGCGAGCCGCTGTCTCTCGCTCAAGGACGCCGCGAGAGGACACGTCCCTGTTGACAGGCACACGCACACGCACGTTGTTGTGGCAGGCGGCGAACTCTCCGTCACACGACGGTCTATAAGCAGTCAGAGGCCCGCTCGCCTTTTTAACGCGGCTCACAACGCCGCCCGGCCCCCGGCTCACACTCCTCACTTGATGCACTTTGCGTTTGGAGGCGTTCGGCCAGAGGTCAGCCCCTCGACGCCATCGCGCTCTCAGTCTTGTGGGTTCGTGCAGTTTGAGTGTGTTGACCGCGCACTGGTCCCGTCGGGGGTGGGTGCGCGAGGTGATAAGGGGATCCCCAGCAGTGGGTGGAGCATTCCCGCGCCGATAAGAGCCCTCTGCGGAGGACTGATACCGAGCAGGAGGAGGGAGACCTGTAGGGCGCACTCATTGTGCTGGCGCCTCTTTTCTCAATGCGCACCCAGTGGTGAAGTCAATCAGCGGTGATGGGACCTCATGCACTCCAGTACTGTACTTGAGTGCAATTTCAGGCCCCTTTTACTTTGCTTGTGTTCTTTTTCTTCTACTGCTGTGATAAAAGTCAGAGGCGGATATTCCACTATTAGTTACTTTGCATCCGTGTAAACTCAGACATATGTAGTTTTAGCGTCCTGACTAAAAAGAGTGACGAGACGTGTTCAGCAACTGTAGAACTGCCGCATGGCAACTCTTCCTTTATCTCCGGCTTGGTGTACAACATTTCAAACACAAGTTGTATTTCCCGCCTCATTTCACCTCATGGAAACACACTCACAGTCCAAACGGCGCGAGCTGCATCGTTCAAAAGAAGGCGGTGTGCAGGGAGGGGGGTGGGGGGGGGGGGTTGCCCTCCCACTGTCCACCATGATAAGAGAGCTATGCTGCACCCAGATAGACGGCTATCTGAGCCGCTTACCCGTCAACCCGCCATTCCACACACAGAGCACGCGGGCACGCTGCAGCGCCACCGTTGAGCCAAGGGACACGCACAAAATGGAGATTGTGAAGGTCGGCCGCAGGTTGTGGGGCCAATTTGAAAAGCTCGTGAAAATATACCTGCACCACAACTGAGATCAACGCTTTAGATTTCCCTGCCTGGTGTGCGTACTGCTCCTCCACTGGGGTTCGTAAAATTGAACACCAACACCAAATTTGATTTGGCTGCACTCATTTTTATTTCATTTTGTATCTGTTCAGGACAGGATTGATCCGTCCATAAAAGGGAGCAAAATCTGATTTTTTTGGCTGCATCCTCAAATGAATAAAATGAAATGCTGCCCCAATCGTTGCAGGTGTACCTGCCTGAAATATCCATTGTTATCTGATATGATCCTTCTTTAAAAAGAATAAATGACTAAAACACACATCTATAAATGAATAAACATTGTTCAAGGAGTCTCATCAAGACGTCTGCTCTGTTTTCAGAATACCTCCGGTGCTCCAGGTCCATCCCGCCGTTTGGTCCCCCGTCGACCCCCGACAGCCGGAGGACTCGGCCTCGCGTCGCCTTCCCCGCTGCCGCCATGACCTCCACCACGGACTTTGACAACGCGGAGATCTCGCAGCAGTACAGCCGCATCAACACGCGCTTCGACCTCGCCGACGAGGACCTCGACAACGACAACTGCTCCGCCCGGCTGTTTGAGCGCTCGCGCATCAAGGCCCTCGCAGGTGAGAGCACGCGTGGCGAACAGGCCGCACCCTCCCCGAAGGCGTTTGTGGGGCCACATTGTTGAGATGTGCGAAGGGCGGAGGGGTTAAGCTGTGGCGTCTTTGGCCGGTTTCAGTCAGTGACTGACCTTCACTCGCCAAAATCCCTCTCCAGTTGACCTTGATTTTTTTTCTCCAAAGCTCTCGGCTTGAGCTCTGCAGGTGTTGCGTGTGTGTACATGTTTCTCGTGGTGTCGACCCCCCCCGTCCCCCGTCCCCTCCCGGCAGCTGAGGCCTGACACCGCTCCGCACCCTCTGCGAGAAACTGGGATCGCTTGCACATTCCCAGAATGCCCAGCGTCTGACGGGTCCGGACAGCTGGCCGGCCGCCTGCCTCGCAGAGCACAGATCTGCGGCATTTTGAGGCGTAGCTGGTGAGCCGTCGGTCCACCTGTGGAGAGGCCGCCCGCGGGCTGGAAATAGCAGCGTTCCTGCGGCGGACGGAGGCGTGACAGAAACGCAGGGTTGAGGGTCGCACCGCGAATACTTTCCTAAGGCCGTAGTCAGAGAGGTCGGACACGGAGTGGGAATAGAGGAATCCGGCTCTGTGGAGACGGCACGGAGTTGTTTTCATGCTTGTTTGAATATTACACCAAAAAACAGTTGGTTTTTTTGATAACTTCTTTCATGAGAGATAAACTTGCTTTTCTACAAACGCCTTTCACCAGCTGTGACTCCCGTACAGAGTGTGTGTGTGTGTGTGTGTGTGTGTGCGTGTGCGTGTGCGTGTGTGCAGCAGTTTCTTTGCAGGTGTTTATATTTCTGTCTCAGGACGGGTTCTTTACATTTTTAGAGTTACTAAACTATCCAGTTTGAAGATGTTTTACGAGAGAAGGCGAGTTAAAGGTGGTGGAGTCTCTTGTTCAGTTTATTCACAGTTGATCTCAAACACTCAAACCTCAGGTTGAGGCAACAAACCTTCATAGTCAAGTTTAGGAAAAGATTGTTGTTTAGGTAAAATTAAGCCTGGAGTGGACGTAAATGTATCCTCTGTGCACCAAAAATGTATAAATCTGCAGTTGAAAATAGTCCCACTCAGAAAAACAATGTATACGTTTTAAGAAAGAAGCTTTATGGAAAAGCTATAAAAACTATATATAACTACATTAAAAAGAAATCAGTAGTGGTTGTTTTGGGGATTCCGGTGGTCATTAGTAGCTGAAGTGCTGGTCACAAGGATCATATTGACTGCTGTGGACAGCAAACATTCCTCAAGTAACTACTTTGCCACAGACTTTGAGACTTTGGGTGACAGCATCCCCACACAAACTATCATACTAAACCTGGTCATTTGTTAATCTACACAAATGAAACCTCATGTTTCTAGTGCTCACAATGTAAAGTGTCCTGCTAATTCCTCGTAGGAAATGTATACTTGGAGTATTGCATCAGTTCAGGTGCTGATGCTCTGCTTGCTTCATGCCTCATTGGTTCTTGCCTCCACCAGCGGACCAGCACCATCCAAGCATCTTCTAGGTGTAGCTCTGCACTTTCTCCCCATACGCTTTTTAGCATTGTTTACTTTACTGAGAATCATAATCTGCAGCTGAAATATCGCTGCGTGTTCAAGGATCCTTCTGGGTCGCAGCGACTCCCCAAACACCTTCGATCGCCTGTTCGATGCATCGTCCATTGATCGGGCCGCTGTCTGCCGACTCCTCGCGGAAGCACTCGCAGTCCAGCCAGTTTTATTCATTGCAGTATCAAACCTTACAGCAGGTGGTCGTTGCAGACGGAGGAAAGTGGTTCCTCCTCAAAGGGATGTGCTCTAAATGGCCAGTAACTCGCAGTATAAGTGTGTCTCCCGGAAATGGAGAAGCCGCCTGGTATCTATTCCCTGAAGAAGTGCCGTCCATAAATAGTATAAGAAATGGGGATTGATCTAATGAACGCGGGATTACGTGTCTGATCTGAACACCTGATGCCAGCTTTCAGTACTTGATGCTACACGCACATTTATGTCCATGAAGACACAATACTTTGTTGATTTGATATCCAGCCCAACGCCTGCATGGCATAACATTTTCCACAGCGTTTATTGGGCCGTGCCGTCACCGCTTGTCTTGCTGTCTCTTTAAGTGATGAAGGCTTGTGTGTGGGTGTGGGTGATATTGTGTTAGAGTGCTGCTGCACTGATGTTTCTGTAATGCAATCAGTGTTTCCTGTATGAGAGAGAGAGAGAGAGAGAGAGAGAGAGGCTGGTAACGAGAGCGGCTCTGAACGACGCCCGCTGCCGATTTACAGCTTGTGAATTCAGAAATATGAACCCATCTTGCCGTCAGAGCACTTACATGGCATATTGAACACCCATCCCTTTCACAGGCTTTGAGATAGACGGTTTGAAGTTGTATTATGGGCACAGGAATCACACTTCACATTAAGTGATGTCACGACTGAGTGGGAGTGCTGCGTAGAGGGAGCACGTGGACGTAATGAAACACATTGTATGCATGGATGGGGCTAAAGAAACCACTCTGATGTGAACCGATGGCTGCCAGAGAGTGGAGGCAAAGCATCATCGCGAGGAGAGAGTGAGAAAGAAAGAAGGAGGGAGGGAGGGAGGAAGGGAGGAAGGGAGGGAGGGAGCAGGAGTGAACACGGGAGAGATCTGGAAAGGAGGACAGAGAGCCAAGAGACAGAGAAGAGGAGAGACGCGGAGTGCCAAGCTCCTCTGCCGGCTCCAGGCGGTGGCGGTGTTGTTGTTGTTGTTGTTGTTTTGGGGGGTGTGGGGACGGGGGTCAAGATGAGCAGCCCGTGCCTGCTGCGCGCGGCCCCTATCAGCCAACCCCGGCTCCGGGAGGTCAAGATCAGCCTGAAGGCCAGCACCCGGGAGTCCACGTCCGTCCGGAGCAGCACCGGCGGGGGGACCAAGGAGAAGGAGGCCCCGGTTCGGCTCGCCGTGAGCGTCAGCCGGAGCAGGAGCACCCCGCCGGTCCACCGGACCCAGAGGGCCGAAGGCAGGAAGACGGCGAGGGGAAGCAGCAGCGGCGGCGGCGGCGGCAGGAAGCAGCAGGAGCCCGAACGCCAGCAGGAGCGGAACGGCACCCTCCTGCACATCCCCGTCGCCGCGGCACCCGTGAGACTCTCCCCCTTCTCTACGTCCTCCTCCTCGTCCTCCTCCTGCACCCCCAGACGCCAGCGGCCCTCTCACCCCCAGCCTCCCCCCGCCCTCCTCCTCTCCTCCTCCTCCTCCTCCTCTTCGTCTAAAAGTATGAAGCGGGCTCGCTGGCTGAGTTACAGCACCTCCAACATCTGTTTCAACTCCATCCTGGATGGACGCTTCAGACAGCTGCAAGGTACAGGGTCCTGACGGAACAGCTGTGTGTGGTTCTTGTGATAGTTTGTCCCCCCCCCCCCCCCCTTTGATGAGACAGATGACACTTTTTCCCCATCGGGCCCCTTCCGTCCCCAAATGGTGATTGTGTGGGAAGCGGGACGGGATCGCGGGGAGCTCGAGCCGTGATGTGAGCCTCGTTAGTTTGTCATCCCGTTTGCGGGGAGCAGTGAACAGCCGGCGGCAAACACAGTGTGAGCTTTCCGAAGAGAAGAGGCGTTCCTTTGATTGAACGTATAGGGCGGTCATTTATTATTTCCGGGAAGCCGTGCCTCTGCCCCAATTGTTCACTGACTTGCCTTTGAATAATTCGTGGGGCAAACTCCTTAAAAAAGGTTGTGATGTTTTCCTCTCCAAAGGTAGCGTCGTGCCCTCTTAGGCGCCCCGTTTTCTTAAAACACCAAGAATGTTCATCATTCTGTCTTGTCCCTGATACTCTGCATGGCCCTCACCCTGCACAAACTGTGCACAAAGAACAAAGCGCAACTGTGTTTTCATCCTGAGCTTCTTTTCTACCTGAACGATTGCGTTGGAGGTGTTAAAAACAGAATGAATTTCTCTGGCGGTTTAAAGTATGTTACTGAGGTTTGGAGTTAGAGGTTTGCCGTCAGGGTGGATTTTCGTTGGCTTGCACGATGCCGTCCGACTCCCCGATGACGGGGGTGCATTAAGCGTGAGGACGAAGCAGAAGGAGACGGTGCAGGAACAGAGAGGGGAAACGTGCTTTTTTTTTTTCTTTCCTTCCTCTGCTAGAAGTATAGAACGATTCTGCAGAGTCGACCGCCACGTGAAGCGGGAAACTCCCGGAGCTCTATACCAAATTGGAGTGGTCGTCCGGTGCCAAGTGTATTGATCCACCAATGCGCGACATGGACGTTATTTACCTTTTCTTTACCCGTGCTTAGTGAGATCCGGTCAACACTGCAGCAGAATGAAGTTGGACAGAACAACAGGACGAGAAAAACACGACTAATGAATAGATGAGAACAGCCTGTGCTTTGCGCTCATTGATTTAAACCTTTCATCTATTTTCTTGAGTCTGACACACTTGTACTTTCATGGTTGCATGAGAAGGGGTTCATCCGTTCTGCCTGGTTGTTTTTTTGTGACATGTTGACCTTTAACCTTTTTGGCTTACCAAGTTAGAATTGCAATACCTTCACTCTCAAGATTTTAGGCCCTGGATTGTGTGTTTTCTATTAAAAACGACGGTCTGCACTAATTTGAAAGTTTTGCAATTCCTTTGTATCTTTTTTTATAAAAGAGGACTTGTAGGACTAATGATCGGTTTTCATTATTTTCAAACTTTTCAAGAGTTTTCAGCTCCAACTGACTCAAGTGACATAATTTGAGTTTGTCATATTTCACTCAGCTTCTTCTAAAGATCCAAAACCGTAATACAACTTTTTTCACATTTGCAAAAGTGGAGCTCAACTTTAATCCCTGCAAGTCAAAATACCAGTATGTTGCCTTTAATGTTTATTCTGATGTTTTTAGCTGTTGCAGAATCCATTTTGCAGCCTCTTCATCTTGTCTTGTGCTAAAAGCACAGGTAGCCGAGGCACTGCCGTGACTCAAGCAGCCTGTGACAAGGTTCCACGGGACCCACAGGGCCACATCCAGCAGGAGCTGACTGTGGGAAAAGACGGATCAGGCAGCATACAGGGCAAATCCATCTGCATGAATAAGTCATTGGGCTTTTTGCTGGAGTCCGAAAGTGGATGAGGGCTTACACAGTAAAAGCATGTGCAACAGAGGAATGTTTAGTAAAGCTGGCATTGATACGCAGAGAGAAGAAGTCGCAAAGAGAAAGCAGCAAAACCGTGTCGGGAAAGTTGGAAACGACTGCTGCACTCGCGCCAAAGATATTTAATTCATGTGAAAAGGCTGTGGGACAATGGATGCTTCTGATGCAGTACAAACAAACATGAGACATACAGTGAAGTTGTGGTCACACCACCGTATGAAATATTCCTGCTCAGGCCTCCGTTTCAATTCTGCCCTCAATGAAGGAAAAACCATAAAATAAATAAAATATATTTGTTGCTTTTATTTATTTATCATTTGAGCTAAATAATAAATCATTATAATCACTATAAGTTTTATTGGGTTTGACGTGTCCTCCTCATTATTCCAATAATAAACAATCCCCTGAGGCTCGGCAGCGAGGTAATGCACAGAGCTGTTGTCACATCGAGCTCGCTGAACTGCAGACGGCTCGGCGGGACGCAGGCAGGCAGCCCCCCTCCCCCCAAAACCACACTCTGGGGTCCCCGTGCCTTACTAAGAGGCCACGGGCACCTTCGGCACTGAGGGGGCACCCCGAATAGTTCAGAGAGCATCGCTCACAACGAGCGGATCCCGATGTAAATCAGCGCTGACACTGCAGTTGGAGCATTAAGTTATTTGCAGGATTTTAATTGGCATCACTTTTTCACGAGGTGGAAATCCGTGAAGACGTAGCAGAGTGCGCTGTTGTTCTTCTGCTGAGGGGGGGGGGGGGCAGAAAAAGCATGATTTATTTACTGTACTCAGCTGCACTGCATGTGTTTTACATGCGACGATCCCTGGTTTCTTCTCCTTGAGGCTGGAATGAATGGAGCTGGAGCTTTTCCGGGTTGCTCACTGTCATTTTGTCATTTCTTGTTCTATTTCTCCAAATTCAACCTCAAAGTTTCTCTCTTTATTCCTTTCTTGCTGATCCATCCTGCCCTCCATTGCCTACAGCCTTTTTACCCCCCTTCTATTCTTCTTCACCTTTACCCTAGTGTCTCCTACCTCCTCACTCTGCTTCATTGTCTCCTTAACCTTTACTCCAGTGTCTCCAACTCCTTCTCTCTCTTTCCTTTTCTCCCTCTTCTGTTCCTCCTCTTACGCTTGTTCTCCACAGCCTCGGGGCCTGAATCATTTATTACACACGACACTCAGGACGCGGTCCTTTGCACTATAGTTTGAAGTCATATCTGGGTTGAGGAATAAGGGGGCGAGCTGTAGCAGGCGGAGCGAGGGGGAAGTCAGGCGCTGCGTGGTGGGACGCCTCGGCAGCGGTTGACCCGATAAACGTTGAGGAGCAGCGAGCCTGTGCGGCCACGGGGAGAGCGAGTAGGTTCCATCCGGTAGTCAACTCATTCGTTCGTCCCTGCCACAGATTATTGTAGGACGCTCTCCTCGTACAGCTTTGATTCGGCCACATCGAGTGATGATTGTTGTGATATGATGAATAATTTGGTCTGCGAAATTTACGCAAGTTGTTACAAATGCGTTAAAAGTGTCCAGACAATGTCGATATCAACGACTGAAAAAAACATTAAATCTCCAAACGAGAAATTAGTTAATTATATTAGTTGATTAATCAAGTCACAAATAGTTTCAGCTCTAATATCAATAATATCAAAAAACTGCTTGAATGAAAGTGCAGACAATTATTAAACACTAAGAAAGTTATGAGTTGTATGACAGTTTTCTGCATCTTTTGCATTTTATCTTCCCCAAGTAACATTGTTTATGATGGTTTAGTTGTAATTGAGAAACAAAGATTCAACATAGTAGTAGAAACCAAATTAACTCAGTTTTAATTTAACTATTTACATATTTTAATGATACATCCATTTAAGAATATTAAAATAATGGCTGTTATAAGTTTATTGCAGATATTTAGCTGTTTAAGGGTAGTTTACAAATCGTGCTGCTGCTCCATATTTTGTTCAGCGAGATGCACACATTGATCTGATTACACAATGTCCTTTATATTCTGTGCTTGACTTGTAATAAAGATGTTAATCACGCAGGGGATTTTAAATGCTTACTTGACGTAGGTACAACCCCCAACCGCACGCACACCACCCCCGATGCCATTCACATTAAGCGTGTCCACCATCAAAACAAACAGTGGATAGTACATTGGGTCACGCTGACATGTGGTCCCATCAAAATCGGTTTTATTTTTGCCGTTGAGTAGGAGGCACATCTGCCAAGCGCTGAGGTGTCGTCTCCAAGCCTGAGCCCGGCAGAATGTGTCACCATGTGGGCGGCGCCCATCCTCCCAAAAAAGGTCTGACACTCGTAGTATCCGCTTCCGTCACTCCTGAGATCTCAAGCAAAGTGTCAGGACATATGCATATATACTGCAATATTCTGTATATACATTGTGTTTATTTGTTTATTTGATATGCGTGTGACGTTACTGTGCAGCGCCACAGATTTATGGATTAGAATAGATTAGATGCTACTTGCAAATACAGTTTGAATAACGCAACCAGATCTTGACCAGATCTGTTTTTTGACTCGTTTTTAAGTTTAAGTCATGGATAATGAAAGATTATCGGCCAAGGGCCCGTAGTGAGGCCGGGCAATAATCCAGTGTGATAATTCATCTTCCCTCAAAAGACTCAAATGGTGAGAAACTTAAATAAATCAACTCAGATTTCAATCGACCAACTGTGTCAATCTGAGTACAATGTAATGTGTGTCAACAAAGTCAATGTATAGCTGGACATATTTGTGCATTTTTCTCTTTATAGTTTTGCATTGTGCAATATTACGGCTGCACAGGATGAGGGGGATACAGTTATAGTAACGTAAGAACAGAGGAACAGCTCTGCTTTAAGAAACACATCATGTCCTTTGATGGCTTTGTACGTACTTTATGTATTCATATCTGTGCAGGAGCTGCTGTGTCAGACCGCTTCTTATCATCTCCACCGCAAAAACCAAATACTCTTGTTAAGGTGCTGCTTCTGAACCCACAGCAGCAACTCAGAGTTGTAGCTTGTATCCTAAATGCCTGCGGGGGCGTCTTGGTGGAGTAGTCGGGGCCCTTCAGGGGCCCGTTGTCTCCTAATCACTCCATGGTTTTGGTAATCATATTTCTTGGAGGCAGCACTGATGTCAAGTTAGAAATACTATTAACGGGTGAGCGGGATTAAATGAGCGCGGCCACAGAATAATTTTAGATGTTATGTTTCTGCTGCCACCAAAGCTCACTGGCCAATACAGATAACCGTGTACATCCAGGCTGTATTTTCTCAGCAAGCGGCGGGAGGACACAGCTTAACTCTGCACTGAGGATTAATTTAACCAGTAAGATTTCTCTGTTTCCACAGTAAATTCAACTTAGGGTCCACCATGTGAAGAGCCCTTGAGCGGGACAGTTAATCCCCACCAGCTCCAGTGGTGCTGTTCTGTATATGTGGAGTTATTTCATTATTCATGGAGCTCATGTTTCTTTCCTCCCTTTAACTTCCTCCTCCCTATAGATGAGCGTGAGGCGGTTCAGAAGAAGACCTTCACTAAATGGGTCAACTCAATCTTGTCCCGGGTCGGCTGTCGCATCTCTGACCTCTACCTGGACCTGCGGGACGGGCGCATGCTCATTAAACTGCTGGAGGTGCTGTCCGGCGAACGACTGGTAAGAAGCCCGACCAGCCCAGTCTTACATTTTGTTTTTGCTTTTTCTCCTTTTTTACTCTTTGTACCATCTCGCCTTTCTAATGTTCCCTGCCTGTGTTTTCTCTCTTTAGCCGAAACCCACCAAGGGCCGAATGCGTATCCACTGTTTGGAGAATGTTGACAAGGCTCTGCAGTTCCTCAAAGAGCAGAGGGTCCACCTGGAGAACATGGGCTCCCACGACATCGTCGACGGCAACCACCGCCTCATCCTCGGCCTCATCTGGACCATCATCCTTCGCTTCCAGGTGAACTGGCTTCGCTGAACGCTCGTGTTTTGCTTTGCTTCCTTACTTCTCCTGATTTGGTTCCCTCAATGGCTGGAGGTGGTGAAATAAAACTATATAATGTCGCACATCCTTTTAACCGCTAAATATTCAGTACATTGATATGTTTTAAGTTGTGGAAAAAAAGTTTACTTATTTTTAATTGCAACCATTGAGCTTCTTAAACTCTTAATTAATTATCGTCTGTTGCAGAATGATATAAAAGTACAATACTCAGCTGTTCAAATATAAACATGCATACGTGCAAAATGGCTATTAATCCAAATCAACAACCCTCATTGAGCAAAAAACGGACAGAACATAAATGTAGGTATATAAATATAACAGTAAAAGTGCCTGATGTGTGCCTGATGTGTGCCGTGGGGGCCAGAGATCTGCTGCACAGCTTTCCGGGATGCCGCAGTCATGATTTGGGCGAAGCAGCCTATCTGCGGCTACAAGCAGCAGCTCCAACGCAGTGAACCGCAACCCCGGCACCGCCAGCAGTCGCTGGTGTAGTTTACATCCGCTCATGTCCTCTGTGGGTGTGGCTCGCCAAAGGGGGCGTGTCTGCAGAACATGGCTCGTCATCTCCCGTTCAGTGGGGAGGTAATGTGCGGCAACAGCTGGAGCTTCGCGCGGCGACATCCAGCTGTCCGCTGTCATGACGACAGCGGCGGGCTGCTCCGGACGCGCGGCTTTTGGCTTTCTTCCCCTCAGGAGGGCCGTAGCGTCCGGCTGAAACGGGCTGGAGGAGGAGCACGGTCCCGGGGCTCAGTAACAGCCAGCATGTCCGTGAAGCTGCCGCGCGTTTCGCCGCAGCGCAGCCCGTCATGTGCGCACGCTGTCAATGTTCCGCGCCGCGCCGCTCGCGACTGCGCGGACGGTTTGTGGCGCGTGCGCCGCTCTTGGTGTTTTCTTTACTGCTCGTGGTGAGCTAGGTTAGGTTAGCCACAGACGTGTGTGTGGGTTAGCGCAAAGAAACGTGCCTCACCGGAGTGCGATGTTATTCTTCCGCGGTGGGCGTGTCTGCGCGCACGCTGCCTGCACGTCGCGTGGGTTTAATACAGACAAAACGTGTGTGTTTATAAATGATATATAGACCCACACATTCTCTCATTCTATTCAATGAGAAAATGTTTCCAAACGTTTCACTGGTACTGTACGTGTGTGTGTGTGTGTGTGTGTGTGTGTGTGTGTACATATATAAATGCGTATGTATATATTTATTAACAGTGAAATGTGTGTGTGTTCATGCCAAACAGAAAACCTTGCGTATTGTCAGAGCCCATGTTTTATATGTGTGCGGTTATGGCTTACATCTAAAAATGTGACCATTACATTTCTGTTCTTTAAAACGTATTAACTTATATGTATCACAGTCCTCAAGTCTTTGCATCCTGGACCACAGTTAAAATATGAGTGTAATAGTTATTATGACTATGCTACTATAGACACTTGTATAAATTAAAATAATGTACATCGACACTTGTTTTATTTACGTTTATATGTTAAAGCGTCTGTCTTTGAGAAACAGTTCTAACTAGCAGACTTGGGATGTTATTCTGCTTTATTTTTCTGAGCCATCATTATCTGCTGGAAGAAGCACTTCCAGAACATCAGAACATTTTTATTTGACTGTTTTATCTTCCTGGAGGGGGCATATATTTATTTTTAATTTGACAGCAGCATCGATATTTTTAGAAACGTTAGTTCAAACAATATGGCCTCCTGCATTATTCAGCCTTTTCAAACAAAAAGAAAAGAAAAGGGAATGAATTGACTTGGCCCTGTCTATATTTTCAGTCTTTATAAAGCAAGGAGAACCAAAGCTGGCTAAATTTAGATCTCTCTCTCAGGGCCTGTCTCTCAGATCACATCACTGCTCTAATTACTAGTCCATTGTGTGGGACAATAAGAACTTCGATAATTACCACCCCACCTCCAATCGACTGGATCTTTGCTTTAGATTTGTATGAATCTAGATGGCTAATAAAATAGATTTATCACTGCATACGTTTTTAAACCTACTCGTATGGCTGTAAGCTATAATACATCATTCATTACAAAGAGGTATTTGTGGCACTTTGCCAACAATGTTTCCCTCCTGCTGCATCCGAGTAGCGTCACGTTAGGTTTTTTGTTCTGTTTGCGGTGAATTGTTCTTGTCTGATTGCAAACCTCACAGTCATTAGTTACGTTTCATTATTCATCATCCAGCTGTGCTTGTTGTTTTTGATCAGATCCAGGACATTATTGTGGAAACGGGCCAGGCGGACCAGAAAGAGACGCGCTCGGCCAAGGACGCTCTTCTTCTGTGGTGTCAGATGAAAACCGCAGGGTGAGTGAAATTTGTGAACTCCAGCATTCCCAAGCTGCTGTTAATAACCTTTGGGAATCAGTACGGGAATCAACTCTGCACAGCGGTTCATCTTTTAGTCAAAGATATTCTTTTGTGTCTACTCAGTGCTTTTACTGTTCCTGTTTAAATAATTCATTTGTTACGTAAAGCATATTCGAGGACTTGAAAAGTGCTTTATAGAAAACATTTGTCCACTATTTTTATTATTTATGTTTTAAATGTTTGAAAGTGGGTTCGCTGAAATAAAATTATATATACTTTAAGTTGGCAAGCAGTCTTGATGGGAAGATCCAATATAATTAAAACCACCGTCTAGGTGACTTACTGAATATATTTAATAACAATCATAAATAAATCTTGATCAAGGAATAGTTTTATTTGGAAAATATCATTTCTTGCTTTCGTTGCAAACAGTTTGTTGAGAAGATAAACTAGGTTAGCTTAGCTTAGCATAAAGACTAGAAACAATGGCAAACGGCTGTCAAAAGATAACAAAATCCACCCAACAGCACCTCTAAAACTCACTAATCAGTGTCACCATGTGTCATTTGTAGTAAATGAGGCTGTGGATTCATATTTACCATAATAGCTATGAGAATGATATTGATCTTCACATTTAACTTTTTGCAAGAAGGCCAAGCAGATACACTATTATCTAAGGCAATAGGCCGTCATTTAAAGTGTTGGGATTTTCAGGCATTCGGACATTCATGTGTGATCTTTTGAGCGAATCCCCAAACGTCCCTGTATGTCTGACGCTGCTCGAGCCGCATGGCGGAGAAAGCAAAGCTTGCTGCACATGTCGAGAACAAGAAGAACGGATCCCAGACGTTGATTTAAAACAGGTGCTTCCCGGCGATGTCCCTTATGTTCAGTCAATGACGTCCTCTGCTTGTTGTTTTGCAGATATCCCAATGTCAACATCACAAATTTCACCACCAGCTGGAAAGACGGCATGGCCTTCAACGCTCTCATACACAAACACCGGTAAGAGGAGACGAATGGCCAAATCCACTCTCACCAGCGTTGCAATGTAAACACTCATGCGGCCCGTCTGTTCAATGTCCTCCCTCCTCATTCTACGTCATCTCTCTCGCTGTCTCACTTTCCCTCTTTTCCTCTTTTGCTCCATCTTTCCCTCTCAGGCCAGATCTGCTGGATTACAACAATCTGAAGAGGTCAAACCCGACCCACAACCTGCACAGCGCCTTCAACGTAGCAGAGCAGCAGCTTGGCGTGACCAAGCTGCTGGACCCCGAAGGCGAGTGACCCGACGGAGGCTGTTCCTTGTGTTTATGAGCTTTAAGCCCGGTGGAGAAAAAAAAAGACCTCTGCACCAGATATGGTCTCCGGCTGGGCTGCGACTGACTCCGCTGCCGTTTTGTTTTGTAGATGTGTTCACAGAGAACCCGGACGAGAAGTCGATCATCACGTACGTGGTGGCATTTTACCACTACTTCTCGAAGATGAAGCAGCTCGCCGTCGAGGGCAAGCGAGTCGGAAAGGTGAGGCGGGGGAGACGACGACACTTGTGACCGAGCCGTCGAGGCGACAACTGCTCCTGCCGCTCTGATCGCGTTTGACCGCCTCTCCCCTCAGGTTCTGGATCACGCCATCGAGACGGAGAAGATGATCGATAAGTACGAGACTCTGGCGTCAGACCTGCTGCCGTGGATCGAGCAGACCATCGTCGTGCTGAACAACCGGAAACTCGCCAACTCGCTGAGCGGAGTCCAGCAGCAGCTTCAGGCCTTCAACACGTACCGCACGGTGGAGAAGCCGCCCAAGTGAGTGGAGCCGAGACACGACGGCCGCACACACTCTGTTCTGTTTCTACCCTGCCTCTCTTTGTGCAGCACTCTGACAACAGAAACACAACTTCCAGTTGTTCCAATAACAAACAACAAGAGACATAGAATAACTACACAAAAAACACACAGATTGCAATTCAATAACACTTTGTCAAACGTCTTTTAGAAAGAACCCCAAACTTTCTCATGTAGCGCAAGTGTGCCATTTACTGATTGCCTGACGTCATAGCAGATCTGTGATTATTAATTTAGGTTTTGCAAGAATTCTATGTAGTATTTTTGTGTGTAAGATATGTTCATTAACACTTTTCTTCCTGCCAGCCAAGTTTAATTTAAATTATTGTTAAGAAAATTATTAATTTTAAATTAATTCAAACTTTCACTTGAAACCAATTCAAATTTTTTCTATACATTCTTTATGATATTAACCATTTACAGTAATATGTTTTTGTAAACATTTTCAATTTTATGTTTTGTATTGATTTTGGTTGTCATCCATAGATCAACAAAAGAAAATAAAAAATGTTAAACATGTTACTAATCAAACATCACTATATAAGTGAGCACAATCACAGTGGGTGTAATATTATTAACAGTATGATTAGACATTAGATAAGACTTTAAGTTGAGATGGATGTGGTTATACCTTAGTTTGGGCATCAGAAGAGAGCTCTTCCCTAAATGTAAAGACATAAAGTGTACAACTCATTGGTACCTTTTTGTGAAACTTTCTTTTTTGTCTCAGGTTCCAAGAGAAGGGAAACCTCGAAGTGCTGCTTTTCACCATCCAGAGTCGTATGAGGGCCAACAACCAGAGGGTCTACACGCCCAAAGAAGGAGCCCTGGTCGCAGACATTAACAGGGTGAGAAGGTTTTTGTTCTTGTTCGATTCATTATATTTTTACAAAGACATCCTCAGAATAAAAAAAATGAATCAAATAAACTAGGTGATTAAAAAAATAAAAAATGTAGTTGATTATCAGTTAGTAGATAGACGGCAACAAATTAATCATTTGAGTATTTCATCACGCAAATATATTCAACATTATCTGCATGCAGTTTTTAAGAATTGCTGATGCGTTACATCATCTTCATCTTTATGGATGGAGATCAGGAAAATAACTTGTTAACTGGGACTAGGAAGCATCACATGTTTATGCCCCCATCACACCGTGCAGGCCTGGGAGCGCCTGGAGAAGGCGGAGCACGATAGGGAGCGCGTCCTGAGAGACGAGCTGATCAGACAGGAGAAGCTGGAACAGATGGCGAGAAGATTCGACAGGAAGGCTGCCATGAGGGAGACCTGGCTCCTGGAGAACCAGAGGCTAGTGGCTCAGGTGAAACATCCACAACACAACTACACACCTTATATGAAGCTGGTGGCTGACATCGGCTCTGAGGTGTCTCTGGACTCTTTTAAAACTGGCCTGAAAACCTTTTTAATAAGGCGTTTTTAAGAAGGCGTTTTTTTACTCTATCTTAAGTTTATTTTTACTTCCCCTATAGCTTTTACTTTATTTTTAACTAGGTTTTATCTTGAAAAGCATTGACGTCAATCAGGCTGCCCCATTAAATTCATTTACAGGTACAGTTTTACAGATTCCTCGTAAATGGTTGATGCAGCAGGTTTATTTTCCCAAACCTAATTATTGTTGATGAGAGTTAAACAACAGACAGGATGCCACAACAAAAATCAGAAAGGTGACAAAAAATAAAAAAGTAGCTCAGAGAAGTTAGAACAAAATAGATATTTAGCATTTACAAAATGATCTTAACTTAAAATCATCACAAGAATCAGCTCTATTTACGTTTCATCCACATGTTGTGGAGGATGCACATTCATTCAATGGGTTCCCATTGTTGCACTGACCTACAGGGGGTGCTAATAAAATAAATACATGTATGTAAATGTTCTAATTTTAAAATATCTTATAATAATTCAGCTTACATGTGAAAATGCAACATAATAAATACTAGTTAAAATACTCTGAGTGCAATCAAAGTATTGTTCTTATTGTTGTTGTTGTTATTATTATAATGCTATGATGTATAATAATAATAATAATGACTACTTCTTGACCAGGATAACTTTGGTTACGACCTGCCAGCAGTGGAGGCAGCGAAGAAGAAGCACGATGCAATCGAGACGGACATCTCTGCGTATGAGGAGCGTGTTCAGGTCCTGGTGGACATCTCGAAGGAGCTGGAGTCCGAGCGCTACCACGACGCCAAACGCGTCGACGTGCGGAAAGACAACATCCTGCGCCTGTGGGACTACCTGCAGGAGCTGCTGAAGGCTCGCAGGGCGCGTCTGGATAAGAACCTGACCCTGCAGAGGCTCTTCCAGGAGATGCTGTACATCATCAGCTGGATGGATGACATGAAGGTTCGGCACACGGGGAATCGCCCTGCAACCATGCCGCTTGTTTTCCAGACACCGAACTGATCACATTGCTCTTTCCTCATGTCCTCAGGCTCGACTGCTGTCTCCGGACTTTGGCAAACACTTGTTGGAAGTTGAGGATTTGTTGCAGAAACACACTTTGTTAGAGAACGACATCGCGCTGCAGGCGGAGAGGGTGCACGGCGCCAGCGCTGCGGCTCTCAAGTTCGCCAACGGAGATAGTAAGTGCTGGAGGTCATCGACACTACATGGATACCAGGGCACGAACTGTCTGTCTGGATGCTCCGTCTGTCTGGGCTGGTTTACGAACTCTTATGATCTGGACATTGGTTGGTTGTTTCTTTACACATTAAGGAATTAATGAACTTTTATGAAATAAAATTGGAGTAACTGTCCGTTTGAAAAGGCTAACAAACAGTACTTACATGTCAACAAAGTCATTTTATTTACACCGGCACTAAAAGTACATTAAGTGCTTTAATATGAATGTTACTTCATTTTAAAAGATCTGCTCTATTTCAGACTGTCAATATGTTATTACATTTCTGTATACTGACTCTTAACTTCCTCCCCAGGCTACAAGCCGTGTGATCCTCAGGTGATCCGGGACAGGGTGCAGCACCTGGACTTGTGCTACCAGGAGCTCTGCGCCCTGGCGGCCCAGCGAAGAGCTCGCTTGGACCAGTCTCGCCTCTTCTGGAACTTCCTGTGGGAGGTGGCGGAGCTGGAGAGCTGGATTAGAGAGAAGGAGCACATTTTCTCCTCCCTGGATTATGGCAAGGACCTGACGAGCGTGCTGGTGCTCCAGAGCAAACACAGCGCCTTCGAGGACGAGCTCGGCGCCCGCCGCGCCAACCTGGACCAGGTGCTGGCCGCCGGCGATAAGATGATCCAGGCCAAGCACTTTGGCTCCCCAAAGGTTCAGGAGTGCATGCACGACATCAGCAGGCAGTGGCAGCAGCTGGAGGAGCTGGCCGCGTTTCGGAAGCAGAGCCTCCAGGACACCCACAAGTTCTTCCAGTTTCAGGGAGACGCCGATGAATTCAAGGCCTGGCTGCTGGACGCCAAGAGGCAGATGAGCAGCGATGACATGGGCCACGACGAGTACACCACCCACCGGCTACTGAACAAGCACAAGCACCTGAAGAATGAAACCATCAAGAACGGAGCCACCATCGACGCTCTATCCAAGCAGGCCAACGCGCTGCCGGAGGAGCTCCAAAACACCCCTGATATCCAGAGACGCCTGAAGGACATCAAGGACCTTTACATGGAGCTCATGTCGCTGGCTGACCTGAGACAGAAGAAGCTGGATGACGCCATGGCCCTGTACACCATCTTCAGCGAGACGGACGCTTGTGAGCTTTGGATGGGTCAGAAGGAGACGTGGTTGGTGGGTTTAGAGGTGCCTGAGAAGCTGGAGGACCTGGAAGTAGTGCAGAATAGGTAAACGGAACCAAATCTGTTTAATGTCGTAATTCATAAATTACGACATGTGGGAAACGATGCTCGTTACTTTTTAATTTTGACAAACTCTGTCCTTGTTTATTAGGTTGAGCATTCTGGCTCAAGATATGGCGAATGTTCAGTCGAGGGTTGATGACGTCAATAAAGCGGTGAAACAGCTGGAGGACAGCAGACACCCTCGCACAAAAGAGGTCAAAGAATGTCAGTTGCGACTGAATAAGAGGTGCGTATATTTTCTATTCATTATGAGTTTCATAAAAACAATACATTTCTAACTCGTCAGGCGGTGTGACATCTGAAACACATCAAGCATTCATTTTTATGAATTTGCTTTTGTTGGCCCTGTGACATATAAAAATGGTCCATAACTTTTAGGTCACCTGGAAAGAAGTTAGTAACTTAGCACTAATTATATCTAGAATAGAGACAGTTCTCAGTCAGTAGAACAGTAGAACTTGACATGTAGAAATGGGAAGTTTATCTAAATCGTTATCTTAATAAAAAAAAAACTCTGTAAAAGAGGTGTATTTAAAAGGCTCTCTGCCAGGTGTAAAACGTAACTCAAACTAGTGATGCAATCGTTCTCTTTCAGGTGGGAGGCCTTCAAGGCCTTGGTGGAGGACAAGAAGAGGAAAGTGGATTCTGCCGTCAGTCTCAACAACTACGGGCTGGAATGTGACGAGACAGAGACCTGGATCAGAGACAAGACGCGGGTGATCGAGTCCACGCAGGACTTGGGCAACGACCTGGCGGCCGTTATCACCATTCAGAGGAAACTGTTTGGCATGGAGAGAGATTTGGCCGCCATCGAAAACAAGATTACCTTCCTGAGGAACGAGGCCGACCAGCTGGCCACGGACCACCCGGAGAACGCACAGGACATCTTGGCCCGCAGGGGGGAGCTGGAAGCGGCCTGGGACGCGCTGAAGAAGACCCTGAAGGACAGGGAGGACTCTTTAGGCGAGGTCAGCAAGCTACAGACCTTCCTCCAGGACATGGACGACTTCCAGTCCTGGCTTTTTAAGACCCAGAAGGCCGTGGCGTCGGAGGAGATGCCCGCCTCTCTGCCAGAGACCGAGGAGCAGCTGAGCCTTCACGACGCAGTGCGGGAAGACATAGCCAACCGCGAGGAGGACTACCACCGCGTGAGGGACACCGGGGCCCAGGTCACCCAGGGTCAGGAGGATGACCCGCAGTACCAGCAGCTGGAGCAGAGGCTCAAGGGCCTGGACCGGGGTTGGGTCGAACTGCAGAAGATGTGGGACAACCGCAAGAACTTTCTGGACCAGGGTCTGGGCTTCCAGCAGTTCATGAGGGACGGCAAAGCCGTGGAGGCCATCCTCAACAACCAGGTACCGTGACCCATGCGTACGCGGAACGCTCCACAGAGTTGGTCTTGGCTTTTTGGGGGATTCTACAGGTATTTAAAACATGGGTTATGCAGGAACGCGGCGGACGTGTTGTGGAGGAATGCAGCGTGGTCAGTTTCACCGGCGGCGGTCGTGCGTCTTGAGGGTGTTTGTCTTACTTTGCTTCGTTCGCAGGAGTACACCTTGGCCCACATAGACGAGCCCGACAACTTGGCCGGGGCAGAGAAAGCCTTGAAGAAGCACGAGGACTTTGTGAGCACCATGGAGGCCAACGAGGACAAGATTGACGGCGCTTTGCAGGGAGGACAGCGCCTGGTGGACGGCAGCAACCTGTACTCGGGGAAAGTGCAGGACAAAATGGGCTCAATCCGAGACAGGTGTGTTATGGTGTTTGGACGATATGATTTCAATATCGCGTTATTGAACAAGTTTGGAAATGACGATATTTGAGTCCTTATGAGAAACGTTGACATGATTTCAACCGCGTTTGACCGTGATTGTGAAAAGATTACGACTTAGTCTTTGTTGACTCTTTCTTTTTTTCCCATAATTGCAGTAATTTTTCAAACTGACAAGACAAGAACGTCTCAGAAAATGTGAATATATAAATAGTAAAAAGTTCTTCAATCTTAATCGTAAGAAATCAACTTGGCAAAAAACACATTAATCAAGCAACTTATTCCTAATTAGACTGAAGAATAAGAACAACACTGAAGAGCAACTCTCAAGTCATCACATTTCTGCTTTCTGTGAAAATTCTAAACATCTCCAGCCGAAATCTACATGTGGAATTAACTGCTGTCTAATATATTTATAGTTGGCTCATACGCAATTTCAGAACTCTTACTAGACAAGACTGGGACTTGAAATCTATCCTGTTTGATAAATAAACCATACAAGCCCTGTTCATGTGTAGCGAAAAAGGAACATTTCTTCCTTATTGTTTCAACCCGATAAGCAGTGAAACAGCTCTCTTATCGTTGTATCATTTTTAACAACAAGGAGCAGTAGCGAGCATGGGAGCGTGTCCCATTAACTCCCACAATCCAGCTCAGAAGACAGGCGCCCGCCTTAATGCGTATTGATCTTTGAGTGAGAGCTCTTCTTCACAGTGAAGAGAGAGATTCTGTGTCAGGTATTTTCCTGCGTGGCTGAGGAGCTCATAATGATTCCCCACCTTCCCTCCTTCAGCGTTGCATCCTGTCAAATTCAAATGTATTTTTAATACATTTTCTCGTGTTTGACCTTCAGGAATAACAAGAATAAGAGAAGAGCCCGGGAGGTGTCCGAAAAACTCAACGACAACCGCGACCTGCAGCACTTCCTGCAAAACACTCAGGATGTGAGTTCACTGTTAGTTTACTGTTCGTGTAATCGCTGGGTAGCATCAAGTAGTACATTCATTATTAACCTAATTATTCCTTCACTGGGAATCAACATCACAGTGTTGATTATTGTAGTCAATTTGCCGAACACACTCTGCATGGATGAGAGTTTTAATAGACTGAATTAATATCTTTCTTATTGGGGATCGAGGTCCCATTTGGCTAATTGGTAAATGCTCTGTTTGGAAAAGATAAAGAAATGAATCTCCTCCTTAAAGAAAGTCACCCCCGCACAAATTAAACATGCTGACGTTCCCATGACTTTCCCAACTTTAAGAAACTGCCCGCGCTTGAACCTTCCTCTCTCTGCCTCAGCTCACCGTGTGGATCAACGAGAAGATGCTGACAGCTCAGGACACGTCGTACGACGAGGCCCGGAACCTCCACAGCAAATGGCTGAAGCATCAGGCCTTCATGGCCGAGCTGGCGTCCAACAAGGACTGGCTGAACAAAGTAGACCAGGTAGGTCATCCGCCGGGCGCGATGTGACCGTTCATCGTCTGCCATTAAAAGAAAAATCACGTCGTGTCACCACGATTCCGGCTGCGCGGTTGACCATTGCAGCGTTGTTGTTCCGCTTGGTTACCGCTACTACTCGCTGTCATTGTTATTATTTATTTAGCAGTTCGGCGAACGGACCAAACGACGAGGTTGTGAATTTTTATAACATTTTCTTCCTCCGTCATTATATTTTTTTCCCAGTCAGGGTCATTTTGGAAACATCATCTTGTCTCTCTGCGTGTTTTTTGGGTGCAGGAAGGTCAGGAGCTCACGGAGTCCAAGCCGGAGTTTGAGCCCATCGTGACGGAGCGCCTCGCCAAACTGCACGAGCTGTGGGACCGGCTGGAGTCCACGACCCAGGAGAAAGCCCGGCTGCTGTTTGACGCCAACCGCTCCGAGCTGTATGACCAGAGCCTGACGGACATGAGGAAGTGGCTCGGCGGGCTGCAGCAGCAGCTACAGAGCGGCGATCAGGACGTCAAAGACCTGACTAAAGCCAACATCCTGCTGAAGAAGCATCAGGTCTGTCTCTTCATCACTTTCTGCAAAGTGCATCCTAAATCCTGTGCAGTTAAATCTCACCATGGGAGTGAAATTAATGAGTAGTATTAAGTTTTATCTTTAGCTTTTGTGCTTTCTTTGGATCAGTATTTGTGTTTAAAGTCAAATCCTAACATTTAAAAGCATTTAATATCATGCACCTTCTAAACTATATAAAAGTTTGTGCTACGTTGAATGGTTTCCCCTCTACCACACCCTGATTCGCCTCTTAACGGCTCCTTTCCTCTCTTTTCCTGGGCCAGATGACAGAGAAGCAGGTACGTGACCGCGCGCGGGAGCTGGAGGAGCTGCAGGAGGCCGTGAGGAAGCACAGCGGAGGCCGGGAGGACCAGGCGGACATCGAGGCCGAGCAGCAGGCGCTGCAGAGGGACTTCCAGCAGCTCCTCACACCACTGGCCCAGCGCAAGGGCAAGCTGGAGGCCGCCAAGGCCGTCCATCAGTTCTACAGAGACCTGGCCGATGAGCTCGTAAGCGCGGACCCGATTTCAGGGCAAAATGAATGTGTTGGAAGGCTGATGATGATTTATAGCATGCAATTTGAAGAAAGGATGCTAGATTTTAAAGGAGCGAACAGAAGAAAAGATTCCGGGAAATATTGAAACCTGAATTTCAGAGAATATTCTGTCTTAAGGAATGATAATTCTTCATTTGGAAATGAAGTTTTCCATTATAGCTCTCTCCATAAAAATGACTCTGCAGGGGAATCTGGAGAAAACGCTTTAATCTCTTATTGGTTTCTCTCCTTAAATCCAGTTAAAGGCAGCTTAAAAAGGCTTTTTGCGGTTTGAGAATCACTATAAGACAGCCGGTCTTAACAATTCTGAGATCTGTAAAGCTGTTTTTCAACACAAACCAGTACTTATTTATAATCCCCTTTTTATATTTGTTCTGCTCCCCTCTGTCCCCCTCAGCTCTGGATTGAGGAGAGGATGCCGCAGGCAATGTCACAGGAGCACGGCCACAATCTTCAAACTGTGCAAATGCTGCTGAAGAAGAACCAGGTGAGTGAGTTTGTCTTGAAGAAAATGGGTTGCGTATTTGTATTTATGCACATTTACTTTCTAACATTATTTTCTTGATCAATCACCTATAAGATATCACAAAAGTACTGAACAAGTGTGCACGATTAAACGCATAGACGCCATCATTTGATCATCAGTATCTCTTTGCACTCACCGCCTCCCCTTATGCACATCAGACGCTGCAGAGGGAGATCGAGGGCCACCAGCCTCGCGTCGACGAAGTGCTGGAGCGAGGGGCGAGGATGGCGTCCGCCGCCAGCGCGGAGGGACGGCCGGAGGCGGAGCGACTCGCGGAGCAGCTGAGGGAGCTGGAGGAGGCGTGGGTCCGGCTGCAGGGCGAGGTGGCCAAGCGCAGGGAGAGGCTGAGCGGAGCCAGTTTGGCGCAGCATTACTACAATGACGCGGACGAGGCCGAAGCCTGGATAGGGGAGCAGGAGCTCTACATGATCACGGAGGAGAAGGCCAAGGTGAAGGAGGCGCTCATTGAACTGTCTGAAACTAATCTCATCAACTAAATAAAAGACAATCATGTTGTGCAAATGACAAGTGGCACTGAATGCATTAACATGATTACATGGTTAGCGTTTTATTTAATTAAGTATAAGTAGCACCCTCTATCGAGAGCTTATTTGGAGTATTTTGTTTGGTCTCTCTGTCTCTCCCACATAATGGAACTGCTGTTTTGCCTCGTCCACCTCTTCCTCTCTCTCTGCAGGACGAACAGAGCGCAATGCTGATGCTGAAGCGTCACATGACTCTCAAGCAGGCCGTGGACGACTATTCAGACTCCGTTCAGAGTCTGGCTGACCGCGCCCAGAAGATGTTTGCTGAACACCATCCTGATGGGTTTGTGCTCGGACAATTTGATGCAAACACAAAAAACGGATCCTAGTCTGCAACTTAATTCACTCATGTTGTCTCAGCCGGTTGTGGTTCAGGGTGATAAAGAGAGACGAGCATGTAAAGTGTGATAATTCCTGTTTCTAATCACACGCCTCATCTTGAGCAAACCCAAATCCAATCACTGCTGTTTTCTCTGCTCCTCCGTCCTGCGTCTCATTTCCTTCAATCTCGTCTCTCTCCTTTGTGTGCAGCGAGGAGATCATCAGGCGACAGGGCCAGGTGGACAAGCAGTACGCAGGACTGAAGGAGCTTGCGGAGGACCGCAGGAGGAAGCTGGACCACACCTACCACCACTTCCTGCTGAGCCGGGAAGTGGAAGAACTGGAACACTGGATCGCAGAGAGAGACATGGTGGCCTCCTCTCAGGAGATGGGCCAGGACCTGGACCACGTCACGGTACTACTCACACAAGAAACATGCAACCTCATGAGAGAACATTAACACTAGAGTGCATATATAGAGGGAACCCACTGGCCCCGAAATCAAGAAAGAAAGTTACTTCATGGACCATATTTCACCCAGTGCATCATTTCAAGAAAATAGTGCAGCGGTTTCTCTTTCAGACCAACATTGGAAGATGGATGCTTCCATATCAAACAGGCTTTTATCTATTTAAAACAACTATTTTTGTATTCTCATAAATCTTATTGTGTGCATCAGTCTCAAATAGGTTTGATGTATATACTTTCCTTATCCTCAGCTCTGTTAAACACTTTGACTTGCACTGACCTGTATAGTAGGTGCTACGCTATTAAAGGCTAATTGATATTGTACAGGTGGTGAGATACGCTTTCAGCTCCTTCATTTTGAGGCGTTTTTGACGAGACCGTAATGCTCACCGATCATCAAAGATGGAAAAAAGTGGTAAATGATAGAAATGTATCATGAACAGAAACTATATCTTTTCTATTTTATTAAACTGTATTTTATTTCCGTGCTTATTTTGTTGTGAAGCTAAAACATACTACCTGGCTTCACAAAGCTATGTTGTGCACAATGTACAGATAAATACCCAAGAAATGTAATATTCATTAGTAATATTAAGTCTCACTGCCAATTGTGCTCCGATTTAGCACATTGTCCTGCGCGGCTTAAACACTAAATGCACATCCAACTTCCATGCAAAAACTACAAACATTATTAATTATTGTGATCTATCCGTCTTTCACCTTCAGCTTCTGAGGGACAAGTTCCGAGAGTTTGCGCGGGAGACGGGGACGGTGGGACAGGAGCGAGTGGACCTGGTCAACGAGGCGATAGACGAGCTGATCGAAGCGGGCCACGCGGAGGCCGCCAACATGGCCGAGTGGAAGGACACCATCAACGAGAGCTGGGCCGACCTGCTGGAGCTCATCGACACTCGAGCGCAGCTCCTCACGACGTCTTACGAGTTGCTCAAGTAAGGAAACGGTTACCGACAGAGAGCCGAGAGACAGACGGTTGTCATTGAGATTTAATCTAATCAAACATCTAGTCGCAACAGCCTTTTAAATTTGAACAATACAACTTTGCATTGATTGGTTTAAGCAGGGTGATACACTGATAGTTTGAACCCTCCTTAAAAGGTACTTTGACGATGGGAAGGAGCTGGTCACTCAGATCCACGAAAAGCAGACAGAGCTGCCCGACGACGTGGGAGAGGACTTCAGCAAAGCAGAGTCCTTCCACAGAATGCACGCCGCCTTTGAGAGAGACATCAGCGCTTTAGGCAAACAGGTGCAACTCGGGGGATCCGCCCTTTCCACGCAGCAGGCAGCGGCCCGCGAGCGAACCTTGATGATTCATTCCTAGAGGGAGGAGAGAGTGCTGCAATATTTGGGCAACTGTGAACAATTTTCTCAAAGGCTAAGGAGCAATTAACCGTGGCCCTTTGGGGGGGATTTTAAAATTTCTTTCAGCCTCTTAATCCCGTTACTTTGGGATAAAAAAAACTAAACAATTGATAAAAGAATTAATAAAATAATACATTAATTTGTAAAGCACTTAAATAGGTACCCAAAGGCACTTTGCATGTTAAAAATAGAGACGCTAAAAGGAATAACAATACAAACAAAGCAAATAAGTGAGATTACAACGGTAAAAAAAATAATCAATTATCTAATTGTATACTTAAGACAGTATCCAGTGTTTGTGCTGATGAGACCCTCAGCTCTGTCCTACGAATATCTTTGTGTCACTTTTGTAATATTAGAGCACAATTAGCACCTAAAAAAGGTTGTCACATGAATTCTGCTCATATGTACACGTCTCATGGTCACATTTCAGTGTAAAAACTAACTCTACATCCATGTAAATGAACAATATGCAAAACACAGTTTTGAATGGAAAGGGACCTTAGTTTTGATATATTACTTCAATAATTTGACCTTAAATTCCTTCCACCAGGTTCAACACTTCCAGGAGACCGCTTCAAGGCTTCACGCCCAATATGCAGGGGGCCGAGCGGACGCCATCCAGCGCACAGAACAGGAGGTGGTGGAAGCCTGGAAGGGCCTGCTCGACGCCTGCGACGGCCGCCGGGCGCAGCTGGTGGACACGGCGGAGAAGTTCCGCTTCTTCACCGCGGTCCGAGACCTGATGGCCTGGATGGAAAGCATCATCCAGCAGATAGAGACTCAGGAAAAACCCAGGTGAGCACAGCTCACACATTACATTACATTACATGTCATTTAGCTGACGCTTTTATCCAAAGCGACGTACAATAAGTGCATTCAACCATAGGGTACAAACTCAGGAGAACAAGAAACAAGAAAGTGCAATTTCCTCAAATAAGCCAATTCCTCACACGTGCAATCAGATATCCTCACTCAGTCCACTTCAGCTTGAAATCAATGTTGACCTCTTGTAATTAAGTCAAGTAGTAATAACTAGTAATTAAAACACAGGGAGGATGATACTGATAAATGAGTGTCAGAGATGGAGAGATAATATACCTCTTACTTAAACATAATAATATATTTTACTTAAAGGACACTGAACTTGTTCGTGACTGTTACAGTTCAAGTCCCTACTAACAGGTAGACCAGCTTCACGCGTTGCCTCTTACCTCTTCACATCCTTCTCTGCATCAGGGACGTCTCATCCGTGGAGCTTCTGCAGAAGTACCACCAGGGGATCCGCTCGGAGATCGAGGCCAGGGAGGCAAAATTCACTGACTGCATGGAACTCGGCAAGGCCCTGCTGACGCGCAAGCACCGAGACTCTGCTGAGGTAGGGCTGCAGGAGCAGGGGCGGCTTCTCCTCTTCCTCACACGGGCTTCAAACGGCCACTTTCATTAGATTTAATTACTTTCCTGGGGGTGATTGTTCCTGTCCGGCACAATGGAACCAATTAGATTGCCACGAAAGAAAAAAGAATTCCACTCATCTATCCCTCATCGGGGAGACCATAGAGAAAATACTAATTAGAAATGGAAAAGCCAAAATAATTTAAATGAGCAATTGACCCCGGCCTGGATGTAACGTGCGGATAATTGCTCCACAATACTAATTCTTAGAGGATAATAACCAGCCTTGGTGCCGATATGTAACTGCGACTGAATGACTGCTTGTGTCAGATCAAAGAGAAGCTGGTGCAGCTGATCGAGAAAAGGAAGGAGATGATGTTCAAGTGGGACGACAGATGGGACTGGCTCAGACTCCGTGAGTAGAACCACGCTAACCTCCAACCTAAACGCAGTCTATACCGGCCAATATATGGCAGAGTGAAGAACGTCATGGCGCCTACATTAACCAACTCCTGCACACCGGTTTGACGTCATCAAAATTTCCAACTCCAATCAGCACCTTTTGTTTCCTTCCGAGACAAAAACAATCTGCACAATTAAAACATCAGGTGATTCTTTCACCTCTGAGTCATACACTGTTATAATTGGGCTGTACAGATGTGAGTCTGGACAAAATAGGGCTTTTATGAGATCTTAGAACACAAATATTACAATAAAGCTCATTTCAAAAAATGTCCTTACCTTTAACAGTGTTCTCTCTTTACAAAGTCGTAAAGACATTTTCCCTTCTAAAACCACCTTCCCTCCCCCCCCCCCCCAGTGCTGGAGGTGTGCCAGTTTGCGCGGGACGCCTCGGTGGCCGAGGCGTGGCTGATCGCGCAGGAGCCCTACGTGTCCAGCAGGGACCTGGGCCGCACGGTGGACGAGGTGGAGAAACTCCTCAAGAGGCACGAGGCCTTCGAGAAATCCACCGCCACGTGGGAGGAGCGCTTCTCGGCGCTGGAGCGCCTCACCACGGTACGGGAACCATTTCAGACTCTGAATAATGTTTACACGTCCGGGTCGAATGAGACCTGCAGGTTTACACCGCAACTCGCAGTAATGCGTCACGTAGACGGTTTCTGAATCTACGACTACCGTGTTGCAGCTGGAGCTGCTGGAGCTGAGGAATCAGCAACAGGAGATGGAGCGGTTCCTTAAAGAAGAGCAACGCTCCGATAAGGAGAGCAGGTACGCACGATACTCGTTACGTACATCCGGCTTTCTCAAAGTTTGGATGAATGGGTGCCAATGAACAAATCGACTGCGGAGTTGTACACCGAAATTGCAGTTTGACGCAATACCGGCGTAGTGTTTTAAATGGAACCCATTGGAAGGATGTTTTTGATGCATTTATTTCACATACTAAACGATACATATTACATTTTTTTCCTGTGTGGTTTATTATTAATGTTTTCAACATACAATTTTAAGGGCTTATTCGTGGCTGTCTTCCACATGACATTTAAATCAAGCTTTGACACATTTACTATGTTTTATTTTGGCTTTGTAACGAATCTTTATCTTTATCTCGTTTGTGACAAATATGAGAAAAAAAATAAGACACCAGGAAACCAAAACAAGAATACAGTCTCTCCTTCTCAACGACACGCTCCTAAAAGTATCTCATGTGGACCCCCTGCTGCCCTCTTTTCTCCAGGAGGGAAGACACAGGTTTTGGAGAAGAATCTTCACAGCTCGGCACCATTGAGGAACAGACTCTAGTAAGTAACCCCGTTTGAGCGTGCTGAAGATTTAAAAAAGAAAAACAACCTTTTCTAAGCTTTCTTCTTACTCCTGCATTGAAAAGAGCTCCTTTACTTCCTCTAAAAGAAACCTAATTTGATTCTGTCAAAAAGCTCGTAATAATAACGGCTGCATGAAGTGTGCATGAAGCGGCGCACGCTGCTCTCCTGCCCCCTACGAAGCCTGCAGGTTGAGTTCTCGCTGTCCCGCCCCCATCTCTTCTCTTCCAGTCTGGCTCTGGAGCAGTTGAGCCCAGCTCAGGTCCGCCGGAGGAGACCGCCGGTGACTTCACGGTGCCCAAGGGATCCGAAATGAGAGCGAGCGGGTCCCTGGAGCTGGAACCCTCCGTGTCAGTGGCGACGCCGACGGAACCGGAGCGGGCGGCCACGATGCCCGTGGAGCCCCACAGGGCGCAGGCCGTGCTGCAGGAGGGCACGCTCAGCCGCAAGCATGCCGTGGAAGGGTCGGGGAAGAAGACCTCCAACAGGTAGAGGACAGCAAAGAAAGACCACGGCGCTGTTGTGGCCCATCCACCTCGTGGCACTGACAATTCCAGATAAACTTTTTTAAAAAGCCATATATCGATCATAGCAAATGTCCAGTCGGCATTAATTTTTTTTTTTAACTTATTACTCAAATTGGCCTCAAAAAGTAAGTGTAGATTATGATGTTGTGGTGTTTTAGCCACTTTTTTTTAAGCTGATTAAACATCTGTTTTAACGTAAAAATTCCAGCTACTAAAGTCAATTTGTTAATTAATTAACCGCAGGGTTTCGTTCACCCTGACTGACGTCTTACAGGATCAGGCTATCTACACACGTTAGAGAGCAGTGAGCGGCTCCAAACTCATGACCAATTAGCAGAATCAAGTCTTAATGAGTGGGGAAGGTCGTTGTGGCTCTCTTAATTGGAATTGAATTACTTTCATTTTTGCCATCAATTATCCTGCTGAAATGATCCAATCCACTCCAGCCCTCCATTTCTTCCCCTTCCTCCCAGGTCCTGGAACAACTTGTACTGCGTGCTGAAGCCCGGTCAGCTGTCGGCTTATAAGGACGCCAAGAGTTTTGGCCACGGGGTGACGTTTCACGGCGAGGACCCTCTGTCCCTCAGCAGCGCCACCTGGGAGTTCCTCACCAGCTACAAGAAGAAGAAGCACGTCTCCAAACTACGGTGAGGACCCGAATCCATCTTCCATCTAAAACGTGCACTTTGCTGAGAAATAGTCCTGCGTGTAACACGCTGTTATTTTACGATACATACAGCATTAATTAATGACATTTCTGACCTTTTTGTCAGAGCCACAGAAGCGGTTTCCCTCTTCTTGGTCTGCTGCCTCAAACCAACATTAACACCTCTTATCAAAGAAGAGGAGCCTTCATGCATAAACTAGTTTATTCTTTATGTTGCTGTTTTTGTTCCACACAGTAACGTTGCTTTCTTGTCCTTTCCCCAGTCTCGGAGACGGCAGTGAATATTTGTTCCAGTTTAAAGACGAGGTGAGTTTTTGACCGACAAGCTTTCCACAAACACATGATAATGACCTTATGTACCGTGACGGACTAGAGGGTACAGTTCATACATAAAGTGCGTGACAGATTATTTAAGTCTCAGTAAGACGACCCCACGGTTTTGAGAGGCCGGAACGCGCACTGTCCCTCCGCAGGTGGACTTCCCTTTGTGAGCTTCTGGGGTGTGTGTTTTAATTTCAGGAGGAGCTCCAGCGTTGGAGCCAGGCCATGGAGAAGGCCGTCCAGCCCCTGGCGGCGGCGGAGGAGGCGGCGGCCTCGGGGGCCAAAACCCACAGCCTCCCTCCCCCCGCCTCCTCCTCCACTGCACCCCCTGAGCCCAGCTCCGCCAAGAAGGACAAGGAGAAGAAGTCCAGTCGCTTTGCCAAGAATAAGTGAAAAGAGCCGGGCAGGCCGTGTGGCGTAACTCGGCAACCCGCAAAGAGAAAGTAGTATTTGTGTACAATCAGTCGAAGACAAATTTTTAACCACTAGTTTTTTTATATTATTATGCAAAAGTAAACCTACATTTATCCATCACTTGTTTGCCTGTATTTAAGCCAGTGTATCATTGAAAAAGGGTTTTCTTTGTGTTGTTTTTAACCAATTTAAAGCAATTAAATTAAAGCACATGAATGCTCCTTTCACACTCAACCAAAGAATGTTTGTAAAACTTTTTCATTTTCTTTGCTTTAGTGCGGCATGCTTTGATACAGCCATGTACAACACGGAGGCCTGTAATGAAACTGGGGTGACACAACAGTACTTGTATTAATCTGCCTTATACAATGGTTGTGAACTGTAATACTGTTTGAACTGGGAGCGCATCATGCTACTCATAAAACCAGAGTGAGTTGAACAGACTTTCAAAAGCTTTGTAAATGCGACGCAAAGACTTGGTGGGAAGCAACAGCGCAGCGCAGCACAGCGCTCACACACACACACACACACCAAGAGCAATTGCAGGCATGCAAACCAAATGCTCTGTGCACTGTGAAGAGTTTAAATTGGTCCCTGATGGAACGTGACCACCACAACCAGCGTAGACTATCGATCTAATGAAGTCGTATTCTTAACTGAACTGTGGTGAACTTGTGTGCTAAACCCTGAATTTTATATCTATTCATTAAAACATATACACAAATGCATGAAGTATGTTTTACATCAGTTTGAAATGGTGCTATTGTGATATTCTTAAACCCTCATTGAAGGCCAAACTTGACCTGCCTTACTGGTCTTAACTTTGGCTTTTAGGGACACACGTAAGAAATGTTATTCTTATCAGATATCGGTGGGGTGTTTCGTAGGAAAACAAGGTCTCGTTGTGGGAAGCCCGACTTGAAATGAGCCCAGCAAACTTAAAACAAAATCTGTTCCAATGTATGCTTAATAAAACAACCCCCGATATCAAACTCATCGAATTAGAACCAACCAGTAATGATTCGAGGCAGGTTGATAAAGATCGGATGAATCTTCACTGCTCTTCTAAACCACGCGATGCGACCAAGCACGAGCTCCATCTAAAGCTCACGCTGGGTCTGCACAGCTGAGGGCGTCTTTCACATGAATGTAAAAAAGGAGGAAATGAGAAATTTGGTACCTTTCAACAATAAAGCCATTATAGAATACTACATTGTAACCCCTATACAGTATGTAGATTCATTTGGAGACGCTGATGTCACATTCACTCACCCGCTGCCGTCTTGCCTCGTACAGTGGGCTTCGTCCCTCGACTACGATCCAACTCAAGTGACCTCATAGAAAGCATTGAAGTTCGGTGCAGAGATGGAGGCTGTTCAGCTCAGGAGGAAATGAGGCTGCATCGTGATCTCGGTTTAGATTGTTTGCATATAGATAAAGGGGGAGAAAAATGGTACTACATGTATAATCTTGTATATCTAAACCGACGTTTTTCTGTCCTTCTCTGTGGAGAGAAAAGATATCAAATTACAGTAATCAAACCTTCTTAATCCAAAAATCACCTTTATTCAGTCTTTTTACTGGTCACAATCTACAGTAACGACACCTTTAGCCACTTTGTTTATTCCTCCACTCCTTCCTACCTGCTTCTTCTGTTCAGTGGTTTGTACCCTGCATTTTATACGCCATGTTAACAGGATATAAAACATTGGGAATAAACTTTAAAATAAACTCTTGAAACTAGAACGTTTGGGTATATTTATTGCCTTTCTAAATGTCAAACAGGTCCACAGTTGTACCTTCACAGATTTTTTATGAATACGGAATTGCTTGTTAGCGCATTGAAAAGTCCATTAACATTAATTTCAGAATAGATTTATTGAGAACAAGAACAATTTAACAGAGCCAGGTGTTAAACGACAAGCTGCATGTGACCATGGTGAACAGGTGGAAGAACATTCCAGCAGGCTGCACAAATTAGATCCCAGCTGATGCACAACGAGCTGCGGACGTTCGCGTTCAGCCAAACAAACCCTGAAGAACACGTCATTTCAATCCTTACAAAGCCAACGGGCGTACGAAGGATCATTTCTGTGACTAAGCGGATACAAGAAATACTTTCAGCATATTGAGTTACTTAAGCCGAATTGCCACCGAGGCCTAAACAGAGTCCGCCGGGACTTATTCAACATTCACCTCTTAATCATCATTCGCGCGGATACTTTTTCATCTCCCAGCCCGGCTCCGTCTCCCACAAAACAAATGGTGCTTTCGATCATCGGATATGATCATTTTACTGCTGCTCCGCTATCAGACGCGGCTACAGGAGGAGCCGTTTGTGATACAGCGGATGTTACAACACAACCTTGGATCATCTATAAAAAGGCGTCGACATTTCCTGCACACCCGTATTTCTAAATTAATAGTTTTTGATCAGGCTAATTTCTCTCATTTTCAACCTTTCCAGTTGACATTATGACCAAGTGGCTGCATATGTGCTGCAATGCCAACCACGTGCAGCCGAGTGTTTAAGAAGCAAACGTGTCTTCAAACTTTTACAGACGTGTGCAATTAATAAACTTGAGGGAATTTCAGAACAAATATAAACCGCTGCAATATGTTGTAGCGGTAACAAAATGGAATAAAACGGTAAATATGAAGTACAGCAATTGATCCATTTATGACAAATCTACTGTGGTTTCACATATTCAGTGTTATGTTACAATATACTAGATGCTTGGAGGAGTTAATGATTAACTTTCCTCACAATTCTTACTAACCCTCCTTCACATTAGAAGGACAAGTGATTGCCAGTATATAGATATTTATATAATTACATTTCTAACACCAATACAGCTCTCTAATAAACGTCCTGCCTTCAACAACCTTGACTTCTCAGTCAGAACATTTAAAAACATTAATTGCGTCTGGGGTAGGTGCGTTGAATTCTAGCATTAACTCACTCTGAAAGCACAATATTTTTTACGTTATGAAATAGCTTTTACATCAGGAATGGCATGAATGACTCGAAAAAAGTTTTTAAAATAAAAAAAAAAAAAACTCCCTTCACAAGTCATTTTTGCCTGATAAAGAATTCTTAAATAAGCACATCATCTCAAAAATATAAACGATACATAAACCTGATTACACATTGAACCAATTCAAATTTAAGTAGGATGCATCTGCGTCAAAGCCAAGGTTTTATGATTAAACTAGATTAAACTGTATCAAGACAGGACCAATAGAAGGCCATGCGTTTATAATGAAACCGCATCGGCGACCTCATCCAGACGCACACAAAAAAAGACTTCTTAAAGAGAACGGCAAAAGAGAAACGGGAAGCAGTCGACGTGTGCTACCTCCCTCCCTCTGAATGTTGAGATATGACGCAACAGGCCCGCTGCACCTTTGGCATCAACCAGCAGCGACAGGCAGTCAGTCTCTTCCCCGTTGGTGCAGCTTCTGATGCGCTTCCTGCTTCTCTAAGTCCAGCGTGACTATGAAGGCGCCTGTCAAAGACTGTGGCCAATTTGTAAAATACAGAATGTTAGCGGATTATATTTACATCTAAGTGCAGTAGAAGGCGCTGGCAAAGATATTCTTCCTGACTGAATTTCTTTTTTTTTATGTCAAAAGATGCATGTGCATGTCCGCGTGTGTGTGTGTGTGTGTGTGTGTGTGTGTGTGTGTGTGTGTGTGTGTGTGTGTGTGTGTGTGTGTGTGTGTGTGTGTGTGTGTGTGTGTGTGTGTGTGGTGACGGAGGCTCAAGGTTGATGGATCGAACTGGAAGAAGTAGGGTTCGTTGTCTACTTGAGGAGCTTGTTGGCTCTCTGGTTGGCCTCATCAATGCGAAGCCTGTTCATATCCGCCTGAAAGAAAAGAAACAAATTCAAAGTAAGGAGGCAGAACATATGCATCGCATGCACTTTTTAGCGCGTTTGAGATTTCGCTCAACATGCCACAAGAAACTTTAAATCCTTTTTCTTATGCATTTAGGAACTCTAGTGCTAATGCAAAAGGTTTTACCCAGAAAAGATATCAACGTATATTAAATTAGATTTGCAAATGCTTCATTAAATGGAACACTGAATGCACTCTTGAATTGATGCAAACAGACGCATACTTGTAGACACAAGGCTTATTATTATAACAGAGAATTAGGGTTGAGTGCATTTTGTCACAGGTTTACTATAATAATGAAAGTCAGAAGTCCAAGGCAACGTGCACAGGGCGGTTACCTTATTGGTGATGCTGTCAATGTGCTTGTTCTGCTGGTCGATCTCGTTGCCCATGTCCTGAGCCATTGTTTTCAGGTTGCCAATGATGCTTCCCACCGCATCCAGGTTCTCCTCCATCTCATCCTCACGAGCATCGTCGGTTATCCTGTCGATGGTAAGAAAGTCTATACGTTGTCAATAAATTCACAACATTTTTCTCATCACGTTTGGTAATAGATTCTTAGGAAAGGAGGGGCTCGGGGAGGGGGCTTAGTCAGCTTTCCCACCTCTTGATGTACGGGCCTGAGGGCGCCGAGTTGTTCATCTGGCCGGCCTGGCCGTTGCGAACACCCGAGGGCTGCCTCGAGACCACCTTCGAGCCGCTGGAGTCACTTTCGCCGTCGCCTCCTCTCAAACCCCAGGTACGCTTGTATTTTGAGTCGTTCTCTATCGACGACACCCTGCAGGGAAAGCAGAGTCAGTACCGACCAGGAAGGTGTGAATCACAACTAGAAGAACTAGAATACGATGCGGTCTTTGAGATAAAAAGGCTACAAGTCGGCTGTCACTGATTTTTAGAAACAAATTTAAAAAAAAAAAAAAAGATACCCTACCTTGTCTTATGGTACTCAAAGATTCCTCTTCTCCAGAGTGAAAGCATTTTGGGGAGATTTGTTTTCTATGTTTAGAACTGATATGATCACACACACGCACGCACGCAGCTTTGCATCGAGTACGGTCCTGTTCTTCTGAACAGGACGGTCCGTCACCACCGCTGGCAGTGCTACACATTCTAGAGCAATCTTTTCACCAGAAGATTCACATTTGAGAAGATGTGTATTTAATTCATGAAATTGATTCAGTGTGTTCATGGGAAACCACACGTTGAATGACAGAGCCGTTGTACTGTGGTGAACAGCGGGAGGCTGCTGGTTGTGGAAATATTTGCACGGTGGTGTGCGCTCATTTCAATGACGTCATCGAGGTTAACTAAGACGCACAGGACTCGTAGCCATGCGTGTTCAGTTCTCTAAACACCACAACACCCACGGTCACGGGCCGCTGTTGCCATGGAGAATGCTCGAGGCAGATGCGGGAATGAAAACGCTGCGTAGTTGCTGCTGGGAACAGGTGCTAAATACATTCACAAATTGACCCAGAATCCGAAAGTGAATTCATTCAACCTGCTGGCTACATATTCATTTTTTTCGGCACCACAGTCTTTAACATCCAACGGCTGCCAGCAGCGCTCTCAAGATAATTAAAACCAAAAACACAATACTTCTTTTTTGCAACTGACCCCAAACGTGTTTTAGAAATGTTCCTTATATTGCTATATTCCTGTTGCGCACACGCACGCATACACACACTCAGAGCGTACCGGTCACAGGGGCAGACACACAGCCCGCAGCACTTTGAGAGGTCAGTCAGGTTCCTCTCCGCCTGTCTCATGTCCTGGTTGATCTGATCCATGCCCTCGTCCACGCGCTTCAGCTGCTCTGAAACGCACACACACACACACAAACAGCAATTCAGATTCTTCTTTTGCTATATCCACGAACACTTCATCATTTGATACATCACACGTTTTGGGCATCGAGTCATGAGAGTAGACAGGTGTGGAGTTACTCACCTCCCTGCTGGTCCAGAATCACCATGGTGTTTGCACCGGTCTGTTTGCTCTGCAAAACACATGAGTCACAGCAACACAAGATTCACAACCCAAAAAAAAAATATTACTGATGTATTCATCACAATGGGAATAAATCAGGTTGGACACATTTAAGAAAAAGTTTGTTTATGATTTGAAGACAAACAGGGTTAGTGTAATTACTACAAACAAAAAGCTAAATAGCCTTAAGCAAAACCGTCCAGGTGGTATTATGACTTTCCTCAAACACAACTGCAGATTATTTTGTATCGGTACAAATTGTCAAAGTCTCACCTCTTCTGCCATTTGCAGCATCCTCCGTGTGCTTTCCAGCGACTGTACAGAAGAAACAACAACAGGCGTTGGCGAATAAAAACATGGAAGTAAAATAAATAAAAATGGCAATAACCAAAACAACACATAGATTCATCCATTTTTAAGTCACTGCTGGTTTGACATTGTTTGTGGACATCAAAACCCAGAGAGCATCAGTGCTCACTTTGTACAACACACTGAACTAGGGAGGATTCGGTCCTCTCAAAAACGGCTTTTGGAAAGAATAACAGAATAGTACATTTCAATGTGGTCTCCACGGTTTGCAGTGATTATGGTTTATGCAGCTCACATAAAAAGGCAGAAAAGAATAATGAAGAAACCGTCTGATTCAAAGCGAGCAAAGTGCTGGATCCAACAAGTAATCAAAATTACATCAGTTGGCCCTTTTCACGTCAGCCATTATGGCACGTAGCATCAGCAATGGCCCTCATCCCATTTAGTGCGTCGGCAGCACAATACCTGAGCACCAGCATATCTAAACCTTAATTAATGTAATTAAATGGCACCCGGGTTTAATCTGCAATGAAATGTCAGGATGGCAGTGGAACATTTGTACATCACTTCCTTGCAGTGCCCCCCCCACTCCCACCACCCATCGTAGATACAACTAAATGAATTTGATGAGACCACTAATTAAACATTGAGTAATTTGATTTCAGTGACCAGAGTAGTTTCCAATCGAATAAACCCAAGAATATATATGACGGCAAACCCAAAGTGGAGGACAAGGGAATGCTTTATCATCAACATACATTGTTTAATTGTTGAAGTAAATGTATTTCACGATCGGCTCATTGTTTCAGCTCTAAAGCTTAAATGATTTGTTCAAGACTCTACACAAGATCCAGATTGTTAATGACTTTTAATATCCGCTAGTTTCTAAGATATTGACTGAACAAAACCAGGCATCACGAATATAAAACCTGCCCTTTTAGATGTTTTTGTACTGCATTTTTTTGTATTTTCTGACATTGTGGACCAACCAATGAATCGTTAAATAAGAGTTGTGAGCCGCGTTTAGAAAACTCATCCATTGACTGACTGACGGCAAATGAATCGAACTATTTGGACAAATAATTAAATCACTAGTTATTTTTATGGGAACCAAACCAGAAGAAAATATTCTTTATTAATGCCTTGCAATGGGGAGTATTACCTGTTCTTGAACGTGCATATTAAAACCCTCTGTGATTACGCAGTATGGATTTAGGACACAGCTACGGTTTTCTTGGACTAAACTGACACAAAAAGTTAAAACACACACACACACACACACACACACACACACACACACACACACACACACACACACACACACACACACACACACCCACACACACACACACACACACACACACACACACACAGGAATGCAGCCCGTTCAGGTGAGTTGGGCCTTTGTGTCTCTATTAATAGCTGGCGCAGAGAAGAGGAGCAAAGCGCGGAAGTGACTCAGGGCACGACTCCATTGTTACCGTCCCCGATTAGCTGCTAACAAGAGAGAGCGGGGACCCGATTCCTCATCCGCTCCCTCTGCTGTGTTTGCTCTGAACACATTAAATCAGCGAGTTGAGAACCAGACAAACATGGAATTGGCGAGCGGGACGCGTTGAGCTCAGCCATGTTTTTGTTGTCTTGGTCAGAACATCGCTTGGGCGGATGAACACTCAAACTTGCCTAATTAAGCCCGAAATCGCTGACGCAGCCAAATCTTCCAGATTGTGGTGCCGTGACAGGTCTTTGGGATACAGACTAGTGGTATTTTTATCATTTGTTTGGGATGGCTTAAATGGAGGTACAGTTAGTGGAGGTAAAGGAGAAGCCACCTGAACTACCGGACACGGACACCAGCCTCCAAATGAATGACAGCGCTTGTGATACGACTTCCTGAAAACAATCTTATCGTAACAAATTCAGATGTTACCCAGATACATAGAAAAGCGTGCTGCGAGTGGTTACCCAGAAGCCAAAGTGTTGGGAAACATTAGCAGAAGGACCCGCCCATGCACGCCCGTCCCTTCTATGAGCTTCAGCCGACCAGGCAGCAGTAAAAAAGGAAGAAAGAAGAGAAAATGCAGGTTAAGTCAGAAAGCTCAAATGGATAAACACGTTAAAAAAAAAAAAGAAAAACACAGACAACTGGTACAGTCAAGATGACAGGAAGGGGAGGTGCAAAGCTACCAGCTTAGCAGGAATAAGTCCATTTGAATCAGATGGACGTATCGTGCCCTGGATGCTGATGAAACAATTATCTCCTTAATAATAAAATGCTTTGGTATAGCTGAGGGGAGGGGGGGGGGTGTGTCAGGCTAAATTAAGTTAAAGCCTCAGACGCATCCTATTAATGCTTAGCATAATAATCACCTGCACACCCAACAAATCTCATTAGCCACCCACTGCTCCTTCAGTGATCCTGCATATATTTAAACAAACCCCACAATTGCATGCGTGTTATTTTTTCGACGTGTTAATGGGTGACCCAACATGTGCAGCCTTCAATGTGGTTGTGGCTAAAATGACTATTTCCCCATAAGAATAGCACACTGAGAAACTGAACGTAGAATGGATCACGGTGTCCGTACGTGTTAATTAGTGAGCTTTAGGAGACGCTGATGGGAGGATCAGATGGACCGGAGACAGAACGCAGCTAGCCGCTCACGCCAGTTTCCCCCCATACAGCCACGATAACAGACTGCTCACTATAGCTGCTTATTCGGCCGGAGGACATTCAATCTATTTCTTCACAAGGAAGCAAATGAGAAAAATGTCCAATTATTCCTTTAAGATTTTGCATACTGAGCTACAGCAGCATTTGTTTGTGTTCATTTCGATAAGAACTAATGCATTTGGCTCCGAGAGCCAGGTTTGTTTTGATCATTAAAATTTGTGTATTTTTTTTGCTTTTAATGTTGTATAGGTGAAAGGTTGAAGGTTTTCCTCCTTTATCCTCAATCTCAGCAGTATTTGAGAGTAGGACTAAAAAGGCTTTGATTTTCTAAATGAGACGCATCTCATTTTTATTAAATAGTCAAATAGCTTTTCCTAAAAGGAAAAACTCAATCTAAATAAAGTCATTATTTACTTAATAGTGTACATTTTATTTGTCAGACATGAAAGTGATTGCTTGCCTGTAGACACTTTTTATATTTGCATTTATTTGCATGTTTCGTGCACTGACTTACTGAGTCTCCAGCTCACACTATCAAGTGGGGTCAATAAATTGGACGTGAATTGGTCTTTAACACAATAAAGAATTCCTCCCAGGAAAAAAGTCCATGAAAGTGAAATCAAAAATGATTGACAAACATGATCCACGCCTTCACCGCTCATCTGTGCGCTGCGCACGTTGCAAACAGCTTCTGTCTGTCGCTTGTACAGTTTGGGGTGGAACATTTAGGACAGAATATCAGTGCAAAGAAGCTTCTTTCTCACACAAAGAGCAACGGAGAGAGAAACACAATAGGACAATAGGAGAACAATCTGTGTGTGTGTGTGTGTGTGCGTGTGTGTGTGTGGGTGTGTGTGTGTGTCAGTACCTCGTCGGTCACATGGTTGGCCCTCATGGCCATCTGTTCCACAGTCATGTCGTCCATGTTGCTGCTGTCCGGTTTGGATGATCCCCCTGTGGCACCGAGCTCGATTTTCTGCGGCCTGGAAGAGAAGAAAATTTCCAAAAGGCCACATGAGAGGGCATCGATTGTGATGAAGCTCTGCGACTAAAACAAACCCGAGACCTCGCTGTACTGAAGCGGCTATGAAAGACTGAAATATAAAAAGAAACGTTGCTGGCCAGGTGCATTTGATAGGGAACCTAGAATCATATTAATACAAACTACAATTATTTGATGAGCCAGTTGACAACTAGAAAATATACTGATATTCTTTTTTTGATCGTTTGAAAAAGCTGATAACAGACAAAATATACAGACTAAATATGGAAACATAAACAACATGTATGGCAAAGATAATTTGTCTCTAATTCCTGCTGTAACTTTAATGGATGCCACGTGCTCAAGCACATCATTGGTTGGTAGTCTGAACACATGCAGGAGGCTGACAGACACCTTTTACCATCATGAAGCAAAAATGTTCCTTGTTGGTGTAAAGTTGGCTGCAGTGTGTCTATCAGATTATTTGATCACAATAAGAGAAGAGAGTTGAGAGGGTTGTGAAAGCAGAATTATGTAATTGGGATGTTAGTAACTTGCAGAAGTACACAAAACATAACTGAATAGTTGATGATAAAAGATTAAATAACAAAATAAGCCAAACCTGTGGGGAAAGCATGGTACTCTTTTATATGCTGTGTTATAATAGATGCCCTTTTAGAAGATTTTGACTTTTAAGGCCTAAAATTCCAATATTATTTGCTTGGTCTGAACAAGGAGCAATTCTAACAGAAACTTTAGTGTTTGATTTCTGAAATGAACTCTCAACGGCAATTCAATTAGGACAAATTAAGAGGAATCCTTATTTGACAGCTCCACGCAGGCTCCGTCTTCAGATTAAAATGATGCAAAACATGCAGCGTCACTGAGAGGCCTTTAATGTAAATTAGCAGCAGGAAGTGCTGCTCGTTGTTTGCAAGTAAAGGCCACGGTTGAGAAACTCAACATTTTCCGGTGCTTTCAGCTTATTTATATGTAAAGACCAAGCACAAAAAGAGAAGCGGAACATAATTAAACGTGTTAGATAAAAGGTCAGAGCAGGACTACACTTAGCAAAGAGCAACCATTCCAGTACCGGTCACTTGTTTCTCATGAATACAACAACTACGCCGGCCGCGTGGTTTCCCTGTGCCTTGTAATCCATTTGCAGTCATGTTTTGATCATAACAACCACATGGCTAACTCGCATCAGGGTTCAGCAGCTACAAATCCAACGCCATTTAATGAAGTGCATCAGGTGACCTTCACGTCACGGGGTGCACCGGCAGGGCCGCCGTGGCGGCAGCCTACGCTGCGGCGAGCAGCTTGAGACCACTGTAGGCCGACCGGGCACAGGATTTCAGTGATGCAGAAAAAAAAAAAATTAAAAAGGACAGCGCCGGTTTGTTACAAACACAAAGCTCCAGCTTTCGTTTCAAAGATACCAAACAAACAGGAAACAGCTTTGTGCCCTCTTCCTCCGCTCCTCTCATCCGCTTTTCCTTTACAGTTCAAGCGGCGGTTTCTTGTTTTTTCAAATAACCCCCTCTTCAAGTTCCCTTTCAACAAAACATCCTGAGATAGGAAAAGAACAGGAAAATGCATAGTCTATTTGGCAGACCGCTCAGAGGACTTTGTGTTGTTGACCCTGCACTTTTATTTTTTTAATCGACAGAGGGCATTCGGGGCATTTGGTTCACACAGACTTGACTGCTTTTTCTAACCGATTATTGGACTTGGCATGATACTGTTTTGAGTTTACAAGCGTAACACTGTAGGAGGACTCACTCAAACATATTGCACTATTTCTTAAATACCAAGCCAAAACACCTGCATATGAAAATCAATTTAATGTGCCAGAACGACAGACCTCAGTTTAGCTGGATTTTTTTTTTTTATCCTCAAGACAGCGATGAGAAGGTTACACCCAAGCAACACACTGGATTCTAGATGATTTGGTTCTCTGGGCAACTTGAGTCTATCATCACATAGAAAGTAAAGCCCTGCGTGTTTACACCTGACCCCCCAAGACCGGGACACCCCCTCGACACGTGTCCACAGCCACGAGAACAACCGGTCAACACGCTTAAAAAAGACATTCATGTTGCAGTTTCTTCACAGCACTTCAGGGTATAAGGTTAGCGGCGGGGAAACTTTTCTCGTTCGTCTCCCCAAACCTGTTCCTCCAGTTCTGACTGCACCAGTTACTGACGCCTTTTCTTCATCCCATCATGTTGTGTCCGTGATTCTCTTTCTACTTGATGAAAGATTCAGGTTATATTTTGTGGTATTCACTCCACACTCTTCGTCCTCAAAAGTAACGGCACATTTTTACTTTGGTTATGTCTCTAATGTTTTGGGCTGGGTGACTTAAGCTGACCTGTAAACAAAAACAAACATCAAGGGGGGAAAGGGGGGGGGTCGATGACATCACGGCGAACAGGCTTCACCTAAACAATGATGGTCTACGGCAGCATCATTAAACAGTACAACCTGCCAAGTATATAACGTAAGAAGCAAGACAAAGTACGACGCGCCGTTAAATCATTACCGTTGTGTGTGTATACTTTGAATCCGCACATATGGCTGCGGTTAAGTGATCTCTAAAGAAGAGGAACGAAGTTAACGTGTTAAGGTGCTGAGCTGCATGACGAGGGTCACTTGACGAACAGGTGACGCGCGGCCGAACGAGGAAGGTGAAGGAAACTTAAAAGCCCCACACCCAAGTTACCAAGCCAAAGAAAACGCACCAACGGTCAAACACTTGAAAGTTCTGTGTCAAATAGTTTGTAAAAGCAGATTAAAAAAAAGGTATCTTACATTGTCGAAAAGGTTGCAGCAGCGTTGTAAGGGTCGTAAAACGAGACACGAGCGACTTGTTAACGTTAGCTAACGTGCTGCTAGCTGGCTAGTTAGCTAGTTCCGCTTTTCTAGTCTACCTAAAGTTGACGCCACCAACAAACAACTGTGTAAGGAGAGAAAAAGGGAGGGATGTGTTTATCTGGGAGTCAATACTTACAATTAACCCTCCTTGTTTAAAAAAAATGAGTGGGTCACTCCTCCTTCTTTGTGGTATGTGGAGTTAATAACTTCTGGATTCCTTCAGTGGTTTCACCGTCTGCCTGACTGAAGTGTGTCCGGTGGTGCTTTTACGTGGTGTCGGAAATATCGCAGTTCTATTAATTTTTTTTCTGCTTTTATCGTCATCTATTCGTGTATGTTGTTGTACGATCTTAATCCACAAAATAACAGGTTACTATTACCGGATAAATAAAAAGACCTAAAAAGTTATATATTTCCCTGTTGCTTGAGCAGTTGTTATTTCAAACTTGTCAGAGGAAGGAGGGCTTTTGAACGCAGCACATGGTGGTGGCGCATGTCCTGTCATATGACTCCAGAGAAGAAAAGGCGCTGCTCATTTTCCCCACATGAGTGCAGCATTTACCCTTCACCCGGACCCCCCCGCCCCCTCCACCCTCTCCATCTCTGTATTTTACATGAACACATACTGTTGAATATTTTTCATGGTGTTTCTGAGATATGCTCTGAAAGCTGCGCCTCTAGCATTGAATCTGCTGCGTAATTCCCAAGTTGTATGGTTTAAAAACCACAAAAGCCTGTTCAAGGTGACTGCAAAAGACACTTGGCAGTCTGCCAGCCAACATATCAACTAACAACGACTAAAAAGCAAAATGTTTTATCCCTTTCTCCAATTGCAGCTACATATTTCCCTTCTGGGGTCACCTATAGCAAAATGCATGCAAAAAAACCTGCATGCTGAACATTTTGTAACACACTCCAAATTTGTACAAGGAGCTGCCCTCGCTGAACCGCCGAGGGTGCCTGCATGGTGCCCAGCTCTCTCCGCCCATGTATCTTTTATAGAGTCTACATAGCATTCATTATTCAGCAATAACACATGGTCCATCTGGGCTCCTGTGACTGTGTGACTATGCATGCGTGTGTGGGCTATAGTTAACTTTCCTGCTGTGCAATTTCACCATTTCACCCCACATCCAGCAGCGCTTGAAGAGCTAAGAATTAGTATTTCCTCCCTAATTACAACTATGGTATAATGTGAATGTGTCCGTCAGAGGATATATGTGTGTGTGTGTGTGTGTGTGTGAGAGAGAGAGAGTGAGAAGCTGGAAGGAAGGAGGGAAGAGAAAGAATAGAAAGTTGTGAGAGAAGGAAAGATAGATTAACTGAATGTATAATAGTGACTACAGATGGCACGTTCAGGATCAAGCTCTTTCATCATGCCGTTCCTCATTAATAGAGATGGGAGCGCTGCCCTAATTCCATAATTCCTAAATCATGCCAGTTAGTTGAATACGAGGAGATAATAGTACAGGGGAGAGAGGAGAATAGATCGGCCTACAGAGAGCCTGTGAGACCGAAAAATCAACAGAAGCAGGGATGAAGACAGCGAAAGAATGGAGAGGGGTCGCCATCTGTATTTCCTGGCTTTTCTTTTTAGTTGTTGCCAAAACCAACATCATATAGGCCAAAATTATTCTTGCCAATTATTCTCCCACACGCCAGCCAATGAAAATAGCTGAAATAATCAAGTGATTAATAACATGTAAAAAGGAATACATGGGGACATTTAATTGTGTGTGTGCCAGTGACAATGCCCAGATCACTAGTTTCCCATAATTTTAAGGAGAACATCTGTTCAAATCTGGCAGTGTTCCAGTCGTGTCACACATTCATCTTTCCTCTCACAAGGATTGAGACATGGGAAGGTTTCAAGGCCTTGCTTGATCGGGCTTAATTTTACTTTAGGCTAATTCCGCTGGTACCTGGTATATACTTGTCAGGAGAAAGAATTGGCTGACCAAGCATGCGTGTCAATATTCAGAGATGATTTAATTCCCCTGTCTCCATTTCACTGAAGCCTATTCTTTCTCCATTTGAATTGAGCTATCATATGAAGCAATTTGATGGAAACCAGAGACATTAATGGCCATTAGACGGCTTTGCACAGGAGGGACAAAACATGGCAAGCTAACGCTCATCTATTATTCATGCAGTTTTCCTAAAAACAACTTTTTGGATATTCTTTTAGCATCACGCTGCCAAAATAGGCTGTCAGTAGTTTCAAATAACGCTTTTAAAACAAGGCTGATAAATTGGTTAAAGCAAGCATTGGCCCATACAAACCCGATGGGAGCGAAGTATCCAATGCCCATCCCTCTATTCAGGTGCAATCTACAGAAAACCTGCTGAGCTCAAAGATTAGGGGAAACTTTTCAGATTATTATTATTTTTCAAATATTTATCCTTTAGGGATCCCCGGCATGAAATGGTTCAGTGTCTTGTTCATGCACACCTGTCTATTGATAGACATATGAGTCATCGTACAATGTAAAAAAAGTCCTATAAAATATTCACACCAGGGACCTTTGGGTGGTCTATCATACATCCTGTTAATATGTTGTTAGTACTAATGGATTAAAAAAATACGAATAGCATTTTACTGGTGAGGTTGGTGGAGCAGGTTTTAATCGCTATAGTCCAGTGGTTCCCAAACTAGGGGTCGGGCCCCCTCCACAGGGTCATAATGAGAACATTTTAGAGGTCCTGAATAGGTGCATGATGTTTGGGGTTTTTCTCTAAACTTGGTGATTTCATGAATTGTTGTACAACTCTACCTCTTTGGGGTTGAACATATAATTACAATCAAACCAGTTAGAAGTTTTAACCAAATTGGCAAAGTGAATTGGCAGAACAAACATTGACAAAAACAAATGAATGCACATTTTCATAAATAATTGTTATGCAAATGTTTGGAGTTTTGGGTGCCATTGAGCTATTGCACAAATTAAGGGATCATTATCTATACTGCTAAAACTGAGCCAAGCAAAAACTCTTTTTTTGTGATATTATGACTTTCAATACAGGTTTTTGCTTTCTAAATACTTTCGCTATAAAATGGGGAGTAGAGTTAAAATGACAATGTGTATCGGTGCAGAAGTATAGCAGACCTTGGCAATACTCAAATAAGACACTTACGTATGTTCACATTGTACATAATTACAGTAATGCACTCGGTTGCTTTCCATCTCTGGAAGGCCACACTTCTGTAAATCTGATGGAAACAAGGGAGGAAGGCTATCAAGCTCTTCAGTCTCCATGTTGTCAGCAGTTCAGATTAGCTGTCACATCGCTGAGGGAGAAACAGCTGAAGATTGGAGTGGGTGATTTTATCTGAATAATTTCATGCTTTGACTGGCAGAGCTCAATGCTCACTGTCCCAAGACGTTGACGTCAGAGGAAGATAGACCGGGCAAAATAAAGACCCAGGTGCAGTTTAATGGATGAATATAATTATCTGCCCTTTGGGGGGAAAAATCCATCAAATGAAAATTAATTCACATTTCCACTGAAGAAATTCCACTCATTTATTTTCCCGAGTAGACAAAAAGACAATCTTTATTTGTGTGTTTCTCTCCTTGCTCTGACTTTTGTGTTTACTTTTGACTGACTTAAATGACTGAGGTCAGCTCCCACAAAAAAACAAAACACCACAAACAGAAAAGGAAACAAACTCATACATGACGCTCAGACCTGGAGGCATCCTACCACTACCAACCATGGATCACAAACCAGAGAAGAAGAACGATAGAAGGACAGCATCAGTGAAATAGAAGAAGAGAAAACACATTTTTTAAAATCTTCCACAGGCTATGACCCATCACTGCATCCCACAAAGGAGTAATTAACAGTGATTTTAAATGCTACAAAAATAAGATGAAACAGGGAAGGAAGTGCTTCCCCTTGTTTGTGTTTTCTTGAGTGTGTGTGTATGTTTGTGTGTCTCTGTACATGAGTGTATGTACATGCCATGTCTTTGTAAATGTCTTGATCCGCGTGTGCTTTTATACATATGTCTTTATGTGTGTGTGCGTGTATCTGTACACTGGTCGCCACGTGTGTATGTATGTGTGTGTTCACAGTGCTTACTCATTAGGTTCACTTCCCAACAAAAGAAGTCCCGGTCCCATGATTCACACAAACTCTCTGTCCATCCTCTGCACCCTCTCTCTTTGCGCTGTTCCCTTTATAGTCGTGTCCATGAATGCTCCCAAAGTCTCAGAGGAACCGTCCCGCTGTCAAACACTGCGTGCGTGTGCATGTAATAATGCGTGTGTGTGTGTGTGTGTGTGCATGCGCATGTGTGTTTTTGTGATGCTACCACAGACACACACACACTCACACACACCTCGCCTCATTTGCCACAGTCTATGTGCTTCCCTTATTGGTTTAACTCTCAGACCCAGGACCAGTTTCATTCAGTATTTATGTCCATTGCGATCTGGCCTGGGCTCTGAGGGCTGATTTCCAGTCAGTTTCACCCTGTGGGTCCATTTATCTCCCGGCCCGAGCTAATCCATCAACGGCCGGTAGCCAGACAGGAGAAACAGTGTGAGAAGAAAGTTCTGAATTTTTTTTCCTTTTGATGTCTGAAAAAAAAAAAAAAAAACTCAGGGCGAGCAAGAGAGCGCTAGCAGGGTGTTTCTGATTTCCCCCATGAAAAAATATATCATCGTTACAAACAAGATAGATCTGAAGGTTTCACAGTGGTCATGCAACTTGAGTGTCGCCTCCTTTTGTCACCTGTCCCCTGTTGGTCCTCCAAACCCCCGACCCGTTCGACCTAGCCAGTCCTAGAGAAGGTACCGTACGTGACCACAGTCATAATAATACAGAAAGACTAAGAGGTGGGTGACCAGTGGTACATTCATACATGAGAAAGTCATGGTTCCAAAAGTCACCCGACCCGGTCGACACTAGACGGTGCTGAAGACGCCTGTGCTGGCCAGGCTGTGATAAATGCTTTGTTTAGAAACACGAATAAGACAGAAAACATCCCACCCGGAAATATACACCTCACCCCAAACCCACCCGGAACAACCCCCGACCCTCCCACTGACACAGCCATGATTATACTTGTCTTTAGAATGGGATGAAATCTTAACTTCTCATAGAAAGAAAAAATCTAATTGATGGATTTTTATTTCATATTTCCGTGAATCTACACCGTGTCTGAAAATATCAACACAACATTACATTTCCCATACGGTCGGATTTAAAAAAAAATCTTTGCCCGCATTGTTTTCCTTTTCTTTCCTGCAGCGGCCGGGTCACTCTTCTCCGCTCCTTCTCTACGTTTTGCTCTTCTTTCTATTGCAGTTGGAACCGGTCCGGGTAGTATGGAATTCCAATTCCAATGCAAGCTTGGCCACTTCCAATTCTTCGTTCGACGATGGGATAGCAATGTGAGGAAAAATCCAATTTTTGTGCATCCAGGCCTATCGCTTAATGCATCCCGCCGTGATTGGGTGATAGCAACTGCACCGGAACGACAAGTTTAATCATAGCCGCGGCTACTTCTACCCCATCAGTGGCCAACAGTCAATAGACAAATCAAAAGGACCCCCCTGATATGAGTGCAGAGACAGTTCCCTTGTGTTTTTCAGCTGCATCAGCTGAGACGGAGCGCAGCTTCCCAGACAGGTCAAGACCCGACCCTCTAAGCCAGTCCGGGGAGCAGTGTCCGTTGCTGGGCCATGGAGAGGGCTGGCAGTGGGGGAGGGGGGGTTGTATCGAGGTGGAGGTGGGCAGCGAGGAGAGGGAGGGGGGGGGGGTTGACGGAGACAGAAGGCTTCTCTGAGGGGGGGTGGTGGATTTAGAGGGACAGCCAAGCCCAGCCAAGCGACCCTGGGTGGGAGCTCCAGGAGGGAGGGAGGAGGGGGAGCGTGGGGGTGGGGGGGGAGAGGGTTCACAGCCAGGAGAAGAGTCCCAGCAGAAGTGAGGTCAGAGCAGCAAGCAGGACCATGGACGCCGGCCTCAGGCACGGACCTCCAGCAGTCAGGAAGGGCTCTGGGGAGTCGTATCCCGACCCATCTGAAACGGAAAGAAGAGAGAAACGACAAAACATCTGAACGGACGGGGACGCTCACACAGAGACGAGGCACATTTGAAACCAGTTCGGACAGACGGAGGGTAGAACGTGGAAAAGTGTGCGACAGACCGCAAAACTCTCGCAAAATTCAAAAGCGAAGGAAAGGGGGAGAGACTACGAGGGATGAGGGGAGGAAAGGGAGAGGAGGAGAAGATGACAGCAACAGAGCTCTGCAGGGGGTTTAACCAACCTAATTACAGTTTAATCACACAGACTCAGAATGTGGAGCAGCTGACACACACACACACACACACACACACACTCACACACATGTGACACCGCTCACAGCTCACTCCAGTGACAGTATTTCACAGATGAGATGGAAGTTGCAATGTCAGACAGATTAAAAAAAAGAAGAATCTCAACGAGGAGCCGCAGCAATGACAGAATAGAAGAACGTATGTTGTTTCAGTAACGATGGCGGAGGAGAGAGTTTCCTTCCCCTTCGGCTACAGATGGAACGATCTGAGTCTGGAAAGCTGTGAAGGCCGACTGTCATCCTTTTACGATGATCTTCAAAGCCGTGTCAATATCCGGGGAGCAGGTTACTTGCCAGGTTGGATTCTTTAGTCGGGCTTAGCCTGAGAACTCACGAGGTAGAATCCGCCTTTGAAGAAGCCGTACAGGTAGATTTTCCAGATAACGCAATTGTAGTGTAAGGCCCGCCGCAGCCCGTTCCCCGTGTATTTCCACTCTCCGTTGGGTTATTATCATTATAACGGCTCAATCACGCACAAGCTATGTTAAAAAGAATATCCCTTATCAGGTTGCATGCTGCCTGGTGAAAAAAAATACTCTATTATGTGGCGAGCAAGTCATACATAATCTTTTACCACAAGGCTGAGGCATAATGGGAATTTTATTAAGAAATACGAAGTGTCTATTATTAGATTAGTCTTTCAGAGTATGCGATGGGTTTTTTATTAGATTGCTCTCTTGTTACTTACGAACAAATCCAGCAAGAGGAGTGATGTGGAAGCTCTGTTATATTTTTAGAGAGCACTTTCAGGCTGCCCCGTTCTCTTTCTACAAGGACAGAAGGTCGCCCTCACACCCCGCGTGATGTGATGTTATCTGATGTGATGTGCATATGCCACTTTGTGCCCACGTGCATGCGCCCGTGCACACTTGTACGTGTGATTGTGCCAGAGTGTGTGTGAGTGAAGGTGTTAGAGCCGGGGCATTTCATCAGACCTCTTATTCCCCACTCATTTTACTTTGATAGCCAATCTGGACCTTAGCGTGTTTGTTTGTGTGTGATGCAATGAGAGTCTGTGTGGTTAGAGCACGACTTACCTGGAGGTCTGACATACACCTTCAGCTTTAGACACGCTCGCCCCACGTGGTTTGGGTGGGGAGACGCTGTAAAAAGCAGATAAATTGAAATAGATTAGCTGGGAGATGAAGCGATTTGTGCAGCTGATTGAACTCATAAAGTAATTGAGACCATTTAATGAACTTTTTTTTGTTTTTTGTTTTGTTCAAGGTTTTGCGTCAGTGGTTCATTAACAGCCCCCCCCCCCCTCGGACTGGACTGGAGACAGTACTGTCAAAATAGCATTTATAACATATTTTGAGTGTAAATCAGATTTTGGGCCTAAGATCGTATAGTCAAAAAGTATTAAGAGACGGACGAACACACTGGTTTTGCTCTTTTCATGGGATTTGGTACATCGGCTACACCCGCCCAATGCTTTTGGTAACCAAGCTTAATGATTTCATCTGTTTCAATACAGCATTTAAATTTAAAGGCAGCTGTAATCAAAGTAATTTAAAATGATTTAAATGACCACAAACTGACTCACGGTGAACATTGGTGTTTTATGGCCATTTAAAAGTAGGATTGGTGGGTCAACGTTTCTGTACCCACACAAAGAGACCAAGCCTCAATTATTTTAAGTCACCGTATCTATTTATGGGTTTATAGGCAGGAAGAAAAGCTGACAATACTTAGAAAGGATACTTAGTAGAAAGGATTATTCTGCTGACTTTATTCACTGGTTGGTGGCTTTTGTAAGAAACTAGTATGTATTTGGACTTTAATATTCAATATTTCATACAATAATATGCAGACCTATTAAGATATTTCTTCTTGTCACGGTAAGTAAACAAAGATAATTTTCTCACATCTGAAACAACATCATTGTTTCACCTGGATGTCATTTTCAAAAGATTGTAAACCGCTGGAATAAAAACATATAAAAGCTTGAAACAAAAATGTTATGGGTGGAAAATTGAGGATAGGCATTATAAAAACAAGTTCTCTCACTTGTTATAAATTGGCATTAATGCAGTCATTAGTGCAGCCTAGTGCTTCCCTGATGACGTGTGTTGCTTCAAGCCGTTGGAGACTTTCTTATATTATGTCCTTTCAAGTCCTCTTAAACCCGTGCTCCCAAGCCTATGAGCTCCGGTAAACACACTGAGCACTTCAGGCAACGTAAACAAGTCTGTGAGGGATCAGCCCGCACACTGGGATCCAGTCACACTCACATTCACACCCGAGGGAAATAGCAGCTCTTCAATCAACCTGCCTTTAAATGTCTTTGGAGTGGGGAACCCATGCAAATTCCCCACAGACGCAGGGACTTCTTGCCGTGAGCTGACAGTGCTAACCACTGAGCCGCCGTGCTACACCGGCTGAATGCCCAAAAAAGGAGAAAATTGTTTTTAAAAAACGGTCCTATGGCTTAAACTTCAAGGTAGACCTTATGGAATCTGGGTTTTTAGTCCCACCTCATGTGAAATAGAACTGAAGACCTTAAAGCAGATGGTGACCACCTCGCCGCATAAAGACGCGCAATCACGCAGGCACACATCCACGCACGCGCATGTGAGAGGAGGACGTGCACACCCGTCGGTGCTTGAGGGGCTGAGTGGAGACCTACTGGCCTTTTTCCAACGAGGAGGTCCGCATAGACAGAGCAGAGCGACCCTGGAGAGGACCGTCATCAAGATCCACAGCGCACAGGAAATACATCTGACCCTTCCTTTGCACTCTTCTGGATCTCCTCCCTCCTCCTCCCTCTCCCCCTCCCCCCTGCCTCCTTCTCAAATCCTCCATTTACCCTCCTTAAAGTGGCCAGAGAAAGTTTATGGTGGTCTCCTTTGAAGCCCTGCCAGCTTTGTATCGAGCTATCTCTCCCGTTGTGTCTCTTTGTTCCAGGGTGACCCACCGTTTTCACTGAAAAAAAAATGGTCACATGCCCGGAAGAAAGGGCAGGAATTCCTTTTCTCCGTTCCCTCCAAAAAATGTTTACTTTTGTCACCTTATCAGCTCTCCCAGCGCCTCCGCTTCCCAGCACGTCCACAACCCCGTGTCTCCTGAAACCCCATTGAAAATCACTCGACCTCATCAGATGGCAGCTGGGAGAAGTAAGGGGCGGAGTGGACCTGTCAACACGTCAACCACATGACAAACACACACCCCGACGTGCACACGCGGGAACACACTCGCACAGGCCACGGATCACCTTTAAAGATCAATGTGCTTTACTTTGTGGAGCACTTATGGCAAGAAGAGACACACACACTCATTTGAGGGAATGGCTGGTTAAAAATCTCAGAATGCCCTCGTTTTACATCAATACCGACCAGTTTGTGTGTGGGTTTGTGTGTGTGTGGGTTACTATGTGCGTGTGAGAGACAAAAAAACCTGTGTAGTTGTCAGTCAAGATGATGGACGTGGCCTTTCACTGACTCACAATCGCTTGACAACTGACCCCGTGACCAGCCCTCCCCAACAATACATGCACACACCACACACACACACACACACACACACACACACACACACACACACACACACACACACACACACACACACACACACACACACACACACACACACACACAATCTTGTAGAGTACACGTTTCCCTCAAGGGTCCCAGAAACACAATAGTATAGTCAGCAACTATACAACTCTGGAGGAACCCTGTCCGTCCTTACATGAGACCGAAAACAAAAGAGTGTGTTTGTGTGTGTGTGTGTGTGTGTGTGTGCGCCGACTGGGAAAAGTGCCGTCCCACATCGGGTGTCTGTTATCTTCGCCTCTTTAGCTCTCTCACTCTCGCCTGCTGCGTCTTTGTGACGGCGTAGACAACAGACTGAGGCAAAGAAATATTTGCAGATACTCTGTACTCATTATTAAAACTTACTGTAAGAACAAATACGTGGGAGGAAAAGCATTAGTTTAATCTCATTATCTTTTAATTCAGTAGTGCGGCACATTGGTTCTCCCGGATTGCGCGATATTATTAAATAGTGTTAATGCATCAGAAATACAATCCGAACACAGTAATGCTACTGCGAATTGTATTTAAAACCTGCCCATAACTATCGAGGAAGGTTTGTAAGTTATTTCTTTGCCTCGGGTGATCGCCGCGTCCGCTGTGCAAATGAGAAAGTCCCCCGCAAGGTCAGAATGTCTGTCCAAGGCCAAAGAACTCAATCAAGAAACATGTCGCACCTGCACGCCGACCTGAAACTGATGGCAGAGGAACCTCATTCCATTACGGGTCATGGCGAGAATGCATCATCTCCCGCTGAAAAGGTTGAGGTCGGCTGTGCAGCGGCAGTAATAAAGGGAATAAAGGGCCCGCGCTGGGCCTCGTGGCGGCGGAAGTGCTGCAGCGGAACTTATTCGTCTACGTGACAAATTCCAAACAAGACACCAATGACAGGTCAGGTCTGGTTTGATGTCCAGCGACACAGAGGTAATCGAAGTGTTGGTAAAGTGAGAAAATTGGTTATCAAGTAAAGCCATCAATTTACAAAAGCAATTAATAATAATAAATTAATTATTTTACATAAAGTAATTTCCCACATGGCAGCTCGAGACTGTCCTTGTCGGAAAAAAGTATTGTTGGTTAAAGAATTTACGGCACCCTTGCATACATTCCGATGTCGTGTGCGATCTCGGGATTGTGCAAATTGTGAGTGTCTCCTCTCGCAGGAAGACTTTGACGTTTAGTCACAAGCCGAGCAGCTCTCGTAGCCTCCGCACAGAGAAAAGTGACAAAGTTTGGTGACCAACAGCGAAGCTCTTGAAAGTCAATTGAAAGAGCTTTTCTTATGCGATTACCAACTGATCTTGCACTAAACAGCCCGGATGGAGTGAATCTATCCCACCAATTTGGCCCGCTTAGCAGCCTCAAACAATGTTTAAGAGTAATTTGGAGTTACTATTTGTCCCACGCCTGATGGGGGAATGACGCCTTTATTCACTCTGTTCAGAAACACAGTCTCAGGGGGGGAAAGGCCCATCTGCGATACCCATACATCACTTGTTGGAGTGAGGAGAAATATCAATACAGCTAATATAAAAATGATTACAAAATACGCCTGGTGACATTTTTACCACTTTGCTGAGCACACCACTTATGATACTCGCCAGATACATCAAGTAATAGAGAGAGAGAGAGAAAGAGTAGGGTGAGCGAGTGAGAGATGAAAGGTGTACTCATGCGTCCGTGTGGGCGATGTTTGAGAACTCTCTCAATCGAGCTTCTGCTGATTGCATATTTACGCGCAAAAAACACAAACACGGACCAACCCCCGTTGCCCGTTGCGCACGGCCTCACACAGAAACACACACTGCCTAGCTGAGGACCCACAGATGTAGTAGTACTCTTGTCCGGGCCTGAACTCAAAGCCCAAAGAGAAGGGAGTGAAGAGCTGGAACTTCTCCGAGAAGCGCAGGGGTCCGTCGGGACCGCTGGGGCGGTTGCACTCCCAGCGCTTGAAGCCGCGCATCCGGTGCTGGCAGGAGGTGTAGCCCTCGTGGTTGACCATGAACAGGATGTAGCGCTCCATGCGCCCGTGGGACGGGGGACCCTCGTAGTAAGGGCAGTAGATGTCCAGATAGTCGTTGATGTTCACTGCCACCCTGTACTCCCCGTGCCAGAACCTGCAAGACAAAGGAAGACGAATGATTAGAATTTCGTCATGAATAAAAAAAATTCAGCCGGAGCCGGAAAAATGCAGGGAATCAGCGAGCAGCGACGAGGAGGCTGCAGGAGTGGTTGACTGAGGAGTAATGAGATACATCTAGTGCGAGACATCTATTTTGAGAAGAAAATCGAATCTTCTACAACACCATGAATATTTACTACCCATATTGAGTTTCTGTATGATTGCATACATAAAGGAAATTGCGGTGAGTGTCCACTTAGTTCAGTCATGCTGTGCACCATAATTACAGGAAATTGTGTGATTGCTGTTGGGACTTTTCTGTCTGAAAAATCTAAATATTTCTGCAGGAAGATCCAAGGTCGAGTGAGACGCAAAACAGCAACCCTCTGAGGTGCCACGTGTTGCTCAAGGACACTCCAACAACGGCTTTCTGATAGAGGGCGTTGAAAAGGGAAACCTTGAAACTACCATCCCAGTCATGGCTTTTTGAAAAAAAATATCCTAAAGGGGTTTTAACTATTTAATAAACAAGAGGAGGCCAGATGAATCAATAATAATCCCATATTAGTTTAATTAGTTGCCAATGTTATTCGGATAAAGCTTTGTGAGATACACGGGAGTTTTGATGAGAGCTTGTTTGTAACATGTTCTTTGCTCCAGTCCGAGTACTTGAATGTACTTGTGTGAGCCTCCTCGTACGAACCACTAGAGAAGTGGGTCACGGGACGGTAGCGAGCACACATTATTATCCCACCGCCCAAAGCAGCGCATAGAGGCGGCGGTGAAAGGCCACTTAGTTCTGTACACATGCGGGTCACTGGAGGAGACATGATGAACTGAGTCGGAGGAAGAAGAAGAAATATGTATTGTATGGGCACATTGCGAGGGGGGGTGACTTTGCCCCCCTTTGCACTTGCTGCATTCCTTCTCCTGGCACCGGTTCAAAGGGTTTGTAAATAGCACCAGGTAACATATGGAAGTACAAACTCCCCGATCTCTGCAAGGCAGAGTACATTAAAAACATATGGCTGCATCTCCCCTTCATTATACGAGCTCTGCTTTTGTTTATGTTTTAATGCCAGCGTTGCTTATATGACAACTGAACTTCTGTTTACAGTGTTGAAGTCAGTGGGGTGAAACAGTCTTTCTTAAGGGATGAGGTTGCCGATTTTGAGTATTTTCGTGATTGTCAACAAAGTAATATAAAAAATGTGGTTCGCTGCTCCGAACAGTAGTGGAAATTGTGGATTTATTCTCCCCCAACACCAACTTCATGACTTCTGCTTCTTGTCCTTGGCGCTCATATTTGATCTAAATATACTGAATAAAATTATTTCTCAGCTTAGCGCTGAAATGTGCTTTTTAAGCTGTGGATGGATGCACGTTTAGTGCTTTCGTCTTGTGAGCGTTAATTGCAGCAGGATGGTGAATTTGAGATGCTCGGCTTAATGGTTTTGAAGACTTAGATAGTAGTAGCATTTGTTTAACCAAAAGACTTAAAATTCATGCCTATGTTTCAGGAATCGACACCATACTGTGAGTAAATATAATACGTTAATGTTTTTTTTTTATATTTGATAACTAGCAGTTCAAAAATGCCCCAAGAGATTTCATCTTTTTTACATCTTTAACAAGCACCACTCATTTAAAATACGAGTCACATTCTTCTGTAAATATCTGTTTAAAATTCCCTCAGTGTGATATCCTCTTTTTTGGCATTAGCATCGCCGCTCGGCAGCGCTACAATCAATTTAATTTCAGATGCACCCCCCCCCCTCAAATAGACATTTTAAATTCAGCTGCCGCACATTATCAAATCGTGTTTTCTCGTAGCTCAGTAAATTTGAGAAGAAGGAAAATGTCTTCGATCAAACAAGAGTAAACAAATCATCAGCCAGTTGTCGGGCAAACTCGCCGTCTCAGACGGCGCGCACACATCCACGGGCCGAGCTTTTTAAACAAATTCATCATTTTCCTCCCCCCCCCTCACCTTGGCAGTAATTGATTGCCTGAAATGAAGACATTTTGGTCTAAGCACTGTTGGTTAGCTGGATATTAAGCTTTGGGACAAATTATCCCTATAACGCCAGTCCTAGCTCTCTCCCAGAGGGCAAATCAGGAAGTGAGTTAGATGTGAAATGAGCGCCTTCATGCTTCGGTGCCCTATCAGAGCGAGTTTTGCAGGTTCTAAAGGGATCCTTGAACAGATCATTTAGAGGCATTGATCCACTAGGGAGCTTCTCTCTGCTCCCAATCAGCTCTGATTAACAACTAAAGCGGAGAGGCAGAGAGAGAGAAACAGAGGGAGGGATGCCCAGAATGAGAATATAACAGGCTAAAAGGAAAGAGGAGCACCGATGGGGGGGGGGGGGGGGGGGGGGGGAGGAGGGCGGAGGGAGAAAAGGTGTAAGGGAGTAATGGCGGTTTTGGAATGAGGACAAAAGAAAAAGAAAGACAGACAGGGGAGGGGCACGGAGGGGGATAATGAGATTGCACAGGGAGAATAAAGGAAGACAATAAAAAAAAGAAGAAAAGGAGGGAGGAAGAAAGAGCAGAGGAGGAAGAGGAGGAGTAGGAGGAGACCAGCCGAAGGAAGAGCAGATGGACGAGTTTTTTTTCTGTCTTCAATTTCAATTTGTACAACTGTGGTTTTCCATCTGACTCAAATGTGCTTTGCCTATTGATTGCGCACTGATACATTTATGGATGGCCATCGGAGCATTAGTACGATGTACGTGTTTGCTTGAGCTGTGTGTGTCTGTGTGTGTGTGTGTGTGTGCGCGGCTGGTTAAATGGTAGCTCGCTGAAGTGGGTCTCGATGAGTGAGGATGCTCAATCCCAGAAAGGGCTAATGTGCCAGGATACATTAGGTTGTATTAAGCCACTCAGCGGCCTGCCCTGCTCCTGTGACACCGTCTGCATTGCTAATACACCCAGGCGTGAAGAAGACGCGCGTGCAAGTGTGTGTGTGTGTGTTTGTGCAGGTGTGTGCCACAGAGCTGGTCTACAGTACGTGTCGGCCTGTGTGTAGTTGTGTGTGTGTAAGTGCGTCCCTGCATCGCCTCCTCTCGGGCCGTGTGTCATTAGGAATTAAACACACACTCCGCGCTGGCCCAAAAAAAAGACACGGGAATGCTCTCTCACTTACAGCCGTCCTCTTCCTCACGGAGCTTATGTGCTGGTGTGTGTGTGTGTGTGTGTCGTTAGATCGGTGTGTATTTCTTTCAATGTGCGTGTTGGTGATCACAGTGTGGAAATGATTAAACCCTATCAAACCTGTTAGATGCACGACTTATATCCTGTCACACTTTATTTGAAGGGATCTGCACCAAGCCGCCGTGACACTAATAAAAACTGACACGGATCAAACTTTTTGTGATTATGAGGTTGCCGTTAAAGGGTAACTCAACGCCTCCTGAAAGTCTTATTATTGCAGTGATGTAGTCCCGGATGTGCCAGTTCACCATGACAACGCAACCACAGGTACTGATGGGTGGGGTCAAAGGGGACGTGCAGCTCGTTATGATATTCTTCTTTTACTCTCGTGTGATGATTTCCTTGTTCGTGTGGTGCATCTTAACATATTCGTCTTACGGTTTCAGTGGAACAGCAGCAGTTGCTTGAAACAGTGACATCGCTTCATTTTTCCAATGCTGCCATCGCCACAAACGCCATTCCTTACACCGTCACAACATAGAAGATGGCGGCCGAAATCTCCGGCACGCTTCTCTGCAGGACTACATTTACCTTTTATCAACTAACCCTTCGAGATATATTTTCACCGTCAGATTTAAACAGTAATGAACGTGCAATAACACCTTCGAAAGGGATACTGAAAGTACATTAAGCTTTAACAGCTGCAGCCATTAAGGACCTGATGTCCACCTGATGAATTAATTAGACCACTCCTGAGGGAAATATCAGTGTCTTCGGCTGCCTGTTAATCGTTTGGTGCTGAGCAGGTAGTGTTCACAGGGTTTTAGAGGTTTTCCAGCAGCCCGCGAACATTAAAGCGGCTCGACTCAGTGTGAAGCTCCGTAAAGCTGCCGATTCAGGTAACGATTCTCTGTCGAACGCAACATCTCACATTTGACATTATCGTTTGATACATAAAATAACGATGAGGGCCCGCTTACAGAGCCTGGTGACCCCGGGTTTTACTGCCGGATCATAATCGACACAACCTGCAGACAGCGCACTTCACTTTCAGCCTCAATCAATTCCAACCTGAGAACATTCTGTACGAGCTGCTTTACACATTCTCTCATCATTTGACAAACAAAAATATCTCCACAACGTAAACCAATACAGAGCTCTAAGGTATCTGACAGTGCATAATTATAAAGTTTCACCAATCCTTTTACACACGCTGTGTAAACTTTGATTATCGAGCAGTAAATACTGTGCCCATTTCTTATTTTACGGGCGCTAAAACTTGATTATTTCTCATTTCCAGAGATTGATAGCTTTTGGTATTTCTGGCATACTAACAGTCAATATTATTTTGAGAAGTAAAACTTCAAGAATTTGGAGAACTTTGATAATTAGTTTCAAGGATGATAAGAAGGAGTAGATCTTTAGCAGTGTTCTGATGAAAAAAGACACAATCTTAAAATTACGCCCATGCAGATCGTTGTTAAAGGAGATGGTGATCATCACACGGACATTTTCAGTTCCGTTCCGCAGCAACAGGTGATTGAAGAGTAAGCCTGTGCTACATGATATGGGTGTTTGCTTTGCTCCTGATGCCCGGATGCCTCACAGATTCTCCTCACTCATTCAATGGAATCGTCTGGTGAGGTTATCCAGACGCAGACAAACGGTTCACACTTTGTGCCGCTGGCTCTAAAATGGATGTAAAAGGTTCGTTCTGAGACGTGGACCACAAGCAATTAAAAAAAAAAGAGAAAACGTTTAATGATGTCGTGCGTATACGTCAGGATGAAAAGAAATGAGGAATTCAGGAGTTTAAAAGTTGAAATGAAGGATTAAAAA